ATTTTGTTAAAGTTATATTAATATTTTTATAAACTAAGCTTAGGTTATAATAAGGTTTTCTTTAATAATTGTTTAAACAATATATTCTTTTTGAATATTTGTTTACTCTATTTCGAGATTTACTTTAGCCTTATATTATTATATAACAGTATTCTCGAATATTGAAAATAAATATCTGATATAAAGTCTGATAGATGATTTATTGGTTTTATTAACAAATAGTTGAATTAATAGGTCTGAGTTCAGTATATTAAATTGATTCGAAAGTATATCAATAGTGAAGGGATTTTTATAGAAAATAGTATAGATATAAGCTTTAAGATTATTGGATATTTTGATATCTGTAATAGTGGATGTACTTATATTAATAATATCTATTGGGATAATCTATAAATCTTTAGTATTATCTATTATAAAATGAAAATAAAGTTCAAAATTCTTAAGTTTTGTAGTATTAAGGTATTTGTAATATTAAGGTATTTATAATATCAATGTTTTTATAAAATTAAATTGTTCAAGTTCATTTTTTGTTAAATAATCAATTGTATCATATAATAAACAATAATCCTGCAAGTTTTTTGTAAGATAAAAGAATCAAGATTGGGCTGATTGGCAATGGAATCTTTTAAAGGATTGAATATACTATTACGGGGTTGATACAGGTTCTGATGGGTATTAGGTATGATGTATAATATTTGATAAGGAGAGAAGGAGGCGTGCGGAGCAACGACGATTATAAAATGGATGGATGCCTAAGGCATCTATCCGAGCTAGCTAGGAACGGGTAGTGAACCCGTGACACCACTTATATCCCGTCCCAACTTACTCCTCCCGCCATCACCATCACCATTGCTACCTCCATAATTTTAGTTATAATCCCTTAAATTGGATCTCTTGTATTATTTTGAATAACCCCGCTTTGTCTGAGAGATGATAAGTTCATTTTTGTTGATTTAATTAACTTTGAGATTGTGTTACTGTTAAGCTTAATATCTCTAAGCTTCAGTCTTTGTATAGCTAAATAACTAAATAATTCGATTTAATATTGATTTTATTATCATCGATGTTCTCATCCTTCTGTTCATTCATTCATCCCCTTCCTTTCCCATTCCCATTCCCATTCCCATTCCCATTCCCTTCCTCTTCCACACTAATTCCACTCCCACCCCCACAACCCACCATGAAACTATTATACAACATTCGTACGAAACAATACGCAACACGCCACATTACAAACACTCCACTTGATGTGACAGTAACAGTAACAGTAATAGTAATAGCGAGTATTCTACAATTCTACTAGCTATCATAGAATTAGCATGTTTTCTTGGCATGGCTTTTTAATAACGGTATACTCGAGTAAATTAAATGGAGTTGCTTATTTAAATTAAGTTTGAGAATAGAGGGAGGGATGTGGAAGGATGTGGAAATGGGTTATGGTGAGGAGGAATATGGAAGGATGGGGAAGGATGTGGGAGGATGTGGAAGGATGTGGAAATGGGTTAGGGCGAGGAGGAATCTGGGAGGAGGAATATGGGAGGAAGAATATGGGAGGGTAGGAGAGGAGGGGAAAGAAAAGAGGGGATATAGAGGAGGGGAAAGGGTAAAGGAGGAAAGAGGGCAAGGTGGAGGATGTTGTGGGTGTGGATGGATAGGATGTGAGATGGATGGAATAGATGGAGTAGGGAGACTACCGGAGATGAGATGGAATAGGGCTTGGATTATAGATTATGGAGTGTTGGATAGGTGTTGGATAAGTGCTGGATGAAGGGTTTAGGGGAGCAGTCTTCCGGGGATGGATAGATGGATGGATGAATAGAGAGGATAAGGAAAAGGGAAATAATGGAGGAAAAAACGAGATTATAAGGAAACGCAAAATGAATATGACAAAAGGGAGTAGCTGAGAGGGCAAGCAAGTAGATATTAGGATGATGAGAATTCAAGTCTTGATAATATAGTCAATCTTTGAGTCACAATGTCACAATAACGTACTCTGTTCTCATATACGGTAGTAGCTCTCGATTTTTGTATTTTGAGGATGGTAATGATAATAATAATGATCGATACCGGTACTCGAGTATTTGAGTACAAGTTAAAAGAAAAGAGTACAAGTTTCTCAATTGATTAAGTGTTTCTTGGATTGAATGAGTTCTTGGAAGGGTTCTGAGGGGTGTTGTTATTTCTACTTTTTCCTACAGTATCAGAATTGGGGATTGTACTCGGTTGGATCCCTTTATATTGAACGTTTTTGTACTACTCTATACATACAACAAAATACAATTGTAAAAGATAGTTATTATGAATAGTATTTGGTATGAGTATTAGTATTGATAATGTTCTAAGTGTGTATAGATAGCACTAGTATGTATGCGGGTAGTATTTATATGTAGAGTATATGTGGCATGATAATTGGAAGTATTGATATTAATATTGATACCCCAGTAGGGGGAATATATTCGAGTATAGATATAGATAGATAGATGTCCTCGAGTATATGAATTTGAGAATGATATGATTTACTTGAGTAACTAACTCATTGATTTGTTTGTCTTTTTTGTTAATTTATTCTGTATATATACTCGAGTATAGGATTCGGATTGGAAATAGGGGGATATCGTTTATAGTTATTTGGATTGATTTTGTGATTCTGTGATACTAGTATTTTGATCTGTATCTGTATATGTGTTGTGATTGCTATTGTTACTTTGTATATACAAGTTGTATAGGTGGGTACTAATATACATAAAAGAACTAAAATTGCATATGAGGTCTGTACCTCGACCATAGCTAGCTGCAACCCCACTCTTTATCACCCACTAGAACCTTCCATTCATCAAGCTCGACTCGACCTAAGTACTCGAGTAAACAAGCAAGCAATCCCTACAAACTCACAATATCCAGTACATTTTTCTGTATTGTTCTAATCCTCGACCATCCCCTCGTTTATAAGTTCCCTTTCGAGTCAAAAGAAGTTCGAATTTGCCCATCATGGCAACCACCAAACAACGTCTCGCCCTCTCCATCATTGATTTCCTCTCTACCTCCCTCAACGATGGTACCCTCAACGAAGAAGAACGCGAATCCATCGAAGTCGCCCAAAACTGTATTTCCGAGTCCTTCAAAGTAGACCCTACAGATGCCACTCCTAAAGATTCTCAAAACCTCCTCCAAATCTATAGCGTTTATGAGACATTAAGACAATCCCAAAATGCCACCAAGGCCACTCCCGCTGTTTCCAAACCCGCCGATGAGAAATCCACTGGCAAGGAACCCAGCGCCGATGACAAGAAACAAGCCGAGGGCTTAAAGAGTCAGGGAAATGCGGCCATGGCCAAGAAAGATTATCAAAAGGCAATTGACTTCTACTCGCAAGCTTTGGCCATTATCCCCGGCAACCCTATCTTCTTGAGTAACCGCGCGGCTGCATACTCGGCGTCCAAGGACCATGAGTCTGCCAAGGCGGATGCGGAGGCGGCGGTTGATGCGGATCCTCAATATACCAAGGCCTGGTCACGATTGGGATTGGCGAAGTTCGCATTAGGAGATGCGCGCGGATCGATGGAGGCGTATGAGCAGGGCATTGAATATGAAGGGAATGGAGGAAGTGATGCTATGAAGAAGGGATATGAGACTGCCAAGAAGAGAGTCACGGAACTCGAGGCAACTGGAGGAGATAAGGATGAGGTTGCCGAGAGAGGTATGCCTGGTGCTGGTGGAGCTGGTGGTATGCCAGATTTGGCCAGCTTGGCGGGTATGTTTGGAGGTGGAGGAGCGGGTGGTGCCGGTGGTGGAATGCCAGATTTGAGCTCTATCATGAGTAACCCCATGTTTGCGAGCATGGCTCAGAACTTGATGAGTAACCCAGATGCTTTGAGTAGTATTATGAGCAACCCTAGAATACGCGAGATGGCTAGTCAATTTGGTGGAGGTGGAGCTGGTGGTGCTGGGGGTGCCGCGCCGGATCTTGCTAGTTTGATGAGTGATCCTTCTATTGCTGAGATGTAAGTTTCTTCTTTCCATCATCTCAATTCTCATGGCGATACCTATACTAATAATATCAATAGGGCCAGAAACTTGGGTGGAGCAGGTGGAGCAGGTAGAGGTGCTGGGGGTGGTGCTCCTCAATAAGCCATATTCCGGTCAATAGTATACAGTAAACAGTAAATAGATTCCCCTGAAATGAAAGCACACTTGGTTTATTCGTCAGTTCAAACGGGTACGAGAGGATGGATGGATGGATAGATACAGACAGACGGATAGTGATTATAAACAAAGATAATCAATCTAGTTTAGTTCTAGTATTTACTCGAGTAGTAATGAAACCTTTTTTCAATCATTTTATTTCAATGGCCCTATAGCTGGCTAGCTATCTACTTGAGTATAGTCATACAGCAATTGCAATGTGATTGCAATTTGAGGGTGATGGTAATATGATTTTGATTCTAATTTTGATGGTGATCTAAATGATTACCTGGATGATTAGCTGGATGATGATGTTGATATGTATGATACTGTATATATGTGTGTACACATATTCTTCTCTTTGTTGGAGCTGGGAGAGCTGGGAGAGGAGGGAGATGAGAGAGGGGGGAGAAGGGGGAGGAGAGAGAGGAGAGATGCTATTCTGTAGGTGGTTGAGCTAAGCTAATGGTGTTGATGATAATGATGATGATGTTCTTTCTGAGGAGGACCGAGTGAGGGAAGAGGGAGGGCAGGGGGTGTTGTGTGGTGGGTGGATGCGGAGGGATGTGAAGTGGTGGATGGGAAGTGTTTTATTAGGATAAAGGGGTATGATATGGAGAGGTTTGAGATTGAGGGTACGAGAGGTGAAGATAGAGGTACGTACGGGTGGAGACTCGGTACGGATGCGGATGGATGGATGGAAAGATGATATAATGGAGATGAGGATGATGAGGATGATAAGGAGGATGGGGAGGATGGGGATGAGGAGGATGAGGAGGATGAGTAGGATGGTATTGATATTAGTTTTGGAGTTAGAATTTTGAAGGTTGGGAGTAGTTGGGAGGATGTGATGTGACGTGATATGCGTTAACTTAGAGGAAAAGAAAAATTAAAGGCATTGAGATATTGAGAATTAGAAATAGATCCATAACCTAATTGATGATTGATGGTTGATGAAGAGGTGATGTATATCAACCAATTGTATGAATCTGAATCTATGAATCCCCCCACGAATGTGCGACTATACTCGAGTAACATGAATCTCATTACAGTACTCGTACGAGGAGTATCGAGTGGAAAGAAGCATGAATACAAATACGCAACGGAAATCAGAAAATGTAATGTGATATCAGTGAGATGAGAATCATGAGATAATATATGAATATGATATATGAGTATGAACTTATCTACTCGAGTATATCAATATACACATATATATCTCGTCTCATTACATCGCATCACATCACATCTCACATCTCATCTCATTTCTGCCTTCTACCTCTTCTCTCTTCCCCTTTCTCCTACTCATTCCACCTCATACCTCACACCTCACACCTCACACCGCAACCAGGACTATAATTCAGTTCTACTACCAGGAGGTAGGTATACTTTGCGTATATATTGCATTACTACGGTTATACAATAAAACAGAGAAAGGAAGAATGGTTTCTTTAGCTACAAATACGATGACTATTGATTACTATTAGTATTACTATCTCTGTTTTGTATATCATATCACTACATAACCCAACACAACCCCTACACCTCACAATAAGAAAAATAACAAAAGAAACTGCTTCTTAAGGTATATATACATACATACATACATAACACAACAAACAAATAAATAAATAAACAACAAATAAACATGAATCTCATCAGAGAGGTACCTACCTGCCAGTGGTAGGCCAAAATTTTAGCGAGGGGGTACTATTATTACTGTACTACTATAACTCGTACAGAGTAAAGAGGAAATAGTATTCTGTGTCATGTATTTTATATTAAGTTCCTTACTATCCCATGTACTAGCATTAGTTATAGGTAGATCAAATCGATTATGAGGTTACTACTACTACTACTAATGTTGCTCCTTACTACATCACCTTCATCACCTTCACCACCATCACCACCATCACCATCACCAACACATCATAACAATATAACAATATATCAATAACAATATAACAATATAAAATACATCAATATTCATATCAATCAAAAGATCATCATCATCATCATCATCATCATTATTATAGCATACCTGTACTCCCTACTCCCTACTCCCTACTCCCTACTTCCTACTTCCTACTCCCTACTTCCTACACTATTTTGTAATTGATATACCTACCATACGAGTATTTCCCGCCAAGCTTCCGTGCAAAATATGAAAAGTAACAGAATATTATATCATCTACCAGTAAAAGCTCCTTGGATGAGAAGGGGTACTGAGGAGATATATACTAGTACTATACCATTAGAAAGTACATACTGCATGCGTGAATAACATTGTTTCTAGTTTGCAAACATGCGGTTATGATACTAATATACTACCGGTATATTATGAACAAGTAGCCCGAGTTCATGTAATACCTACAGTCAATGGAAAGCAGAGGAAAGAAGAACATATTAACAGTGTTATATCACATGCAAGTGAGAAACGTAAGACTGAAATTTTGGCATAAATTCATTTTATTGATATTTTGATATGTTTCATTTATGCTTTTGCGGCACCAGCCTTGATCAATAAAATATCTAAACAATATTAGCGACATATCAATATGAGAATGAAACATCATCTTCTTACCTCCATCTTCAACGACATAATCTTTGCCCTTGGTCATGAGCTTTCCCTTGGCCTTAATCTCAGCTTCATCTCCATTGCATTCTTTGAATACATTGTAGTTGTATACAATAGCTTGAATGAAGGTCTTTTCGAAGTCACCGTGGATGACTCCTGCAGCTTGTGGTGCTTTGGTACCATTTCTGATAGTCCATTGACGGACTTCATCTGTACCTGTGGTGAAGAAACTTCCAAGGTCCATAACTTTTCTCATGGAGGTAACAATTTTTGGTAAAGCGGATTCAACACCAAGGGTCTTGAGTTCCTCTTTAACTTCTGCTTCAGTATCAAATCGTGTTAATCTCTCCTCGAGGCAGATTGAGATTGGCATGATTGGGTCGCCAGCTGCATGCTCTTTGATCCATTCCATGACCTTGGACAAATGCTTGTTCTTCTTTCGGATGTAATCCTTCTCGCTCAAGTTAATGAGATAGACGACTGGTTTGGCAGTCAAAAGGAAGAGAGGGTTGATGCACTCGATCTGTGAAGAATGATGTAAGTATATAGCTTCAAGAATTCTTTTCAACGAGGTAATGCATTATCAAAATATCAGAACGGGTTTTTTATCTCAGGTTACACTCTGCGTTTGTAGCGAGGCACTCGACGAGCTGGGATTATTCAGGCCTCATGGCCCTTTGTCATCATATAAGAAATTAGGGGCATAGGAAAAGCATTCAACACATACCTCTTTTGGTGACCAGTTACCCTTTCGGACATCCTTTCCATCATTAAGCATAGCTAAGACCTTTTCGATAATGGCTTCTTCCTCCCTGAGCTTTTTCATCTCAAGAGATTGACCACCTCTACGAGTCAATTTCTTCTGGGCCTCGAGTGCCTTCTCAACAAACTCAATATCCTTGATACGAAGCTCATCGCTGATAATGGTCAAATCCCGGACAGGGTCAACATCTCCTTCGATGTGAATAATTTCGGCATCATCGAAACAACGGACGACTTGGAAGATGGCATCAACAGCACGAATATGTGATAAGAAAGCGTTTCCGAGACCTTCACCCTTCGATGCACCTCGAGTTAGACCAGCGATATCGTAGATTGTAAGATGTGCCGGGACTCTCGATTTGGGGTTGTATTTATCGCAAAGCCAGTCGTATCTATCATCGGGTACAATAACACGAGATTCTTCGGGTTCGATAGTTGCGAAAGGAAAGTTCTTGATATTGTTAGCGTTGATGATAAACATGGGACTTTGAAACTTACTGCGGGGTTACCAAGGGAGCACTTGGTAATAGCTTGAAAGAGTGTTGACTTTCCGACATTTGCAAGACCGACCTATTTTGAAAATCAATTCATGTCTAAGACAATTAGAATGAAGAGAGAAATACTATTCCACTCTTCAAGTTGTTACCAGGTCTGCCCAGCAACACCTTCTTCTCTTCGACGACTTTCTTTGGAGGCATTCTGCTCTTCTTTTTTGCGTAAGTTCTCTTTTGATTTATGAACAGAACCGTACAGTTAAGTAGGCTCTTATTGCTGCTGTTGATAAAAGCAGAGCTTGTTGCTGTCGAGTACAAAGTGGATTGAAAAGAAGAGAAGATACGTTGTAGAGGTAAGGGAGACGTTGTGACGGTGGGATGAATGCAGCCTGCTAGCAGCCTTATGCGGACCACGAAATAGAAATGATATTGGAGGGGGGTAAAGGTAAAAGGACGAATTGAATTCCTCGAAAAAATCTTTCGTTTGGAAAAAGTTTCTGTGCCCTGGAATAGTAGAATAAGTCATGTGATGTGGTACTTCATAACTTCACTCATCATCGGGTGGGGTAATTTACTAATCCAAATGAGCTTTTTGATTGGCTGTTAAGTTTCAGGTGGGGGAGCCATCTTCTTCAATAATTGACTTTGACGCGAACAGCTGGGCTAGACTCAGGTATATCATATATATATACATGATGTGAGTGTTACTCGACTCGACGATTATGGATTATGCAAACCTTTTCAATATTTTGATATTGACAATGCCATAATTGGAATCTGATTCTAAATCTGATTCATCTACATAACAAGGAAATAGGAGAGACCATACCATACCATACCATACCATACATTATCAACAAGTATATACATCTATCTCCTCTCCTTATTGTTGTACAAAGCAATTCATCTTCATCTTCATCTTCATTTTTCTAATACTTTTCTTGACATCTTTCTGCAAATAATCAATTCCCTCTCTACCAAGGTATCTCATCTATCTACCTTAATCATGTCTTCTTCTTCGATCAAGAAGAGTTCAAGAAAGTCCTCTCAGAGTCATAGATCTACACTCTCCCTACAAAAGACCGAAATAGTGATCAACATTTATGATCTACTTCCTGTAAGTATTCTGTTCTATTATATTCTAGTTGACGTGAATTTGAATGCGACCGATGGTTGCTGACGTGACTTTCGCGATTAGGCAGGCAAACTTTCCTCCATCCTCTGGCGCTTTGGTACTTCCTTACTCCACAGCGGAATCGTGATAAATGGTAAAGAATACGCATTTGGAGGACACGATAAGAAGGGGATGACTGGTGTATATTGGGCAAGGCCAAGATTGGAACCACCTGGAGGTACATTCAGATGCGAAATTGTCCAGGGTTTTACCTTTTCTCCTCAAGGGGAGATTGATGCCGTTATAAAAGAAGCTTCAGAAATATTCCAAGGCACATCATACAACCTTCTCTCCAGAAACTGCAACCATTTCACGGCATACATGTGCGAGAGGCTTACCGGACGTCCTGGACCGACTTGGCTGAACCGAGCTGCGAGCATTGGAGTCGCGTTACCTTGTATGGTCCCCAAAGAATGGATCACTCCACCGGACTACGAAACTGCAGATGGAGAGCTTGTTGATGACGATCATGATGAGCGATCTCGGATGTTGGGTGGTACAAGACACAGTATGGATGATGGTCGACCAGATTTGACCGATGATGAGACGGAGTGGAGCTGTGATGAAGATATCCAGGGCAGAACAGGAAAAGGGAAAGATGTGAGAGATACTTCAGGTAGAGTTGTTCCGCTCTCAGAGAGAGCACCTACGGCCAGGAGATAATAGCACTCGGGTTCAAGGACATATTGTTATACGCTACTTTAGGCGTTACCGGTAATGGGAAGGGCAACGGGCAACGGAAGGGGGGACTGGCGTCAAGGTTTTCATCTTATGACACCATTCATGATGCCATGATTCTTCTATTGTACAGATATACACATCATGTTGCAGCAATGCACAGCGTTCTCTTCACCACCATGATGCCCCATCTAACCCAATCTTCTTGGCTTCTTACTTCTCGTACCACCGAACTTCAATCTCGTAGCATCCGTGACTTTGACAACCTTCCCTCTCAACCATTTCCCTTCCGTACCCAAAAGAGCTTTAGTAACAGCCTCTCGTCCCGCACCAAAACCTCTCAGAACCAGCTCTATCTTGGAAATCTCACGACCAATAGCCCTCTCGTGAATCCTCGTCATCACGACTGAAGCCAATTGAAAAGCCGAATCATAATGTTTCCTCCCCGCGTTTTTGAATCCAATATTTCCACACGATAAAGACATGATCGGTTCTCGATTTGGCCTTGTGAGTGTAACATGGGTATTGTGTCTCGTAGCGTAAACATGAATATGATGCGGTTCCTCCTCTACAACATGCTCCGCAATCAATCTTCCATCCATAGGCATTGTCGTATCAAGCACGCCGCCTTTTCTCTCGCTCTTGTTTGACTGCAACATTTGGCTAAATATATCTACTATTCCCGATGCTGCGGCTGCAGATTTAGTAGCATTTGGGTTGAGCGAAGAAGACCTGGCTCTGGCTTTAGCTATTGCACTCGAGCCCCCGCCGGTCCTATTCAATGTCGAGATAGAGTGAGGTACATAGTCCGGAAGAGGTTTGCGATCGCCCTCGGCCTTTTGATTTGGTGTGCTCGAAAAATGTCGCAAACATCGTAGTGGCAATGTGTGAGTATTTGCAGATTCGGAGATGGAGGCGAAAGGGTATTGTGCCTGAATCCGTCGTGAAAGGGTTCGACTCATAATTGAAGGATTATTGACTCAATATTACAGTATTGGTGACTTTGATATCAAAATCTAGAAGAAAGCTGAACGCGGGCCGAGTTATTCCGCTCCGTGACCCTTGAAATTTTGTTGATCGGAGAAATGTTCAAATCGCCCGCCATGACACTCTTACGGAACCAAATTTATTGCAAGTAAGCCTCACATTTAATAATTACACTCTTCTTTCAGTCAATATGAACGGTTTTCGAAATTCGGTGACAGGGACGACGTCAACAATAAGTAGGCAGGCTTCTCTCTCTTCAATCGCGAGACCTTCACCCAATACCTTCACCATTCCTGCCCGGATAGTCCAGCAAAGTCGAAATTCACAATTTTCTACCTTGGACCCTTCGAGACTTACGATCCTCTCATATCCTGCGCCTTTGCGATCGCGTTTTCTTCCTGAAGAAATTCGATCTGTAGCATATCCAGTATCCTCGCGGCATTTCCATGAAAGCTCAATATTAGGCAAGGGAAAGAAGACAAAGCCAGCACATCCAGCTGCGAAGGAGGAGGCTACAGAGGCTACCGAAGAAGAGTCTAGTAAAAAGGAGTCTGCTAAAGACTCTGAATCTACTAAAGACTCTGAATCTACTTCCGGAGAGAAAGGTGACAAGAAAGATGGAGAAGGTAGTGAAGGCAAAAAGGAAGAATCAAAAGAGGCCCCTCCACCCCCACCACCCCACGGAGACAAAACTCCATGGCAAGTTTTCACCGAAACCCTACAGACTGAATTCAAGGCTTCTAAAGAATGGAACGATTCCACCAAGCAATTGGCAGAGGGTGCCCATCAATTCACCGAGAACGAGAATGTTAAGCGAGCTAGACAAGCCTTTGAAAGTACGACTGGAGCTGTATCTTCAACAACGGGGAAAGTGTTGAAGACTACTGCAGGTGCAGTAGGCAAGGGAGCTGCTTGGACCTGGGAAACTCCAGTTGTGAAGGGGGTGAGAACTACTGTCAATGCTACAGCCAATGTACTTGACAAGGCAACACAGCCAATTCGACAAACAGAAGCATATAAGAATGTCAAGAATGTGATTGATGATGGAAGTAGTTCGAGGTACGGGGGATGGGTTGAGAAAGAAGAGAGGCGGAAAGCGAGAGAATTACGAGAGTTAGAAGACGGGACGAGTGGAAAGAGTAAGGAGGTTCCTATAGAGGACCCAAAGTAAGTGCCACATCCTAATTATAACAATTTGCAACTAACAACTGCAGCGCCGGCACACACGTCACCCTACACAAGGATTCTGCATATAAGGAGGCCTGGAGAGATTTCCGCGACTCAAATCGGGTCATGCAATCCATATTCTCCATGAAAAATGTCTATAATGAATCCGAAAACCCCTTGATATCCACCGCCCGCAGCATATCTGACCGAGTCGCCGGCTTCTTCGCCGAAAATGAAACCGCCCAAGTAATCAAATTGTTCCGCGAAATGGACCCCTCCTTCCAAATGGAACCTTTCCTCCGCGAAATGCGCGAATACATCCTCCCCGAAGTCCTCGACGCCTACGTGAAAGGCGACACCGAAACCCTCAAACTCTGGCTCTCAGCAGCCCAATTCTCCGTCTACGATGCCCTCTCCAAACAATACACAACCGCCGGTCTCAAATCCGATGGTCGTATTCTCGATATCCGACATGTTGAAGTCTTGTCCGCGAGGATTTTGGACAATGATATTCCCGTCTTCATCATTACATGCAGAACACAAGAAGTTCACGTATATAGAAACGCAAAGACGAATCAACTGGCCGCTGGAATGGAAGATAAGGTTCAGTTGGTTACGTATGCGATTGGTGTTACCAGAGTGGCGGAAGATGTTAATAATCCTGAGACGAGAGGTTGGAGACTCATTGAGTTGCAAAAGAGTGGAAGAGATTACATATGATGGAATCCATCTTTCCCGATATGACTTTGTATTCCCAACCTTCTCCATGCGGGGTTTATATTGAAGCTATAGCGCCCCTTCGCCCCTCGTCTCTCGCAATACGAAACACCTACCTCACACAAAAACGTCACGAATATATAAGTACCCATGCACCTACCGTATTTTCATCCTTCACCAAAAGGCCAGGTTGATTATCATCACCCTCGCACTCACCACATGTACATTAACATCAACCCCAACATCAACATCAACCACCTAAAAGCAAAAGCAAAAGCAAAAGCCAGGCGTTTCAACGGAGAGAAGGCGCGGGATCTTTTCACATAATGAGCCTGGACATGTATATGTTTGCACAGGCCTGCTTCGAATTTTTTTGCACATGTAGTAGGAGTTTGCAGAATCAGAGCAATCTTCCCACTCTAACTCTAACGCCACTCTTGCGACTGATCAATTTCCATGAGGGAAGGAAAGGAAATGAATACGTCCATGCATTGTACAATTAACGATCGAATCGAATGTATATTGAAATGGCAGATGCAGATGCAGTTGTAGAGATTATAGATTATTATCATGCGTCTACCTATGCTGTCTTGTCTTGTACTTTCTGTGCTCATCCTCTGATTTTGACCTTGCCATCTATCTAACATATACCCAATAGTGCTATAATCATATATATATAAAGCTACTCTCAGAACGTGCATAAATAACTTTGATACTAGAACAAAAGAACAATAAAAAAGCAACTTCGCCATAAACAAAACACCAACCCCATTCTCCACCTCTAGCCCCGACCGACATCATCCAACTACCTAACCATCTAAGCATCATCAGCAAACCTCACGCTTCCCCTTGCCTTTCCCTTTCCCTTCCCCTTTACATTCCCACTTCCATTTCCATGCCCGCCTCCCTCTCCACCCCCCTCACCACCAGCCATTTTACAACCCTCAAGACCCCCCGCGCCATCCATATCCAGATCCATCCCCATTTTCACTCCACCACCACTCTCACCCCCACCCACATGACTCGCATTTACACCTTTACTTTTAGCTCCATTCAAACTTTTATCTCCATTCATACTTCCATCTCCATCTCCATCTGCATCTCCATTCCCCAATGCACTCATACCCTCCACAACTCTACTCCTAATCCTCCACCCTATCCTCTTTCCCCTCATTAATCCACTACCCATACCACGCGCCATACCACCAGCCATATACATTTTCCTGCACGCATTATCCCGCTGTGAATACTGTGAATGCTGTTTCGCTTGCGTAGCCGTGTTTGACGAGATACTGGTAGGGGATTCCCTCTCTCTCTCCATCTCAATCTCTAATTCAGGTACCGGTATACACAATACCTTTTCCCTTTCCCTATCCCCTGCCGGCGCACTCACTCTTCTTTTTTTCCCTAGACTATTCTTTAGGATTCCTTTTCGCGCTGTAATTTTCGCACCTTCACCTCCAACTCTATCTCCCTCACCGACATGCGAAAATCCAATCTCCAACATATCCATACTCTCTCCAGTTCCAGTCCCAGTCCCACTTCCACTTCCACTTCCACTAACACCAATACCCCCCTTCCCCTTCTCCACACCATCTATACCATCCAAACCCATACCAAACCCACCACTCCACCCCACCGCTTCACTCTTCGACTCCCGTCTTCTGTTTCTGTTTCTATTTCTCGGAGAATATTGCGAGTTTACTGCCATGTTTGCTGCTACTTGTGCTGGAACTGGGACTGTGATATCGGTTATTTCGTCCTCTTCTTCACTCTCACCCTCACCCCGGTTCTGCCTTTGCTTCGAGTTTGGAATATGAATATCCTCCGGATAAGTCTCCATTACCCCATCTCCCCCTCCAACTGCTGTAAACATATTCCTATCTTTAATAACCGTTCCCATTCCCATTCCCATTCCCATTTCCGTTTCCATCACATTCGCGCTCTGTATCAAACTACTCGCCTGAGAAAACTCTGTACCAGCACCTGTATCAATTGAAACAACCGTGATCCCCTCACCAACAATCCTCGAAGAAGAAGCAGCAGAAGAAGAAACCAAAGAAACCACTTTCCGTTTCTCCTTCTCCTTCTCTTTTTCCTTCGCTAATCCTTTTTTCTGTTTTCTCTGTTTTTTCTCTTCTTTTTTCAATTCTTTAAACATCTTTTTTCTTTCTTTCCAGGGACTTTGACTTTGATTTTGAGTAGCAGCTTCGCGATTATTAATCCCAATACGTGAATCTTGAGTAACAAGCAACGGAGTTAATTCAGACACTGTCGCTGCTGCTGCTGTTGCAGTGGTGGTGGTGGTTTTGGAGGTGGTGGTAGAAGCTATGCTTGTATCTGTATATTTCCTGACTTTTTCTCGTAAGAGAGCATTTCCCCCAACGCTAGCAGCAGGCCGCTGAGCAGGACGATGAATAGGAGTAAGGCGAAGAATGTTGGTGAGAGCTTGAGCTTTAGCTTGTGCTTGAGGTTGTTGTTTAGCTTGAGGTTGAGGTTGAGGTTGAGGTTGAGCTTGAGCTTGAGCTTGAGCTTGAGCTACAACTAAATTTCGGAGATCCACATTAGACGAGGGTAATTTGGGTCCATTGAGATGACTAGATTTGAAATGTGAAGGATAGGTCTTCAGTTGTAAGAGTGCGGGTTTGAATGACTCCGCTTTGCGTTTCGATTCCTTGAATATGTTAGATTTAGTCACTGCAAGATTCTTCCTGTTCGTCTTGCGTTGCATTGTATTTCGTTGCATTGCACTGAATTGCGTAAGTGCTGCTGATTAGATACATGTATAGATATCACAAAGGTAGGATTAACATTACCCTACCACCACACTGTGGACGGTATCGTAGGTCACTCACAAGGATATGTAGTAAATAAGTAAGTCGTATGTGATAGAGATTAAATATATATTTTGGGTGAAGATTCAAACACCGCGCGAGCAGAAATGCTATTTGATTAAGTCCTCCGATATGCAATTTTATCTATGAATAACTTTTGGGGTTTATTTTGATCCATCACTTACATCTTTTGGTTGGTCGCTGGAGCTTGTGTCGTCATCGAGTCCTTCTCCATTATCATTATCATTGTCTTTTGCGTGGTGGTGATCCTCAACTCCTTTGGCTGCTTTTGCAAGATCGACCGTCTTGTCTTGCGTTGTGAGATCATTGACGATGGTTGCATCTTTCTTTGCAGCGCTCTTCGATCTTGACCTGGATCTCGGTTTCCTGTCCGAAGGTTTGACGAAGATCTGTTTTGCCCATAGGTCTGCATACTTTCCCTTGGAGTGAAACAACTCATCGTGAGATCCTTGTTCGACTATTTGGCCATCCATAATCACAACAATATGGTCGGCATTCATCACAGTTGACAATCGATGACTATCATCAGTCAGTATGAGTAAGCAACACTATCAACACCATGGACTCACGCAACAACAAAGGTTGTTCGACCTTTACACAATGCTCTCAATCCCTTTTGGATTTGTTGTTCGGTCTCTGTGTCAACGGCGCTGGTAGCTTCGTCGAGAAGAATGATTGTTGGTTGTTTGAGAATAGCACGGGCAATAGCGACACGTTGTTTCTCTCCACCGGAAAGTTTCCTAAGCTGGTTTTAGCTAATTGCGAGCCAATGAACATAAAAATCAAACTTACACGCCACGATCACCAACTTTAGAATTATAACCTTGGGTACTGACGTTAGCAGGATGTCAATGAGAGCAAAGAGATGAGCTTACCATTGGCAAATTTCATAATCTTATCATGAACGGCAGCAGCTTTACATGCTTCGTATACCTCCTCGTCCGTTGCGTCTAAACGAGCATATCGAATATTGTTCATGACGGTGTCATTAAATAGAGTAGGGTCCTGTGGAACAACACCAACATGGCTACGCAGACTAGGGGTTCTATATTAGCGACGTTGCTAAGTTTTGCATCTTTGTCTTACCTGTGCATTGTGATTTCTCGAATATCTTGACCATCGATTTTGATACTTCCCGATTTAACGTCATAGAAACGATCCATCAATTTCAACATTGTCGATTTACCACCGCCAGTTTCACCAACAAATGCGATCGTCTTCCCACCTGGAGCAAAGAAACCGACATTCTTCAAAATAGGCTTTCGCTCATCGTAAGAAAAACAAACATCATTGAACTCAATTTCACATTTACTTATCTCGAGTTCCTTGGCGCCGGGAGCTTCTTTGATAGAGGGCTCTGTCTTGAATATTTCCAGAAGGCGCTCGGCATCCATTAGAGAGCTAGAGATCGTTTTGTATGTAGAAGCAAGGAATGCCAATGGAGCTGATATATAGTTAGTACACACTCATATAATCAAGCAGAATCAGGCTAATTTTAAGCATCGAGCCCATTTCGAACATTAGACTCATTTTCAACACTAAAACAGTGTTGAATTGTAGAGGCTTTGAACAGACATACCTTGTAATTGGCCCCAGAACATAAGCAGAGTGGTGAACTTTCCAACGGTTTGACCTTCATATACTACTGCATAGACGCCAAGGCAAAGTACACCTGTCAGTCCAAAGCACATAATTAAGCTCTTGGCTATGGAAGTAATGTAATGGAACCATTCATAAGCCCATTTGGAGTCAATATGCTCTTTGATGACTACAATAAGTTAATTATGCGGTTACTTTAGGGATACTAGGAAGTATAGTACACGCACCTCCTGAGTATCGTTGATTCTCATAAGGCACCATGTTAAATAACTAGTAGTTCGTTAGTGTTTGTACAAGTCGATTGCCATGCATATACTGACATTTGCTGTTGTCCAGCCATCTAACGACTCTTGTCCCACTGTCCATTCTTTTCTGTAAAAGGTTACATATTTCCGACGTTGGTCGGCTCTCATAGAGATCAACTTTACGGTGGTGTACATGTAAGATACAAATGTGACGACCAAAACAAGAAACATGTAGGGTCCAAATGCACCGAAATAGATGAACGCAATGACTAAATCGATGAGCATCGGAATCACCTGGAAGAAGAGCGTCTCCATTAAGTCTGCAACAGATCGACCCCCATTGACTACCTGAAACAAATCCGCAGAGGATTTACTGTCATGGAAGTCCGAAGATAAGCTCATGATATGGCTATGCGCAGCTGAACTGAGTGTTTTGTACGCGTACTGTTCCAGGGGAGTCCAGAGCCATGCTCGGACTACAGTGAGACACGAGCCACCATTGATAAACCTTAGAAGCGAGTATAGTAGGACAGGTGTCCAGATGTTATGGCTGTGATCTAAATAATCAGCAAAAGTATTTAGTGCCTATGAGAGAATTACTTACCGCCCCCAGTATAAGTAATCAAGCTTTGCACCATTATACCGAACTGTATTGGAACAAGGACATTGAAGGCATTGCTTGACAGCATGGCAATGCCAACAAGAACGGCCCGAAATTGAAGTTTTCTGTCACTCACTGGCCAAAGGAAGGGAATAAGCATCTAAGAAGAGTGGTTAGTCTAAATATTCCAACAACGACTTGGACACTGGAGCCGTACAGAAAAACCTCTAAGGTAGGCCCACCAGTTGCCATCCTGCTTCAATCTATTCGCAACAGCCTTTTTTGACTGGCGCTGCTGTTCTAGATAAGAATCTTCCGAAGTCACACTAGCAGTATCCGACCCATCCTCTGCACTTTGAGCACCTTGAACAGTTACTTCATCCGTTGCACCATATCCATTCCCATTCAGCGTGGAACTTTCGGAGCTAGATGGAGCGGAAGTTTTCTTCAATAGCGATTGTCTCTCTGTATCACTAGGATCATGAGTCTTGCCAGAATTGTGGAGATAAAAGTAGACAACAGGTAGGGCGATGAGGTTGAAAATTCTTATAGCTTGTAAAGTAATGAGTATATAGTCGAATGTCGAGTTGGTTGGTGGGAAAAACACATTTGGAAAAATGGCCAGGCAGAGTTCCACGAAGAGACCGATGAACCAAGTTCCATAGTATGGGTACCAAGTCGGGACTTTCGTGTCTGCGAGCGCGATTATCTCAACCAGGAAAACCAGGGTTGATGAGATGAGGTAAACCTTCGAAAATTAGTACAGAAAAAACAAATCTTATTAGATCATGTGGAACATTAGAAGAGAGCGGGAAGTGCTGCTCCTTACAATCAGAAAGAAATCCACTTACAACACGGTCCTGTCCAGGATCCCATCCTTCTTCTACCAACGATTTGATAATAGCAACGACGATCTCGACAGCCTATTGTCACAAACATATCAGAACAATGATCATTGTGTGGAAGCGTGTAAGGATTTTTATATGAAGGAAGCAGAGAGAGAGAGCGTACATATGTTCCAGTAAGACTGGCGATTAACCACAATATCATTCCACGACGGACAAACTGGTCTCGGATACGCGATTTCTCTGCCTGCATATAGCATACGGTAATCCCGAGTGCGATGAAGAAATAGGAAAAGACGATTGTCGGGTACGCATATCGAAGAAGCTTTAGGGCAAACCGAAGCTGTGATATTGTTAGCAGAGACTCTTTAAATGCTACGGGAAATCGAATAATTATACGCTTACATTTGGAGAAGCAACTGGAGTGAGCATTGTCTTCATCATACTCGATGGAATCAGATCCATTGAATGAAGTGAAGGATATACACTGAAGGCTGCGTATAAAGTGAGAAATCAGCTTCTGTTGAATATTGTGTGTAAGTGTGAAAATGTAGAATCGCAACTTTTACAGGTAGGAGAGAAACTGGATTTGATAGCAAAAATAAGGAAGGGAGTAGTATTTAAGATAAGTTGGGAGTGGAATTGCTGTGTCGCAAATTTCAAGAGACTCATTGTCATTGAATTATAGAAAGGACATTCATGTATTTTGTTTAGAATATAGCAGTAGCGCAATGTTCTTTACTAGTGAATATCTCTCTCAAAGGCCACAATGTGGTTACCCTTTTTAAGATCCAACCATATTTCAATTATTGTAATCATATCAACTAAACAACCAAAAGCTTCTCATTGATAAAGATTGAAGAATGGAGTGTCTTGTGATGTCTTTAAATAGGGTGTAGTTCACCACATTTCTCTCATAAACTTATTGTCCATTAACAATCTTGGAAAGTTCACTGTCACCATATATATATGAATGGTTTTTTGGCTTAGAATATTAAAAAATTGAATCATAACTCTAGAAATAGAGCTTTGAGTAAAAGACTTCTTACTCACTTGTTGTAGTTATCTACTCCTATTATGAAGGCTCAGACTTTTCAAAAAACAGAGGCAGAATTGGTTTAGGAAGTGGAAAGGAGGCGAATATATAAACAATTTCTTACTCACCAGTGTGACTTATAGTAAGCGCCTTCTTGTACGACACTCCCCAATTGTTATTGTCAGCTGCCTTGAAGACCACCAAGTATGGTACTCGAGTAAACCTTGACTCAATAATACCGGTATATCCTTTGGAATATAAGTTGCATGATTCCGCTGGCGCTCACTGGGGCTCCTGTATAACTCTTATGAGGTTACGTTGATACTCGGCCAACCAGATCTTCGGACTCGACTGGGCGGGCTTGTAGGGGCTATAGGTTGATATACAATATTGGCAGTTGAGTCCCGGTCAACATCCAAGTTATATAGTCCAATCGAAAGAGGAATACGGATCAGGAGTAAGGCTGCGGTGCATGTTAAGTAATGATTCACAGGCAAAATGCGCACGTTCGAAGAAAGATTTCCCCAACTTAGGGTTACCGGGATCCATAATATCTCCATCCCTAGGTAGCTTGGTTTATAAGGTACTCCCCAACGATAAGGGCGAAATCATTCTAGTTCGAACCCGGTATATGAACTTGTAGATCCTCCATTGTTCATTTGAGGCGATGTCTTCACGCGCGTCTATATGGCAATTCAATGGTCCGTCCTATGCACCATGGAAGCGGCAGTACCGTGCATCGTAGTGGTCAATTCAATGAATATGAATGTGTTGGGCATCACACTACCTACTCACTGCCACTCCCTGTATCGTATCGCAGACAAGGTAGATGCCTTTGTGCAGTATGTATGGTGATTTCTCTTCCTTGTTGTGCCTAGCGCTGACCAAAGCATGTCCAATATGCATGTAGAAACTTATGGATTACGCCTTGGATTTGGGGATTTGGTCATGGTACCTCCCTTTAGATTGATATGATCTAGAGCCAATCTAATGGTTTTCTCAAGGTAAGGTACGAATATGATCATGCATACGAGTATAGGTGATGCATATTAGTATAAAGAGTCGCTGAAGTACCGTATACCTACTCGAGTGTATGAGTGTTTAAGTGTTCGAGTAGTAGTATTCATGAAAGTTTGCATTGGAAGATAACCAACCAACCTCATAGCACTCACTACTGTATCCGAGCTAATACTCGAGTAACTGTGTACCGGTAGTGTATATTGATTGCATTATCATTCCCATTTATATTTCTATCTGCAATTGATTGTGTGAGACAATTACAATAACAAGATTTGGGCGTTCGTGCGACCCCCCCCAATGTTGCTCTCTCCAGCCATGTTTTTTTTCTTACAGCAGTCAACATCCTTGCAATTTCAGCGCATGCCCACACTAGCCAATTACCGTCCGTTCGCCGTTAAAGCCTTTTAACCACCACCCATTTGCTAGAGATCCCGTCTTCACCCGTCACATCCGTCAACCGCTTTATTTCTCTCCACTCAACCTTTCAACCCTTCAATTCACCCACGACTCCACCACTTCAGCTTGTAGGCGTGGTTTTGTCCAACAAGGAGTCGGAGCAAGTGTCCTATGGAACCAATCACACGAGCTCGTTCGCAGATGTGTATTCGATGAGTAGCATGTCCATCAATTGGTCCACTCGAACCATTCTTCAATCTCTTGGATTCATTTTTGTAGTGCACGAACACTATCATCGGGAATGAAGAATAGCCCATGACAAATATATATATACATTGGAACATGATGGAAGGGGTGGGAAGGACCGACGTCGTCATGAATGTCTAGAGTCCTCGCACGACTTCACACAACCGAAATCTGCAGCTGCAGTCCTCCAACTTTTGGAGCGAGCTCCATTTCTGCCGGGACGAATCATCTCTCCCACTAATCGGTACCGATATCTAATACCTTGCATACAACCTACGGAGGGTGCACGACCGAATGACTTCCACCACTCGGTGCCATTGTCCCACAAAGCTATTCACCCTATGGATGATGATATATCTGTCCGATTTTGCAGGTCTCTTGTCTTGATATACTTCATTGGACGACCCCGTCTCGAGCAGTCTTGCGAAATCGCAAAGCCCACGATAGGTCGAATTTATATCGTTATATTAGTGGTACATGTCCCCGCGGTACATTCGCTGTTTTAATCCTCAATTGGAATATGCCAAGTGACCATACTTATGATTTCGTACATTTTCGTGCTCGTTGGCCCTCTATGCAGGTTCTTTACAAGGACCAGCGTATTAGCCAGCCAACAGCCAACAGCCAGGCCACTGGGATAGCCACCAAGGCTTGTCTCAAGCATACGATCTGTCCTCATTAGTTTGATTTCTAGAATTCAGCTCATGGATGTCTGACGAGCCAAGATAAAATATTATTGAAACTGGGACATAACGCTAGCTGATTGGCCGGCTTTCCCTCTTTTCAATAGGACTATTCATATCACTGCATGCCATCGGAACGATCTAAGATCTGCACAAGATATTGATGATTTGCAGTATAAATATAGTGATATCCCACATCTGTCTGGCGCCTTTTCACGATTGGACCAATGCTCGACAAAACTCGGCAACTAGCAGTTTGTTTTGGGGCAAACTTTCCCAACAATCTTGTTCAATTCAATAAAAGAATTCAGATATCTGCGGGGAAGGGGATTTTTATCACATCAGTATCTGCATGTTTATTCTGAGATGTCATTTGATCGCATGAACATTTGCAGGTATTAAGTAAAAGGAATTGAATTGAATGGTGATCGAACAACCACATCTCAACCATCGGATGACCGATGCTTCTGAAAACTAAAATACGGCATCTTTCCCGATTAAAAGATCCCGAAAGTGCCTCCTTTCAAAGAGAATCTGAACGAAGCCCTCCCAAGCCATGTCACAGCCAGAAATCAATCTGAATATTCCAGCCATGCGTCCAAACCGACCGAGGAAACCCAGGCCAGAACATCGCTAAACCCTATTACATCAATCAAGATCCCTCACCAGTACTCCCAGTGCCTCCATTGCCTCCAAACTCAAGCTTTACTCGAAAGGATATTTTGTCTCTCCTTGAGCAATGTTCCAGTCTTCGAAGTTTTGAGGTAGATTACCATGACCCTGAGCGGTCGAGGCATTTGTACCGAATCCTGGGACAAACAATTGATTGTGGTGGCCCCGCGATGGACCCTGGGTGTTTGCCATATTTAAGGTGGCGAATTGGTCTACCATCTGGTTCGCATTGGCAGGTGAGGATGGCCTGCTGCGAGAGATGGTGTTGGGAGGGGCATTGAAACCCATGCTGGCACTTGGCATTGCAAACGAGCTAGTACTGCCACCATATCGAAGGGTGGGTGTGCTAGACCTGCTTCCAGCGTTAAGCGATTGGAACGAAGTCATCTGGCTGGGCGTGAAGGGTCTTGCCCGACCACCAGATGGAAACGTTGATTTGCTCTGGGTTGTTCGTGGTGATGCAAATCTGATTGGAGAATCTGTACCAGACATTATGATAGAACTAGTGCCAGTCATCGTGTTTTGTTGTGCTGGGCGATTGTAGTATGCGCTGACATAGCTTGGTGGTCCTGGCTTAGACTCAGTAACTGTCGGTTGATTGTGGTACTTTGAAGGATCGTTGGCCATATTCGCCAAAGCCGACGCGCCTTCCTTGTCCTTTGTAAGCTGATCCTTTGGACCATTGGGATCCCAATTTGGATTGGCAGTCGAGATGAAAATATCATCATCTTCTTGATCAAAACCCCTAGCATTGTTGAAGTCCTTTCTGGTTTGGCCCGTGATCTGATCGATGATTGCCTGTTCCTCAGCGCTCAACTTTGGCATAACCGGCTGCTCATTGTTTGCAAGTGCTTTCATGGCAGTGTCAATTGATGCTTTCATGTCAAGCGGCTCTCCTGGAAGATAGTCGCAGTGGTCAGTGTCTGGTGTTTCCGGGTAGGGGATGTGGCCTAATGGAAACTCCTTGTGTGTCTCAGGATCACCACCAATTCGCTGCCAATATGCCCAGCTGGTTGGCTTTGCCTGGTACCCACCGGGATTGTAATTGATGGCGGGTGGCAAGCTATCCCAGTCGGGAATAGGAGCTTTCTTCCATCCGGTAGTAGTACTGGCGTCAACAATAACCTTCTTGCCGACGCTTTTGTGTTCATCTTCATGTAAAGTTCCGCTGGTGCCTAAAGTCTGAACGGCAACTTCCTTGCCTTTCTTATCACTTGTAGGTCGTAGGGTATTCGCGTCGTCGATGGATTCCTCGATAGTAACGCCGAATTTAAATGCAGACGCGATAGGGTTCAATTGTGTTCGAATTCCAGGTAATGCTCCACTTGTAGATGACATGTTCCCAAAAACACCACCGCCTGGTGGCTTACCACCTGAATAGCGTCTGGCTCTTTGATATTGAGAGCCGCCACTATTATAAATATGACCGCCCGGCTCACTATCGTATATGTCCTGGCACTTGACAGTGCGAAGTTTCAAGATAGGACCATTAGGAACAATTCCAATACCAAGCTGCATGGCGATGCGGTAGTAATTCCAGTAATTCTCCATTGGACCTTCACTGCAATCCCAAGTGACCCATTGAGCCAACGGACGACTGAGAGATGTCTGGGGTGCTTCAATGACTGCGCCTTCGATGGCGGGAAAAGATCTGTCCATTTCGCCGTGGCCGGAACGAATGTCGACGCTTCTGATCAGGAATCTACCTTTACCCTTGTATGAAGGCTCACGTTCGCGTTGATCGATCAGATCCTGTAACACATTGATCAACGACTTGAGATCAAGATCGATAGTCAAATTGATCTGATGACAACTTGTCTGACCACCCTTCTCATCGTAGGCGACCACGGCAACTGGTTTCTCTGCGAGGGTGCATCCGTTTTGTGATAATTCTTCGCAGAACCTCTTGAGCTCAACACATGCTTCCTCGTATGTAAGGGTGACAAGCCCGCTGCCAGTGGGATTCAGGACAGAGGGCAGCAGACTGCGAGCAGTGTGGCCCGATTGGGAAGAAAGGTGGGTGGAAGCGACTGAAGGCACGCGGTAGATGGGATCGAGGCTACCAAAGTTGTGATCATCGTATTGGTCGGCCGCCGGATTTTCCGCAGAGGGACCAAAGCCATCGCTGGCGTTTTGTCGGAGGAGCTGCTGTAATAGCGCGGGAGTTTCGTCATCTTCGTAGTGATCCATGTTAGCTATGTCGCAAGTGCTGCTAGCTAAATGCAATGGGTTGTTTGGGTCTTGGATTTGATGAAACAAAATAAAACAACGATGTGAAAATTGAGATTAGGAAAAGAGGTTGTTGGGAAGAAGAAGTTTCTTGGTGTGCTTTAACTGTTTTGTAAACAAGCACTAGTGTGTTTGAAAATGTCAAGCGAGTGAGAAGTGAATTCTCATTGTGGTTCATTTGGAAGGTGAAATGTTGAGTGATGTTTGTGGTGGGATGAGAGTGAAGTATGAAATGAAGCTTTGAGTGAATGAATGAATGGGTTCTCACCTAAATTACCCACTTTGGGGGGCACAGCGACTAATGGTTTAAGTCAGTATGAACAGTCAGTCAGGTAGATGAGAGGAGACTTACACGAAGAACGAGCCGAATAATAGGTCTGCTCCGAACTATCTATATAGCCAAAGCCGTTAGTACCGATAATCATAATAACACTAGGTAGAAGTGCACATTACCATCGTGGCTAATCGAAAGACTGGGACGAACAGAACCAGCAATGGATGCGGCGATTGCAGCAACAGATTTGCGAGAAACAGCTGAAATATCAATGTTAGCACAAATATTGGTCATGATTTTCAAACGGAGAAGGGTTTCTCACCAGATGCGTGACTGCCAGAGCGACTGGTGCGATTGTTTCCTAAAAGGCTGTTAGCGGGTGTTTTGAGGTGATAATCGGGTAGATCGAAGCCAGTGATGGGATCCCGATCTTAATATCGGTGGAATTGCTTTCGCTGCCAAAATTCAAGAGCAAGAATTGTCGCTGCGTAGGGGAAGCTTCCTATTGATCAGAGGGATATGTACTCGACGGATGGCGGCTACTCGGTCTATATATATAAATATACAAGAACCCGAGTAAGTACCAGCGAGCGAGGAAACAAGCTCCGGAGATCCAAATATCATCAAATCAATTATTTCTTTGCGAGTTCAAGTTCAGAGAAACAGTTGAAGATAAAGAACCCCTTTACTTGACACAATATATAATTGAAGGAAAGGAATAATAGATGGAATGGGATATTTACTTACGTGAGGAATCCATGGTGTTGATGAGGTTGTAAAAGAAAAAGAAGAAGAGACCAAGAAAGTAAGAAAGAAAAGGTGAGGAGGTAAACATGGGAGGGAAGCTTCCGGATCCTTTTCCCCTCGCTTAGTCGGAATTGTCTGCCTGATTTTTTGGGATTTGAGTACTGTGAAAGAGATTTTCGAGGGTTTTGATTGGGGGTTGTGGGAAATTGGAGCTGGGGTTAGTGGGCTGTGTTTGGGTTTTCTGGTTTATTGTTATATCTTGTGGGTTTTGGTTGTGTTATTCTGCTGTGAAATTGGTGGTATTCTCTTGCATTTGGTTTGTTTTTGTTTGGGGTTATAGAGGTTCATGACTGAGGAGTGTTGGGTATCTTACTGGAATACTCTGTTTATTGTAAGTTCATACTGGTTTTCATCTTGTTTGGTAGAGGGAGGTGCTTTTTATTGTTATTTTTGGAGTCCTATTAATAGGAGCTCTTTGCTTGTCATTTTTGTGGCAGTTTTCTGGGTTGTTCTTGGATTCCTGGAACAAATGTTCTTCACTCATCGATTTTGATTCATTTTATAGTGTTGTATAACTTGAATCAGAAATCTGATGAGTGTGTGCTACACTGCTTGCAACAGATATCTTTCTTCTCTATTCTATCACCAGTCTGTGGTGGTTCTTTGCTCATGGTTTTGGTTTTATTTATTGGGATCTGGGCTCAGATCTATATATCCGACAGTTGTTCAAGGATTAACTGAGAGAATAATTCTGTTTGTTTTCTTGTCAGATCTATGGTTTTGGTGGTTGTATGCTGCATTATCTGAAACATCTATACTTGATTTTACAAGCTGACCTTGGTTCTTTAGATTCTTGGAATACCTCACGCTGCATCAAACAAAGGTGACTATTGTCTATGTATCTTGTTTATGTCTGTCGTTGTCTGTTGGTTTCATGGTATGTGTTGATATCAGATTATAAAGCTGCATTATATCTTGCATGTGATGTATGTTCTTTGTTGTGTAGGCTGATGTTAAGTTTTTAGTTGGTGCGAACTTCTCTTTTGTATCAGATTTGAACTCTGGTCTATTGTCTCTTGTTCATGATCACTTTTCAGGTTGGCATGCGTTACGCAAAATAGGTGAGCACTCCTTGCAGACGACCTGGCTATTATTTACACTTTCTTGTCTATTACCTTTCTCTCCCCCTTCCATTTTTTTAATCTGCGATTAGCACCTTTGTTCCTGCTACATGATTTGATCTCTCCTCTCATCTATCCCATTTCGAGACTATGCTAATTTGAATCCTTCTTCAAACCGCAGTCCAACATCATGAAAACCAAATATAGATCCGCAAAGCTCGGCAGGCCTCTCCTTTTCTCCCGGAAAGAGAACAAGATGAACTTATGTTCTCACCATCACCTGCTTCCGTCACTGGCCCCAGAGAAGATGGATCATTCCAGACACCAGGTGCTGTACCATAAAATCTGACCCCATTTCCTACTGGTAGCTAGGTAGCGCACCAAAAACGATTACTACGAGTCCTACGGTGGAGCTACATTCTTCTGTGAATGCCTATTTTATGGAACGCTTCTGTTGCTGGAATGACATATTGCGGAGTTAATATACAACATCTACCTACTATCACTAATGAGTTTCACTCTCTTGAAGATGTAGGATGGTATGCATCTGCCTATATTCTCACAAGCTGTGCTACGCAATTGATCTTTGGTAAAATCTACAAGTTCTATAACTATAAATGGGTTCTGATGGTGGCAATTTTCATATTTGAAATTGGTGTAAGTACTCTGACTCCGTCTACTCAATCTCTAATCCGGTATCTTCAAGACCACATCTAACCGTCGCTTTTCACGACAGAGCGTAGCGACACGAGGAAAGCTCAGAATGGCTAAGGTCTCAGGATTTCTCACATTGTATTCTTCCTACAACCTCTCCACCAAGAAAATCTCTTCATGATTCTTGTCTTTTCTGGTGGCCGCGATCTAAAAAGGGATATACAAGATTGAAGAAAGAGAAGATCATTGATGGATTAGCTGCGGAAGCCGTTCGAGTCGAGCATGATGTAATACGATACGCAATGGGATTTATCAGGACTATTCTGCGGGGTCGTCAAAATTCAGATCAAGGAGGGAACCCACGACAATGAAAGGTTGAATTGTAAAAGCTAAATACGGGGTTATTGGCGAAAGAGGACTCAGAATTAGCATGTAGTTTAGCCTTGCGATTCGCGAAGAATATCGGCAATAATACTCATAAGTTTATGTTCTGGTTCCAAAAGATAGAAAATCATGATCTGGTAGGCTAGCTATGGCAAGTGAGAAAATCTCAATCGCTCTGATTCTGTATTTACTGATTTCGTGGCTGCTGTTCGGCAGTTTCATCAATGGTGGTCGTTCAACTCTTGAGCGGCGCAACGATGAGATACAGGCCAAGTCATCAATGCAAATGCGATCAACGATAGCTTTTGATGCAATGCATGGCAACCAATTAATCAACAGCACTCTCGAGTGTGACGAATGGTTATATGTCATGGTTCTCCCTCTAATTTCGAAAGAAGAACAAGATGCATGACATCAGAGATTCGAGACTAGCCGTATCTAATTAACCTTCATCTAGCACGAAATCATTGTAAAATTGGTATTTATAGCCGTGGATGATGATGCATTCTCGGTTTCCCCTTAGGTACCGCCTTAACTATCTAGCATATACCCATTCAATATCCTACCAAATTCCAAATCTTAGAGCTTTATTTGGACAAAGAATACACCGATTACCAAAGACACGAGAATCAAAAATTTGGGATTGTTTGGCAGAAAATCTAGGGTCAATGCTATATTAGATGATGATAACCAGCTCCTTTTCTTCTGATGCGAATCTAATTGCTTTTCACCATGTCTTCAGAGCCATATACCATCTTCAGACGATGTCAGATTACTCAACTTTAGCACCTGCGTAAGCATCCTCTGCACCTCGAATACTTCGTGGATCTTAGCAGCTGTCGCCGATGTGGCTTTATAACGCCTTTTCCTATCTGAATTTCAGAGCTCGCCTCTTTTTGGGACATGTCAGAATATAATTATCATCATCATAATCGGATATATTGTGTTTATGTTAGTCTGTCTATTATGTCGATGTCTGCCCTTCTTTTAAACAAGGATGGATGTGTGGACACATGTATGATATTGTGTAATTGTTTGAGAGGCACTACAACTGTAGTATGCTTTCGCGTAAACTCAGGAGCTTCGTCTTATTGATGGCACATGCGAGGTAGACCTAATTTCTGTATGGAGAAGCAGTAGAATTGGTCTAAAACTCGATGACGTATTGATCTAGATAATGAATGTTTAATAAATCGCTTTTGAGTTTCATCGATAGGTATAACTAAAATAATAGACAATATTATTGCAAATAGGCTACACAACGAGGCCTCGCGGGGCAGGTTATTAATCTAGTGAATAACCTGTGGATTATAATAGAACAAGTTATTAGGAATCTGAATAGGTAATTTATAGATTATTTGTGATATCTATAATCCATTTAACCTATAGATTCTATCACGGGGCTGGTACAGGTTCTGGTGGGTACTAGGTATGATGTATGATATTCGACGAGGAGAGAAGGAGGCGCGCGGAGCGACGACGACTATATGGTGGGTGGATGCCTAAGGCATCCATCCGAGCTAGCTAGGAACGGGTAGTGAACCCGTGACAGATTCTAATCTGTTGTATTTTATTATTTTATTGATCTATAAATAATCTATAGGATGGATTATTTTAAAATCCTAATGGGTATTTGTAAAATAGGTTAGTATTAAATTGATGAATAATCTATAAAGCAGATTATCTGCAGATACCTATAGGCTGCAGGTTATTTTTGCATACTAGCCTAATTGCAAGAGATATCAGCGATTGTACTCGAGTATATATCCTAAAATGCACGATCAAAATATAGGATATTCCAAAAGAAACTTTGAAACACTATATGATTTGAACAAGTACCCTAATTTCACCCGTCTCGCAAAGCTTCCATCACTAACATGTGACAAGGATGAGGATGACCATGAGGATGTCGAGACAGAAGGTGATCTAGCCATACTACCTCTAGCAGATGGTAATGCTTAATAGCCTCCGAAATGTATGTATGTACACAAATGTTGCCAGGACAAAGGACAGCGAATTGCTAAAAACTAATTCATGTACGTCCGGAACGATATTTGTACGATCTACCAACATGACTCCATTGTTCAGACGGCCTTTAACATATTTTCAGATATCGGTTTGATCCTCATTCCTCTTCGAACGTTCTGCATTGCACATTTGCCCTTCAAGTGTAATATCGTAATGATAGCATAATAGGAAGAAATTCGTGGGAAATATCAGCTTATTGCACAAAAGCAAGAGGTTTAGTTTGCTGGACTAAGCTTTTAGATTCCATGCGAAGAAGAATCTTCCGTCGATACTTTTGGGAAGAAGAAATATATTCATTATATCTCTCAACCTCAGTCTCCGTGTTCAGCGCCGCTTCCTGAATTGAAGAAAAATAAATGGCTAAGAGTTGAAGTCCATTTTTTAGACCAAAGTGCATGACTTTGGTGATGAAGTTCTGCGCAGCACCGACGACAGCCGCTCTTCGTATAGACTGAAACAAAGCCTCTGCCTCCGTAAGAAGCACCGCTTCTGACAGGAATCATAATGCTATATGGCTAAAAGCTTTTCTCAAAATTTCGGTCCTCGAATCTATAATCACGTAGCGAGCAAGCAAGCATTTTTTTCTCCTGAGCAGAAGGCTTCCAGAAATGGAGTAACTAGAATTCACCAAGCCTTAAGGTATCGATCTCGCAATTATCTATTACTTTGCTGACTAACAAATCAATCTATTTAGTTTGACCATGAACCAAGTTATCATCTTTTCAGAAGAGAATCTAGAAGTATTCAAGCTGTTATTTGAATGGCTTTACACGGGTTCTATTGAACCCCACGAAAAAAGATTGAAGAATATCGAGACTCATCATATCATGTGAAGTAGATAATACATATGAGAATCAAGAAGAACAACGAGTACTGGCGTTGCCGCGATTTACCAAGCAGTATGACGCAGCTGCAGAAGACAATTGTTCAAACTCTCGTTTATGGTATTTAGTGTTGCAGATGCCGTTCTTATGGTGACCTACTATGTAGACTAGACATGGTTTGAACAATTAACAAGGAGATTTTATGGTCCACTACAGCTATTTATGTATCATGAAGTAGTGGATCTACAGGGGTGATCCAAAGTGATATGCAGGTTAGTTATCCAAGATCTGCTCCAAGAATGGCTTGTTGAATTATCTACTCAGCGTTCAAGTGTTCCCTCGTGATATCTGTAAGAATACCTAGCTCTCTCTGTATAAGAAATATGTATATGAAACAAGTTTGTTATACCTATATCTATTATATCTATTATATCTATTATATCTACTCCAACTTAGGGCATACATCATCAAGATAAGCTCTCCTACCTACCCAAACCTTCTATAATACGTTTCTTGCTTCGCCGCAAACAATTGATAGAGGATCCAAGTCAATTGGAGTACTATATGACAGATATTAGATATATTCGAACAAACTACGGTAGTTGTGAACTCAAGTTGACGGTATTATGTATATAGCCCGAGAACAAAAACTCTTGGCATTAAAACATTCGTCAAACAAACTCGAGGCGCGAGAAATATCTTTTGGATGGACTAGTATAGTATACTGCTCTTTTGAGCTCGAAAAGAAAGATGAAAAAGAAGAAGAAGAAGAAGCGAAAGGGAAAGTATTTAATTGCTATAGCGCTAACAGAGTGAAATAACTGTCAAAGAGAAAGAGCAACGCAATAAATTCATATACCGGTACGTACCAATATTTCCATCATGTGGTCGAGGATGAGAGTTCATTCCCACCGCAGCTGAAGCTTTGCCTTTAGTTCATTGAATTCATTGTTTCTGGCTAAAGTGCACTTATGGGATGGGGTTAATGTATTATTAGTGAGGTATTGGAAATTACGAAATTACGAAATTTCAGGATTGTGGTTACGACTACGATTAAGGTTACGATTGCATTGCGATTTCGATAGATAATTAAGTTATTTATATAGAGATTTATTTATTGATCTGTTCAAAGTAACCATGTAACAGAATCCTCATTATGAACTCGAGTACCAGTAGTAAGAATATATACAGATCAATGTGCCGTTATATGAACCTAAAAGACTATAAAAGGAGCAAGGAAGAAACTAAATACGAGTAGATATGAGATGAGGTCACGGTATGGTTAACTGATCTCATGAGTAGTAAGATTAAACACGGGTCACGGTGCGATTAGATGTTTAGGCAATTAAGTGTCACGGGAGAGTTTGGACTCTGGAGAAGATTTAAATTGAATAGATCCGGACTCAGACTCGAACTCGAACTCGGGTTTGGAGGGGAGATTGCTCGGAATTGAAGGCTGGAGTGTTGGAGGGTTGGAAGGTTGGAAGGTTAGAAGGTTGGGGAGGGAGATCTTGTTGGATGTGGGATGAGATGAGATATGGAGGAGAGTACGTACAGTAGAGTAAAACATAAAATAGTTCATCGGTACCAATACTATATAAATAAAGATGAAACCTTCAATTGAGAAATCGAGAATCCCCGGATGAAATCAACTTGTATCAACATATCACTCAACAAATCGAATAATATAACCGATCAAGAAAGATGAAAAGGATACCGTGACCGGTATGAATAGAGTTCATCATGTATGAATCCAAACAGAGATTACTGTAATAGACGTAATGTGATAAAGTTTTCAATTATGTAGGTCATAAGAATACCAGATACTACATAAAATAAGAATACCAGATATTAAATGCACAATGCCAGCCAGCCAATCATTAATTCATTCATCAATACTCCTAAACCCCCATTACGCCGCCCGCCCAACCACCACGCTAAATTCCAGCTCCAAATCTTAATCCAATTCCTTACTCCAACCATCATGCGTGTACGGACCTGCAGTATGTGTCTATTTTAATACTTTTCCTAACCCTAGATTTCCATCATTTCCTCTCCTACTCCCTCCCACCTCTCTTTCCCCCCAACTTCAAATAAAAATCTAATACCTAACACCTCTCTTCCCCAACTCCTTTCTACCGACACTCTCCTCAGGCCAAACCCACCCTCTCCCCCTCTTCGCCTCCCTCTTCTCCGCTAACTGCGGCTCCGGAATCCAGTCATCCTTCGGCAAAACTTTCCTCCGCGTCCCCTCCGCCGGCGCCCCAATCTCACTCTTCCACCCCACTTGACCCGGAAGAATCTCATCTCGGGCCAACATATGCAAATACCAAAGCGCCATCAACGCCGTCATCTTTAGACATTTTCCCGAGGAATAATCCTCTCCGATTTCGCCGCGACCAAATGATCCCTCGACCTCGGAATACGTTGACGTGTGGGGATTATCATGAGCAGCCAATTGAATCGTTTGAACTTCTAGATATCCAAAATGAGGAATTAATTCCGAGCCGTTGCGGACGACGACGAGTTCTATTTCTGTCATGATGAATCCGTAGCGGCAGTTGTGTTCTCGCATGCATTTGTGGAGATGCGCTAAACCGCGGAGATACTCCACTTTGCGATGATTACCCTCAACGCGCATCCCGGTGTTCCAACGATCGAAAGATTTGACAAGGCCAACTACTCGACCGAGACCACGTCCATAAATGAGTTGAGAATTATCATCCGTGTAATTGGAGATGAAGGATGGATCTCCGGATTTTTGTCCAGAGGATGAGGAACGCATCATGAGATGACGATTTCCTTGGGAAATGGAGAGAGCGTGGTTGCATTTTGTAGCGTAGAATGAAGTGTAGATGTTTTGGAGTTCGGCTTCGGTTTCCGGGTTGGCGCAAGAGCGAGTTGGTTGGTGGAACATGCTGGTTGGGAGACTTACGTTGAGGAGATCGTGGAAACCGGGGATGGATGCGATGGTATTGGCGTTGAAAGAGGTCCAGGGTCGAATTTGACGGACGTCCCACCAGAAATGTTTGGCGCTGCTATCACGGACGTGGATGTTGAGTTGACAAACTAGGGCTGGAGCGGGGTTTTGGGAGGTGAGGTATGTGGCGAGGTTGGTTGTTGTTCCGTTGTCGAGATGGCAAGGTGTAACATCGTTTATATTGATGCTTTGAGCAAGTGGAGAAGGCTCACGTGCAGGAGTTGGGTATCGCTCATGTGGTTGTGGTGAGTATGGTTCCATGACTGACATATTGGGAGATTGTTGGATGTAATTTGGCATTTGACGGTAAGTTGGGAATCCATATTTGCCCAATGTTTGACCGTCAAGACTGGAACTTGAGGAACGTCTATGTTGTTGACTTTCAATGGATTGAACAGCATGCATTGGTGAGCAAAGAGTAGACATTGGTCTGGAACTGGAAGGGAAAACATCGGAGTGAAAAACGACTGTCTCGGGATTCGTGTAGCTCCTATTATGAGAAGGTTTGAATGCATGAATAGCAGCATTCTTTCTTGAAGTTTTTGTTACTCGCGTTCCAGTTGAGGGGAAAGCATTGATATCCTGATCTTGCGGACGAATCTTAGGTAACAGCAAGGGACCATGCTGTCTAATTGGTGATCGTGCAGGAGTCGTCATCCGGGTACTTGCGATGCTAATAGAATCAGATGGCGACGAAACCTGTGAGTAGGTTGACACTTGTGAACTTGATCGAGAATGACCAAGTTTGAATGGAGCAGTGATCAATGGCTCCTCGAATGCGAATTGTGGAGGGGTGGTTGGCTCAAATGAGAATGAAGAATAATTAAAGGACATATCTGCTACCGGACTGTAAATATGACACTGTTAGCCAAAGCCATAATAGCACATGTGCGCCGACAACATTAGATGAACTACTTACGCAGAGATATGGGTAGAGTGGTAGTGGTAGTGGTAGTGTTGATGGGCGGTAGGTGGTCTGTGTCTATTACAAAAACACTAGTATTAAAGGTATGACGAAGGAGCCGGCTCCAGATATTTTAGTTGCTTCAAGATCGATTGAAAATTATTAAAAGATGTGATGATTTTGATGAGCACAGCTCTTCTAATTTGTTGATGACAAGAGAAAGTGTCTAATGGAGAACGAAAGAAAGAGTATGAGACGAGACTGAATAAGTGAAAATGAGATATGAGGTGATAACCACCAGTACTTATCCCCATGGAAGAAGATTGAGTAGAACTTAGAAGAGTAGTATCCAATTTACCTAGATCACTCGATGAATCATAAATCGGCTTGATGTCCGGACAGGGGTATTCAAAAAAAGACCCAAACAACCCAAAACGCGGAGTAATGTAGTTAGACGGAACTACTGAAGGTATGCAAAGTGGATATGATACTGTTTCTTGGTCGACAAGAATGAGGCCATTTGGTTCGTTCTTCAGCAGGCGCCGAGTGAAAATCATCTCAATGCACTACGGCATGCAACGTCAATGACTCATTTTTAGATTCTCACCCCCGACTTTGGAAATGGTGGATCCGGGGAGATCGGTATCATACATGGGAATTGAAAAGATACACATATTGAATGTACCATGTCGTGTTACTAGGAAATGTAAGATATTACCAATCAAGATCAATTACCACGAATGAAATCAAAATAGAGGCGCTCGGCGAGAAAGTAAGCCAAAAGAATACCGGTACAAGTATCCCCGGTACAGTTATCCACGAAACCACGACATCGCGTGCAACTTGGCGAAATTTCTCTAAGCGCTCGCGTTACCTGAAGGAGAAAAGTCAATATTGAACAACACAACAGTACAGTACAGTACTGTAGTCTATTAGACATGGGTAGAGACAATAACGAGAATTAACGATAATAAACAATAATGTCATCGAGTACTCGTTGTATTGCTACTCAAATACCTAAGAATAATTCAACGCTTTTCTCGACAATTAGCGCTTGGCTAACGAAACCTTTTTCTCGTCTTTAAGACATGTGACCGGCCAAGTTAACGACCCATTACAGTACAGTAAGTAGTACAAGTAAACTGAAATAACTTTCGATAGTCGTGAATTAAAATTGCGGAGCATAAAACTAAAAAATCTCCTCACTACTGATACCAAGTCAAGTACCGCGACCGGCAGACGCTTTTGGTATCTAATCTATTCTATTCTTACACAGCCGACTTGCAAGCGCTCAAACTATATCATATCATGCGTTATTGAATCAATCTTCCCCAAAGAAAATACCGGTCAAGGGTCACGATTTAGTAAGAAGAAGGTTTGAAGAAATGGAGACTGGCGGCTAACGTATCAGGGTCGTATTGAGCATATAACCTCTTCTCGAACATTATTGGTGAAGGAACACACGCCGACAAGCGAATGGTTTTCGGTATGCTGTACTTGTATCCTTGTTAGATCTTTACTTTTTTTTTCTTCCCGACGCGCTGCATATCCAGGTTATCGTGTAAATAATAGATTCATACATGGTCTATTGACGAATCAGTTGAATTTTGGTGTATTTGGTTGAGATTATTGGATATTGTTGCTTGGTATCTCTTGAAATGATAGAAGCTTGTATGATATGATTGTAAAAGGCGGTCATGGAGAAATGTTTATCTTGTTTCATGCATCTATGTTTCATGATCTACGTTTGAGGGTTTCAGGAAGCTCTGACTCATTCTTAACTGTACAGACTACCTGAGTGAGTGCATTGTGTAGTCCGGTGTAACGGGCTCAGACGAGGAACTTCTTGGAGGGATGGGATTGAATATCGTATCCACAATTTATATCTGCCATGATGCCATCTGATGTGATATCGTCACGTTATTTATCAGATGAAAAAGTCGAAAGTCTAAAAGTACTAAGCACAGCAGAAGGCCAAACGGAGTAAATGGAGGGGTAGCTAATCGTCAAATCCATATTGATATTCATTCATGGCTTTAAACTTCGGCCTCGAAGAACGGTCTACCAGTATCTAAGATTAGATTTCTTCATCTTCATCTTCACACCCGAATTGAGACGTCTCGCCTTTCTAAGACAAAGAGGCCAAGATGGTACTGTCCGAGATTTCATCATAGAATTGGGACATTTCTCATGACTGCATCTAGCATCAAGGTAGTATTTCCGTCCCGGATAGCTCGCCTGAAGTATATCTAAAAATGGGTTCTGGAGTTTGGAAAGGCCTAAAGCGCTTAGACGGTATTCAAGTCGAGGTTAGATGGAGGGCCCATGATAAAGGCCACTGGATTTACTCGTGTAGGTAGTGAGTTACTGTAGTGTTATACATCGAAAATACGAAAATACGAAAATATACATTCGTACCCTTGAAGGGCTGAACGAGAAGCTTAAAAAGAGAACATCACGGATTCTGTTCTATTCCGAAAAACGAGAACGAGGACAAATGTTTCGTGGGGTTTTCGTTTGTATATCTACAGATCGTTTGATTGGTTGATTGTTTCGCTTCGTCACTCGTGTGACATCGGGGATTTCATCTGAAGATTTTCTACGGAGTAAGTGGATCACGTGCGTGCGTCATCTTTAGTCGCTCGCTCTTTTTTTTTTCCGCCCGGCATTTCTCGATTTGTGAGTTCCACTTCATTTCTTTCTGGGCGGCTACAATACCTTTTCAGCGGAGATTTTTATGGACATTGCTTACGCGGATAATCGAGAAACTTACTTTATTCATATTTATTGATCAAGGATCAATTATTGAACTATCTTTGGGCTTTTGCTCAAGTCTCAAGAGTCCAATGACGGGTATTAAACCTTCCCGTTCACGTGATGAGATAATTGAGGTTGTGATTTAAAGCGGATTGTTTTCGTTTCGCGCGCATTGTTATCGTCCTCGTTCGTTCCTTCCTTCCTTTTCTGCATCTCATCTCATCTCATCCGCATTTCAAAGCTTTCGAGTCCTTCCTATTATTTATTCCGAACATCACCATCACGGTTACATCCTTTGTACTCTTATTGCGAATCTTAAGCACCGGTATTCGAACGATCACTGCAGGAATATCAGCTACCGGTATATCACATCAGCATATGTAACAGTAACAGTGTTCACATATGTCATGGTTTCTCCGCGAAAATGAGCAGTGCTCATAAAGTGGTCCTTACCGCTGTCTTAAAGTTGCGGCGGCTACAATCATTGCGCTCAGACTCTTGTCCCGTCCGGTAGATGGGAAAGGAAAAGAGACATTTCTTAGAGATTTGAATTCGAGCTTCTAGTATCGCTTTTGAGGAAATAACGAAGCTCTCGTTGTTTGGTACTTTGATCATTGGTCTTGCTAAAATCATTGCATTTATCTGTCACGCTTTACATGCAAACGTACCATCCTCCAGATGTTGCACGTTAATACCTACTGGCTGCAACGAAATATCGGCCAGTGATTTGGCATCTCAAACGATTTAGGGATCCTCTATCTCTCAATTCCATCTATTCACGAATATATTCAGGAACTTACTCAGGTGTTTGGTGCTGAGATTGGAATGTTTCGTTGTTGATGAGTATTAAGAAGACTTTCACTCAAAGCACCGTTCGAGGAAATCCGTTGAAGTTATGCTCATTAGACCATGTTTTACCTCACCGATATTCTTCCCTAAGATCAATACTCGCATCCTTCACTTTACGATCGGAGCGAACATATTCCTTAGAGAGGAGTCTTTAATACGAGCGCTGTCGTATTGTTTCTATCATTTGTTATTCAAATCAGTTTGGACACTAATCAAGATATGAAGTCTCAATATACAACGGTGATTGAGATATTAAGATTATGTTATTCAACCTGGCAAAATAGATTGAACACTGACGACTATCCGATAGCAGTGATTATCGTTTTCACATGCTTGTCTGTTTTTTTCTACTCGCAGACAGCAATAGTACGTGCTAAATCCCTCTATCAGTGTAGACTTCCCCTCTAGCTATATATTATACCAAACAGCTGAACAGATTATATGATTGGAAAAATCTGTGAAGTGGATTAGTTGATTATCCATTTTTGCTCCATGTATTTATATTAGCAATTAAAACTAGGCTATATATCACTTGGCAGTATCCAAATGTGGCTGGATCGTCTCAACTCAGATCATAGCATGACAAGAGTGGGATTCTCCTTCAATTGAGTACACCTCAAATTCGAAATGTGCAAGGCATCTCTGGGACAATATTTGTTCTAGTCAATCATTAAAGGTCTTTAGCAAAAAAGTTAATAAATTCTTATATGATTATATAATAGAGGGCTTTAGCCAAAAAATTAAAAAATTCTTATTTGATTATATAATGAATCCTGAAGCCCTGATTGGCCTATTCAGGAGGGTAGGTGACGACTAGCCACTTCCTCTCCACTTGCTTTTTTTCAATCTTTCCCCTTTTGAACACCTCCGACGCTAACCAAAAGCAATTTAGATTATAGAAATCTATAATGATACCCAATGGAAATGATGTTCATATCAGCAGCTCCTACTATACAAAATAGTAGAAGTGTATTATATTCATGAGACCTAATGTATAAGCTAAAATTTCAATAAGAATTTATTAATTCTTTTGCTAAAGACCTCTACTCTAATAAGGGACTGTCTTCCAGCGGGATGCCCCGTATTTCGTAAGCACTTGTGCTAAGAAGGATTCTTATCCGACAATTCTAAACCACAATAAGGTGTTTTACAAGGCTGTGGGAGGCGCAGCTACTCCTATTGTCCTGTAATATGTCGATTATTGATGGTTACAGATCCTGCCTTCGATGCTATATAATTACTTGGGATTCTTCAAGTCTTGTTCGTTCTCTTAGTTTTGTTTTGCAAAACTGGTTACAATTATCACGATGCACCCATTGAGTCTCTCTCCCACAGTTTTGCTACTCTTCTCACTAAGCAGTTCACTTCTAGCTGTGGTTGAATCCTCCACTGTTTCTACTTGCTATTTCCCCGATTCGACCGTTGCGAAGAATCATGTTCCTTGTTCGTCGACGCAAATTGGAGGGTGTTGTCAAGAATCGGATATTTGTACCCAATGGGGATACTGCGTGAGCCAATCCAAAGGATATCATTATAGAGGAGCATGTACAGATAGCACATGGGAAAATCCATTATGTCCTGATTATTGTCTGGCTACAAGTTGTGCGTCTTTCAACAATTCAATACACTTCTTCACACACACTAACAATTTCTAGCCGGCAATAGTTCAGCCGTGAATGTCATTGCATGCAATGCCGCTAACGCAGATGGAACATGGTGTTGCGCGTATGACGGAAATTGCTGCTCGGGATCTTCAACCTTCATACAGGGATTCGGTACGATGTTTGCGGAAGCTTCACTCCCTACTTCGGGAGCAGCATCGGGCTCGACAGCCGTTCCTGCAGGTACAACAGCTTCAACATCAACATCAGCATCTTCAGCATCTACTTCTTCTCCCGCGGCAACCGACACGCCCATCTCATCAATATCAAGCAAGTCATCCACAACCCCAACTATAGTCGGTGCAGCAGTCGGTATCCCATTAGGTCTCGCGGTCGTTGCGGCGCTGTTTCTCTTTTTTCGTGAACGCGGGAAGCGGATGAGGATGGGTTTGGGTTTGGGTTCTGGGGGTGGGGATTCTGGGGTTGAGAAATTGTCTGACGGCGAGGGTGATGGTACTCAAAGTGGTCCTGTGGGGATTTCGGGAGTGAGTATGCCGGCTGCGGGATATTTTAATCCAAATGCACCGAATGCAACGGATGTAGTGGGGGAGCCGATGCAAAGGTATGAGGAGATGGGCGTAAGGAATCCACATTATGAGTTGGGGTCGGGGAGGGAGAAACCATTTGAATTCGGGGAGAGATAGGGGTGGGGAGAAGTGGTAGAGGGAGTTGGGTTGAGGTGAAAATTTGAACGATCAAAAGTTGGTTGAATAATTGGGGGTTCATGTTTGTGGTTGAGATTGTCATTTACTGGGTTGGAACGGTATTGATAGGGACTTACTTACTTGATATATAGGACTAGATTGAGTTTTGAGATTCAAACTTTAATATTGAAGACCGGGGTCGGTCACGAATATATGTTTATGTTGATTTGACAGAGATTTTAATTCATCTATCTATCTATTTATCTGTTTGACTATTTATTCTAGAAAGTATTTACTCCAGCTCAATGCCAAGAATTCTGGCCAGGGTTATTTGTACATATATATACACACAAATAAATACCCGAGGCATTTTGGTATTTTATAAGGCCTGACTAGGTCGATACCTTATGTAACGTAATATAGCCTAGTTAATAGTTCAAGAGCGAGGTATACTCGCACAGAACGTGGTACGTTAATGTGACGCCATATTTGACAATAAGATCAGCCATTTCCGTTGAAACTTGGAATACCTCGCGCGGGTATTCCTACCATGACTATTATACCCTCGGTATATAGTGATAGGAAATACAGTCGAAGTCCAGCGGGTTCTGTTACGTTATCTGGTAGCTTTATATCGGAAGGATGTATTGATATTGTATTTGTACAAGTATTCCTTGATAATTAGAGAGCGAGTTTTGATTTTGGCGAACACGAGTGCGAAAAGGGGTTGTGGCTTAGGCATGTTTCTATTTATTGGTATTCTTCCAGATTAAAAATCGCTCTGCTAGCGATGGCCACTTTTAGAGCAGAAAAGGCTTGTTTACGATCGGAAACCTCTTTTGGATGATCTTGTATTTGTATGCGATGAGTGGAGCTTTATTTTTACGGATCGCGATGCTGGCCTTTTAGTTTATATATCTCTTTATATCTTTAAATCTTTGATGCGACAATCAATAAATCCGTAAATGGTACTTGGTACGCTAAGAAATTTAATCTCAGTGTCCAGCAATAATTTCGAAATTCAAGTCAGAGTCTAAATGGTCAGACAGGATTAACTAAGTGAATGTTGCGTGACGTTCGGACTTTGGGATAGTAATCAAATCGTCCTGGTAAAATTGAGCTTCGATTATCGGTCTAGTATAGTATGTTCATATATGAAACTAAATCCAAGTAGTAACTGCAAGTGTATGAACGACGCAGCTAAACCTCTTTTGTGCCTTGGCACCGGCAAAGTTGGCACAGATGAATTGGCGTTGTAAATAGACTAGACCGGGCAGTTTATAGACAGTACTTGCGAGTAATAAAAAAGAAAGTGAATGAAGAGATCCAAAGGAGTTGAGAAGAATATTTTGTCGAGGTTCTGAGTTCGGAGTACCTTGGGCTTGAAAACTGCGTCGAGATCTTCAAAGGGTGTGCCGTGGAGACTCGAGGGGGTTATTGCGCACTAATTGGGCAACGTTCGCCGTTAGGCTCTAGCTACTCCTGCGATTGGGGGCTTGGATGAAGTTATCTTTTGGTGGATGATCCCCATATTTTTTTTGTCTGCAGCATCGAGAGAAAAGATACGAATAGTTACACTTTCTTTTTGGAAGTCGCTTACATATCTTAGCAGCATTTGTAAATTGGCTAAAGAACTCAGCTTTCTTGCTGTGCACGGAGACTGTGAGATTTCAGCAGATGAAATACACATTGGGTTACTTCGTCCCAGCAATTCCTCTGTCAGAGATCAAGTTGGATCGTCTTGACTCGAGTTGTTGGGGATAGTGCGTCTAAAAGATACCGAGTGCAAATATAGATTTGCCCCATAGAAGCCCGTTGGACTCCTTGTTCTGTGAAAACACCTAATATACCAATATCTGAAATCATCATTGCCTTGGTAGCTATGGGGCATCTTCCTTATCTTCTTGGGACTATGAGACCCAACCAACGAACGGCCATCTTTATCAACGCCTATCTTCCTGGATATGCTTTCTACGTCGCAGCCAACAATAAATGTTTTCTTGTATATTTTAATAATCAATATCAACAAAGCCTTTACCGCAAGCCATATCCGTCGCACTAGTTTCCCACATTGGACACTCAGGAGCGCCTAGTCGAAGAAAATATGCAGAGCTTCAATTATTTCAGTTACTAAGAGCTATCTCGCTGATGGAAGGAAAAGAATTACACGCGTCAAGACATTGAACTACTAAAGATTAAATCACTCCGACAAGATATGTCCATCTCATAAACTCCGCTTCTTAGCGAGTGAACTATTAGATACAGTAGTATTGCACTAACCTAAAGACTGTATCTAAACGTGTCTTACAATCTGATCTCATGGCTTTGCTTGAGCATTAATAGTTCCCAGCAAATGATGCAGATATTGCAAGTAAAGAGGGAGATCTCCATCTTGTCAACAAACAGAACACACAATTATCAGATATCAAATCATAATCAAAATGGCTCAGATCTCGATGAAAAACGAAGGTCAACCAATGAATTACACAATAACCCACTATCGCAATTAACAACACACTCACGAAGAATTCGTCAAGTGGATAGTCGAGGAGCATCTCCCAGTTGCCATACACATCTTCAAGAAGTATGGCGTTCTCAAATATTCACTCGTAAGTATTTTTCATCAAAATTTTGAATAATTCACAGTGCTGAGTAGCATCTAATAATTAGTTCGTCACGTCAGCTTCTCTCAATCAGGTAATGAAGCAGGAACTCGGAAAACTTTGACCCAGTTAAGATTTCGCCGACTTCGATTGTTTCATCGAGTACACGATTCACCATTACATGATTAAAGAACGTATGATTGCTCGGCCTCCGAATTCAGTTGCATTCTTCTTCTGCACGAAAGAAATGACCCTTCAAATTCAAACTTACCATTATATTTGCTGGCCATCAACAGATGTATGCTATACTCAGTAAAATTACTGGGAGCACCTCTTTCCAGTCAAATATAGGTATTCATATAATTTCATCTAATTTGTATGTCCGGCTTATAATACTTAGTAGAAGCGCCAAGCTGGATGTCACTTCTCTTATATTGAAATTATCATTCTTTCATCTGAGCAACCATCTGAATGTTTTAAACTTTCAAATATCGCAGTATGCTTTGCGCATCTGATCTTCTTTTTGCATGCCAGCAGTTTGATTTAAACGGACCAAATATTCCTGCACCATATGGCTCTGTATCGATTTTGGACAGTCTATTGACAAGTGACAATCACATTGCTATTACCTTCATCACTATCTGCGTCCTACCTTTTGTCATCTTTTTATGATTCGGTTTTACGCAAAGTAGCCCGTGAAGGAGATCAATACGGCTGACTGTAAGTTCTTGATGCTATCTAGAAGACTAGAACGTTTCACCCGTGTACTGCTTGAGCTAAATCTTTCTAGATTTGACAGTCATGGCTTTTATAGGTTGGCCAGTCTGGTTCAGCCTTTCCAGCTCAACAAGCGAGGCGTTTATCCACTTCACCAGAGCTAAATTGGAAGTAGATAAAAGCTTATGAAATCTTTAAAATGAAATTGCTCTAAACGATCCAATGTGTGAAGAATCGTCTCCCAAATTATGTGACTACTAGGGGCAATTCCATACTTTTCCCTTCTGATCTTATAATCGTAAGATTCTCCGTTATTTGCGCTAAGACTTGAGATACGACGTCCACCGCCGACCTGGACGGACAAGGCAGACAGTTGCCGAATAGCGCAAAAGTTGGTTTAATGGCTGGAATTTATATTTGTTTGGGTGAAAGAAATAAGGAACCATATCTGGCGAAGATCTCACTCTCATTTCACTTGGATGCATAACTCGACAGCTATGAATCGTGACATCTGCAGCGACTACGACACGAGTACAATTTAGAAGATAATCTAACTGTCAATTATATTCCTTGCTGAATTTTGTTTTTTGATTTGTTCATCTAGGTCGTCGCCTAGGCCTCAAATGTAAAATATTAGTCATAAATTAGTCACGCGGGGTAATGAGACCTGAGCATACTAGGTAGGTATCCTCAGTTTTCACTGCAAACCTCGGATCAATAATTATGGATCAAGTAAAGGTCAAGTAAGGATGAAATCTACAATATAAATCATATAAACATGTGTCACTTCACGGATAATATGTACCAACGAATACCAAATCACTTGATATTTCAAAGTCAAGTTCTCAAAGTCTGTTTATTAGTCACGTAGTCACGTAAGCTCTACAAGGGCTTCGGATAAATACGGTAACTAAGGAGCTCCACTGAGAATCACCGGCATTGGCTGTCGACTTCGAGTCCATGGGCGGCAAGGAGAGGTCGATGACATAGACACAGTGACGGTAAAACAATTTCATATCCATAGGTTCCACCAGCTTGGATGAAGCAGAGAAACAAGTCTGAGTTCAAGAAAATAAAAAGGAAGAGTCAGCTGTGACCACTTCAACAATGGCGCTTTGGTCGTCAAATGAGTGATACCCACCAAGTCAACCAGCTCAATTTTCTGTCCGCTTTATCTGGCATGCCAGTATTCTCCTCACGATGTTTCTTCTCCACAATACGCATGCGGATGTATTACTTGCGCAACATCTAACAATTCAATTATGCTGACAGTAATTCTTCGCTCGTGTATACTTCCTCTATCCTCAATCTCTTCTAGTCGAGCTTATCACATTGCCCTACCAATCATCCATCGTCGACTTGTATTTTGTAAATCTCGCATAATATCGAGTAGTTATCCTCGTTCGATCAGAATATTTCATCCATAGTTTGCATCCTGCTAATTAATATACATTTAATATACATATTTGGACCAGCAATACCTGATGTTGTGAAGAGACGAAGATTCGTATTCTTCAATGCTGAGGGGAAATAGCTTCGGTTGTAGTCTCTAGTCGCCGCTAGAGCAACATCTAACATGCATGTATGTGGTGTAGATCGAGTGGGATGATGAATGAAATGCCAGATATGGTTTTTTTTTGTCTCCAATAGAGAGAGAGAGAGAGAGAGAGTTGAATTCACGATACTGACCCTGCCTAGCTTCTACTCGTAACAAGAATACAATGCAAACGTGAGGAAGCTAAAACAATATCGAGGGTCCAAACTTATAAATAGTAACTCAGGTTATTATAACGATACATGACAGCTAAAACTTATATAAAAGGTAATTATATAACTAAACTTTTCACTCAATCATATACTGTTACATACTGTAATTATAACTAGTTTTCCTCATTTACTCATGACTAATTAATATATTACTACTTTACAGTACAGTACTCAGCAAAGCAGAGCCGCCGAGAGATACAACAACTAATTATTAGGCCGGTTATTAGCATCAAACAAACACAACGAATGAAATTCCATCAAATGCGGGCTGGACTCATTAGCCATAATACATACATCCATGAAGCATAATTCGCATTTCATGATTCACAAAGAGTATTATAATCTCATTCATATACATATATATATACATACATATACACCACTGGCAACAAACTCAAAGCAACAAGAAACACCCACAGAACTCAGTAAAGTGATATAGTTATATCACAATCACCAATGAATCCGAAAGTTCAATGACTGAGTACTATTAAGTAGGGGTCTTCATTCTTCGCTCTTCAAAGTTTGAAGTTTGAAGTTTGAAGTTTTTGAATTAGGACGGGACTGCACTGCATAAATATTCGAGATAGATAGATAGATAGATGAATGAACTGAAAAGAAATTTTTATATATTATAAAACTTAGAGATAATTGAGAACTTACAGTACTCGAGTAGAAAGCCAGCCAGCCATGGAAAAGAAACACACTAGCGTCCTTTTATTCATTTCATTCATTTCTTCATTTAATTCTCTAATCTTTTCATTCAATTCTTCAATTCTCTAACAATCATTCCATTCCATTTCAATTCCTAACCTCTAACCTCTAACCTCTAATTTCCATATTCATATTCCTAATCATATACACATCCAACCAATACCCCACTCCAACCTCACGGTCTTCACCCCACCCACTACTTGACTTCAATTCAATACTGAGTCATATATCTGTATGTATCTCTAGCATTTCCTCCCACCTTCCATCTTCCATCTTCCCCGCAGAAAAGACTCTGCATCCACTCACCCACTCAACCAACCCAAAACGCCATTAACCAACCAACCAACCATCCATCCCATACCATGCCCAAACCCAAGCCCGAATCTCTCGAATCAGAACCCCCCTAGTCCGAGAACGTTATGATTCTTTACAGACTTGAAAAAAAAAAAACACCACCCATTATCTATCATTTCATTTCATTTGCATATCCTGTTATACACCATCTTCTCCACTTCTAAACCCTCACCCCTTACCACTCATCATCAATTCCTCGTCCTTCTCGAACGGAAATAATCATAATTCATCGGATCATGATCGACACTGCCCCTTCCATCCAAATCCTCCTGCGGTAAATTGCCATACCCTTGAGGTCCACCACCCAAGAAACCCGGTGCTCTGTCTTGCGCCCCGGGCACAGCACTCGCAGGCATATCCTGCGCGCCTTGTACCAACCCCATTGTCTCCCCCGAACTACCCTTCCTCTCCCCAAAATACCTCATTCCCATTCCGATCCCCGACCCCCCACTCATCCCAATATCCCCCCCTTTCGTACTATCCGGTGTCCCTGACCTGGGACTCGACTTGAAATTTGGTAAAGTTGGTGTTCCCATTCCGCCTGAATTGACCGGTGTACCTGGTCGTGAATCTGGTCCCCAGTGCGAACTACCCGGTGTATCCGTTCTTATTATATCTTCCGCTCTTCCATATATTCCACCCGAACCTCCATGTTCCTCTGCAAACTCGGCTCTTCCTTTATAATACTCGAAATCCAGACGATTGTCCGGTACTAATTCAAAGTCCGGTACTCCTCCCTTTACAGAACGACCTGGCTGTCCTGCACTCATGGGATCCATGGCATAGGTATCTGAATATCCGGAAACCGACGTATTATCTCCAGAACCTAGATGGTTCGAATCTGTAAGACGACCACCGTAGACAGAAGCTAGAATATTTTGAGCCCGGGCGTGAACCATAGGTGTGATGAGTGGTTTGTACAAAGCCGGGTGACCGAAGCGAGAAGCGAGACGATCACCTTTACTACCAAAGAGTTTGGAACGCGAAGCTTCTGGATCTTTGAGCATATTGCGAATGCTATAGTAGTGAATCTTATCGTCAAAGGTGCGGGCGCAAAACCACTTGAACCCAACCATTAAAAATGGAAGAGGGATTACAGCATAAGCTTCCATGTGTGAACCATCTCCATGAACCCAAGTAGCGAGAAAGACAACGAGATTGGCAAGGATTGCCGCGAAAACTAGCCGGTTAAAAAGCATTCGCCAAAACATACCACCAGATTCGGTCTTGGTAATGAAAATATAGAGCAAGAGGTACTTCTTCAAGAAAACATCCAAAGAGAAATACATGGCGGCCGCCGGAATGACTAGAGGTTGAATGCATCCGAAGCACAACGTAACAGTGCTATAAAATAAGAAATAATTATAATAACTGGCATAATCAAATGCAGGCGGGGCAGTAAGTTCAATCATCTCCCGAGGCGTTGGACTCGAGAATTTCCTCGCGCAGAAACTCCACACCAAAGTCCATAATTGGGCCAAATCGACAGCAGCGCCCAAATTCCGTTGAAGTAACCAAGTGATCCAGAAAGGCGAGATATCACAAAGCGAAATGAAGATCAACAATCCCAAATCTGTCTCGTAGATAGCTTCCCAAGTTGTAGTTCCATCATTGGTTTTATTCACGACTGTGGAAACGAAAGTCCACACAGTACTGAAGATGGAAAACACCAGTAAATAGTTGAATACGAAGAAAGTGTACAGCTTTCCAGTAACGTGTCGTTCTCTAGCAGTCTTCGTACGATCTCCAGCCTTGACTAACATGCGACGGAAAATGATTGGAAGTACCAGATAAACCAAGGAGGTAATAGCCGGAGAAGCAACACCTTGAACAACAGACCACCAAACAGTGTGTTGTGCCAATGATGTTTGAAATGCAGGCCAAACACTACCCAAATTTGGCAGACTGACTAAGAAAATGGAAATCATAGCGTTTGGTGCCATCCATACAATCGTGAGCAAAGTAACCCATATGTTATTCATAATTCGTCGAGTTCTCCTCTTCTGCCTACTGAGAGGCATATTTTTCCAAATAATATCATTTGGCCGAGGAGCGAGTACGATTGTAGTTCCTTTGGGGTGCTTTTTCCGTGCTGCAAATGCAATACTGTGTGCTTCATCGATAGCCTCGTAACTTGCAAATCCATAAGGCAAAGGATTTCGATTATCCACGGACAAACGAACCTCCTTGACCTCCATTTCCAATTCCTTGATACGAGCAGTGAGATATTCGATAGCGTCGAGCTTTTGACCTTTGACATAAGATCCAAAATTGGGATCATCCTTCGAAGGACTACATTCTGGTCGTTTGGGTGGTAGATTCGCAGGATCCTTGAGATATCTAGCCAAAAACCCCTCCAAATCACGAACTGTCTGATTATGTTGTTCGATGAGTTCCGGAAGTACCTTGACATTTCTCGCAACCACTGTTCTCGAAAATGAAGATTGCGGCGCAACCACATCAATCACCCTACCGATCCCCTCGTCTGTTCGTAGATTTTTTGGAATATCGTTAATCATCAACGTCCGCGCATGTAAACTGGCCTGGTAATCCGGACTCTCAAAGTAAGTTCTTCTCAAATTGAGCACCGCCTTGTAATTCCACCATAAGAAAAAGACAATGATGAGATCGAATAGCCACGCGCAGATGGTCATACCCCAATTACTCGCCCCCCAAACATTGGCGGGTGTAACCCTCGTGACAAAATCCGTGGTCGAACCAAATTGCCCTTTAATCATATTAATCGGGATGAGGATGCCGCAACCTACCACCGTTATGCATAAAAAGATATTCCGGCACATTCTCAACACCCTCAAAAAGACCGTAGCATCCAATCCTATCAGATTAACCAACTCAACTTCCTTCGTCTTGAGCACTGGCCCCATCCAAGCCAAAGGACCCTTTCCCATGGGCGGGGGTGCATGTTTATCATCTGCGATCTTAAGTTTCGGTGCATACACCACCGAGTTATAAGGTCGAAGAAGAGAGAATCCGATCGCGAGCAGTAAGGTAAATCCTATTGATGTGCCGAAGCTGGCATAGACGGAATTTTGTGATAACTACTGAAACATTAGATATGATGTATCAAAAAGTATCGTGAGAACAAACCTGGGCCCGAAAAGGATTTGCCAACAAATCCAACAATTTCTGAGCATCTGTCACTCTCTTGGAGAGCACTCCATTCGTATGTTCCATCTCCATTTTCGTTTCCGTAGTGTCTTTTGTATAAAGCGAGCGGCAATGACAGGCCAAAGGCCGAACGAAGAAGAAGAGTTAGTGATCGTATGCGCGAATAGATTGGTGTAGTTCGATGTAAAGTGATGAGACGTTTATGATTCTCTTCCTATAGAAGAGTCGTTTGTTTGATCCTCCGAGCGAGTGAGTGAGTTGGGATCGAGGGGTGTAGAGGAATGGATGGAGGAGCGGAGGGTTTGGTATAGTCGTTCCTTGAATATCCCTTGATAGCGATACGGGGCCTACCGATACCTAGGTATTCTCTCTCGAAAATCTCACCCCTGTTCAACCTGTCTATTGTCAAATTGTCGATTATGAATGACTGGGATATAAGTGAGAATGACGGCTTTCTGGATGGGTCCTTGTATTTTTGACAGATCAGGACCTGCAAATAAGATTATTTTCGGGGAATCCAAACAAGCAAGCCACACGTTGGAAGTACCGGTGAGCCAATCCTATCCGTTTGAGTGTACGAGATAGCAGGTATATCTAAAACTGTAAGCAAATAAACGACGTTGATTTGATATATATTATCTCGAGAATAAGTGAATGATAGAATGACTGGATTAAGAGATTTTTTTTTAAAATGATTCACGAACAATCGAGTTAAATCAATCATTCACCAATAGCCAAGTAATTTCTAAATATATCATCCACGCCAAGTAACATAGAGTACAAAGAAACCATTTTTCTACTAACAAACCTCAATAATGACAGCATCACGTTGCACTAAATAAAAATGCCATCCTCACACTCCTCTTACTTCTCTCTTCCCTCTTCTCTCACTCTCACTCTCACTCTCACTACTCTCACTTCTCCCACTAAATCATCTATCCATCCAACCATCCAACCAAGCTAGGCAATGCAAGAGATCTACAAAATACCCAGAATCTAGAAGCCAAACACCAGAGTCGGACTAGACTGGCCCAATCCAATCCCCAACAAACTCTCCCATTGATTAATCCCCTAATATCTCTTACCTCCCACCTCCCATTGGTTTAACTGATACTGGAGTAAAGCAACCCCCTTGACAACTTCATCACTCATATCCTTTCATCATATTAAGTACCTACCGGCATTGTTATAGATATTTATAGAAATATTACTCTCCAGATTCCAGATTCCAGATTCCAGAACACAGTTCCTCCATCCATCAACATTTATTTCAATCTAGCTTTTCACCTTAATGCATTACATACACATCTACTCGAAATAGGTACATATACATACGTACCTCCCTCCCCACACATCCATCTATAACAATCCACTTCCATTCCTAGAAATTCCAGCCAGCCCCCCAAAAAAAAACAATCTAGACTCCATCTCATCTCGTCCTGGATAGGTTATCTCCACCTCATCCAAATCCCATTTCTCCTTCTCCACATCTCATCGAGATATACATACCTAGGTATCCATCCATATAATTATACAATCCAATACAATACACTCTATTATAATACATCATTCATCATCCATGATGATCTATCATTCATTATTTCAACAACTCCATCTACCCTCCCACTCCCACTCCCACTCCCACTCCCATCTTGAAATTTATTACTCAAGTATATCTTAACCCGCATCCCCAACATCTCACCCTCCCCCCTATCCCATCCCCTCAACCCACCTAATAACATAATCTGCTCACGCTAACCCAAAATACTACACTACACTACACTACACTACAAGCTCTCTTCTCCCTTTCAAAACTTCCCAAATCCCCAGATAAGATCTTTTCTTAGGTTTCTGAAATACTGCGAGGTAACCAATCAATAGTTTTAGAGTCACGTGATAGCCTAGAGAGGGTACTTATACCCCCTCTTCCAGTAGTTTAGATCAATTGTCATGTTTTACCCCTTCAAAGTTATACCTACCCTCAGTGTTTAGACGAATAGTTACTTTATCCCCCTTTGGCCATGACTATCTTTCAGTGACGCTACGATTAGATGATTCTTGTACGATATGTGGTTATGCCGAAGGCTTTCGTATGATTTCACACCTACCTTCACTCCTTTACAATACCTACCTAGGTATGTCTTACAAATCGTATATATCACATCATACTACAAATGAGCGTGATCGATCATACTCCATCCATACCTAGTAGTCACGCTGAAGCTATGTCTCACAATATCGAATCGTATAATCAAGATGAAGATCAATTGCATTGGATTTCAATTCATTTTTAAGATAGCATTTTCATATCCCGTTAATGATCAGATCCCCTCCTTCACCTCCCCATCCATTCATATCATATCATATCATATCATATCATATCCTTATCCATAAATCCAGTAAATATCTGTCTGTCTGCTTTTCCTTCCTTCCTTCCTGAAACCATATCCTACCTATGTATGTACAAGGCGATAAGTAAAATGCAAAATAACCACCCACCCAACCAAACCCACCAGCATATCATAATGTCCCATGTAGCCCAAACGATTGATTGATAGATTATCCGAAAATCGCATCCAAATATCATATCACAAGTAAACTTTCTCCATCGACATCAAGTCTACCTAAATAGATTACTTGCGCGCTTGGCTTCTCGTTTGTCTTTGGGCTTGACCAACAGCAGGAATTTTCTTTTCTTTCTTCGCAGGTGTACCGTTGGATGTAGAAGCACCCTTTGGTCTGCCAGGCTTCTTCTTTTCGGCGGTACCATTAACAGTGCCGTTGGAAGCATTATTGGTCTTTTGCTTCTTGGTAACTTTCTCGTCTTCTGCCTCGCCGTCCAATTCGGGTGTCTCGTCTCTCTTTCGCTTTCCTCCGGTTTGTACCTCAGCTTTGGATTCGTCCTGTTTGTCGCTTGAATCTTTCTTGTCGTCCTCCTTGTCATTCTCTTCCTCGGCGTTAACGTTTGCCTCGGTCTTTTTCTCCTCACTCTTCTCCTCATCATCCTTCATCTCAACATCTTCTTCCTTCTTGTCTTCCTCCGTAGATTCGACATTCTCATTGACCTTATCTTTATTCTCCTCGGCCTCAACTTCACCATTGACTTTGTCCTCCTCCTCTCCCTTGGTCTCATCATTTGTCTCGTCCGCCTCCTCCTCCTTCTCCTCTATCTCTACCTCCTTCTCCTCTGTATCTGCCTCTTTCTCCTCTATCTCTACCTCCTTTTCCTCTGTATCTGCCTTCTCCTCCTCTGTCTCTACATCCTTCTCCTCTATCTCTACCTCCTTTTCCTCTGTATCTGCCTTCTCCTCCTCTGTCTCTACATCCTTCTCCTCTATCTCTACCTCCTTCTCCTCCTCCTTCTCCTTCTTTTCCTCCTCCTCCTCATCCCCAGCACCTCCCTTCTCCTCCACATTCAACTCACTAACCTTCTTCACAACATCATTTCCACTCCTCTCAATATGAACCGCCGGATCACTCTCATCCCCTGTCTTCTTAATTTCATTTCCGCGATGACTCGTGACTGAAACCTCGCTTGCCTTGATTTCTGCTGCAATCCCATCTGGTTTTGCGCCACCCCAATTCCAGGAAACTGTGCGCAATCACTCCGTTAGTATCATGGGTAGTGTAAATGTTGAGAAATGATTGAAATTGAAATCGAAATTGAAGATTGCCATTGTAGAAGATGCTTGAACAAGGGTGCAGATAGAAGAAATATTGAGGAGCGCAACATCAAACTCGGAAGCGCAATCGAAATTGAAAAAGATCAAGATGGTTTAGAGACATTGAAAAGTCTGAAATTCTCATCTATAGTAGATCAGAAAGAGAAGAACCGCTTTAACAATGTCTAGATAATTTTAAACATTGAAGTCTGAATTTTTCCTTTACAGTACCTAGGCAGGCAAGCAAGAAAGAAAAGAGACCAGGGAAGGCGCAATTGAAGTTGTAATCGATGAAGATAATTTCCAACATTGAAAAGTTCAATTCAATCCAATGACAAAATTCTCATCTCATCTCATCTCCAGCACACAGCCAAAAACCAAAGAAACCACATCAACATACCTTTATCACCTTCCTCAACCTTATTATCCGACATACTTGAAGATGAATCGAAATATCCAAAAATAACTCTTTGATCTTAGACGTATGTATGGTATGTATGGTATGTATTGGTATTATCCAAAAAATAATCAATCAAATATGATATCAAGCTTTTCAATCTTAGTATGCGATTCCAAAGATGAAATCAAAAAGGATGTAAGGAATCAATTGAGATGTTGCGAGAGTTGTCGTTCAGATGGGGTATGGGATGGGATGTACTCGTAAATAATGAGTAGAAGGGTATGACGCTATTTCACTATTCACTATTCAATTCGCTAGGTTATTTCAAGCTCTCGGTACGGTACGGTACGGTACGGGTACCACAAGATTAATAAGGGAAAAGGATGAATTTTCTATTTTTCCTGGGAAAAACGAAGAAGAAAGGTAAGTTCCGAGCCACCGGAAATGGATGATCGATCCTTCTGGTTTCTGGTTTCTGGTTTTCTGGTTTCGAGAATTAAATTGGAACAAATCAAATGAAAGGAATTCTCTATTACCTAAGCAATAATATCAAATGGAAAATAGGAAGTAAGAAAAATGTCATCTAAGTAGGTATTTTTCTATTTCCTATTACCCTTTGTGGTTTCTGTGTTGTCTGCAGAATTCAATCAAAAAAAGATACTGAATTGCGGGGAAGCGAAAGGAATGAAGAAGGAAGTAAACAGGGTTCTTTGCATCTTCGATATTACCGTATTTGTATTAAGTATGTATAATATAACCATATAAATGTAAAAGAATTATGATTATTATACAGTAATCAACCTGAAATATAAAAATACCTCTCTTTAAAGTTCAATTCAAACATCCGTCATCTTACCATCTTACCCAATACCTAACTGGAAGAGAAGTGAATCCTTTTTGCACTTGTACTTGCTGACTGTACTTGTACCTGAATCCCGAGATATGCAAGTGGAGAAGATGAGCATCAAGCTAATGCAAGGTTGGACCCTCATTCATTCGTTCATTCACGTGATCTGGGCCAAGAGAAGAAGAAGTAGAACGTCATATCTGTACCAGTAAATCCGTCATTTGAATTGCACATACTGAGTATTGTTCTGGCCAGATAAAGTTAAGAAAGTCCTACCCAATACTTACCGGAATGTTGCAGATAAATCGTCGAAGAGAGTGACTTATTCATACACTTGATTGAGTCTGATGTTAAAAATTGACAGGTGGAACATCTTTACCATAATGCATATCCTACCCATCCAGCCACTCGTATATCCCATAGGACTAACCTGCCAAATAACGCCAGATCCAAATATAATTACACAAGAATGCTTATAATCCTTGCCAAGCTATATATAGCTGTTCAGGCTATGCTGAGAGACTCTAATATTTGAATACTCGATGCCTCATCAAATTCACCTTTCCGTTCCTGAATGTCTGCTTCAACTCCTAATAGCTTGGGATAATCCGTGCGCAGTCGTTCCATAATCCAGGTTGCATCATTGACTCGATTCTGCTCAAGCAGAACATGAGCTGCCATGAGAGATATCGAAACCATCTTCTTCGCCTCATTATGCTCAAACGGTGTTCGGAGATCCTCAGTCTCGGATTCCATCAAAGAAGGTCGCTTTCGAAAGAATTCTAAGAAACGATCTGCAGATCGTTGGTACGGAGAATAAATATCTAAAATATGCAGGTCAACATCATGGATGCTGAATATCGGCAAAATTTGTTGGAATATCCGGAAAGATTCCAGTGAAGTAGCTTCTCGCACTTGTCGAGTCCCCTTGACAATCAATTGGAATATATGCTGTCCAGGATTTATGAGCAGGCTCCGAACCGTTTCGAAACGGAGGTCTTTAGCCATGTCTGATACTCGGAACAGAATAGAAATAGAAGTATTAAGAGATGCGTCGAGTTTGGTGGTTTGTTCAACGACTTTGGAAACGAGTTGAGCTAGACCTTGCAATTCGGCTTTCGTGGCGCTGGTATCGTGAATGGCTTTGTTTATCCATTCCCAGAAAATATCTTCATAGCCTTCCGCACGCATGAACTCAAAAAGTAAAACCCCGAATCTTTGGTCTTGCAATAAGAAGTCGGTGTTCTGGTTTAGACCACTTGACTTCAACCACTTCAAGATTTTGATACCGGCGCCCGACTTTCTTATACCTTCCTCCAACGTTTCATGTGAGGACTTAAGTTGTTTCTTCTTGGCTATTAAAATTGCCTTTGCATACTTTAAAGTCATCAATCCGCGTCCAACAGCTCGATCAAATGTATCCATGGGGTCCTGAATAGATCCGGGCTCGCCTCTCTGCGGTCGTTGATTGAAAAGAGGATCTGTGAGAATAGATTTCATATGTCGATCGGTATGCTTACAACCAGAACCTGAAAGGCGTCGAGGTCTGCTACTTTCAGGTTGCTTATGGGATGTAGATGTATCGACTTTGGTACTGTCCATACTGGTGGCGGTATCTGAGGGACCATGCTCCGAGTCTAGCTGTTGTCGAAATGATGTTGTGAGGAGTTCGAGTAATTGGTTAGACTCACGTTGAGTCAGTGGTAGAGGTTGATGAATCTTGAATTTGAGAAGAGCAGGCAGTTGACGAAAGAATGTAGGTGGGGTTATTCGGAACATCGTGATCTGAAATGGCAGGGTCGAATTGGTCTCTCTGCAGACCCCCAAGAGTTGATACTGACGAGAGATGATATTGGGTCGTTCGTGTCGAGAAAGGAGTACCTATCGATGTGATACCGTGAAGGCTTGTCTGATTATTCAATTGTCTTATGGGATAGTTCGAAGTGTGTGGGGTGGTTGGATGGTGGAGTGAGCGTAAACTCCTCGGTGTCTGCGGCAGATACTAGGTAGATAGTCCTTTCAAATGTTAGTACAGTATACATGTGCCAGGCGGTGTGCACTTCATCTTTCATATCTGAAGTAGGTGGGGAAGTAGAAGAATTATAGTAAGAATAGAGGATATACCTAAGTCAGACGATAGGATTTGAGGTATGCCAACAGCAGCAGACACCAGCAGACACCAGCAGACAGCAGTGACTAAGTACTTTTGCGATAATGAATACTCCGCAGATTTCCAGATGTTGTTCCAACAATCACCCCATGTTCCATACGATACTCCACCACACCTTACCTTACCTTCACACGTTCACACGAGGTACTTTTCGTCTGCCGTGATCTTGTGGTTTACCGTACTGATATAAGAACTGCGAATGAATATTTTGAATATTAGTATTGTTTAAATCAATCAATAAATAAACAGAAATAAAATAGATTTTAAAATAAATCAAAACAATTACATATTTAGTTTTAATTCTTAATATCAAAAGTATTATAAATACAATTTAGTATAAAATTATTAGATATATAAAGATAGTATTCTATCTACTAAATAATTATATTAATTTCGAGATTGAATAAAGCACTATTATATAATTACACGTGATTGATTAGCTAATAATCGAATCTTCGAATGTTCAATTATGAAAAAGAAATCAATCATGTCTTTTACTATCTGGCGTTCCATTTGAATAACTAACTTCAAATAATTATTTATTCTTTTTTTACTACTACAAGTTTATTTGTGTAACAATTTGAAGTACAATAACCTCGTGGAAAATTAATCCCACCTGCATCAATTCGTAAAGTTGATGCGACGACAAGAACAAGTCGATTTTCAGGAGAAGACCTTAATTCTTGTTGTGCCCTGTGCCTTTTTTTAACCTAACCTACCTTTACCTTAATCCAAATTCAAACCTAAAGCGTCATTCCTCTTCTCCAACACAACACCACAAGGAAAAAAAACCCTCTTACAATCAACAACCTTTTTCATCCTCTCAACACTTCTTTACATACCTTCTTTTATTCTTGCTTACACAAATACACATAACCTCACAATATGTCTGAGGTACAATCTCGACCAGCCCCTCGTGGCAGAGGCTCAGCTCGCGGCAGTCGTGGAGGTTTTGCAGCAAGAGCTGGTCGCGGTGGAGCGAGAGGTCACGCAACCAACAGCGAGAATACAACCACTACTGCACCAATTGAGCAAGATAATAGCGAAGTTGGTCAATTAAAGAAGAAGCACGGCAACAAAGTCAGCACTATCCAAGAATTGTTTCCCGACTGGACAGATCAGGATGTCGTTATGGCTCTTGAAGAAACAGACGGAGATTTAGAAAGTACTGTCGAGCGCATTTCGGAAGGTAAGAATTTCAATTCATATTGTTATGGTCTCTTGTCGATTCCATGTTCTGCAAGTTCATGTACTAACCTAGCTCCATCAAAGGTACCATTTCACAATGGGGTGAGGTTTCGAATAAAAAAGATCGATCTAAGTCCAAAGCCCACGAATCAATCCCATCTACCGGTCTTAATGATATCACCAACGCTGGAAGAGTCTCTCGAGGTGGCCGAGCTGGATTTGACGGTGCCAGAGGACGTGGTCGCGGCAATGACAGAGGCAGGGGTGGTAGAACTCGTGGAGCACCAATTGCGCATACAAATGGTACACGTAACGAAACTGCCGAAGTCTCTGTTCCTACGACTGAATCTAGCGCCTGGGATACTGCTGCCACTAATGAAGACACCGCTAACGATGCCGCTGCTGATTCATGGGAATCTGCTAAACCTACAGAGGGTGATGATAGCTGGGGTACCACAGCAACCAGCGCTGCTGCCACAACTGCTGCCGCTGCCTCAACTGCCGCTTCGAGTATTATCCCTGATGGTGTCAAGAAGAGCTGGGCAAGCATGTTTGCTCCTGCTCCTAAGCCCAAGAAGGCCCCGGAACCGGTGGAAAAACCTGCAGAGCTTCCAAAATCAGAAGAACCTATCGAAGCCCCCGTTGTCTCAGAGCCAGAACCAGAACCTTCTGTTCCCGAACCACAAGCCGTTGAAACTCCTGAACCTGAGGCCTTGGTCGAAACGCCTGTCGAGCCACCTGTCGAGCCCGAAGCTAATATTAATCTCACCCCATCAAAGGACGAATTGACCGAGACGAATCTCGAACAAGTTCCAGATGAATCAGTTCCACCACCGAGTGCGACTGCTGCAAGCACTGCCGCAAGCTCATGGGACCCAAGAAATGCTCCTGGAAATTCCACACCTTATTCAGCATTGCAAACTCAAACTCCAGTTGCTTCCCGTGCTCCAACCAGTGGTTTCCAAGCTTCAGCACTCAAGGCTACCGGATCATCAGGTCGCACACCAAGCTTCCAGCGCCGCGTCCTTGACCAGGAAGAGGCTGTTCGCATGCCAGGAAATCGCGAGGTGGACAGGGCCGCTGTACAATTTGGCGCATTCAACCTCAGTGGTACAGGCGAAGAAGATGTTGATGGCGATCGTGAAGAACCAGAGACCAGGGCTCAACCACCCCAACACTCGCCAGTAGCCCCAAGAGCTACGTTACCTCCAGCGCCTCAACAGGCAGCACCAGTTTCTGAGACCTTGCCAACTCCAAAGCAAGCTCCGGGACTACCTGCTGCAATCCACCCAATAGCTGCACCCGGCCTTCCCTCCCCACAAATCCATACATCTTCCCAAAGTAAGTTTCAAAATTTGCCTATCAACTTGGTGATTTCTAACTTCTCCACAGCTGCATCTCAACAAGGACCTCAAGCTGGCTCTCAATTGGGTCAGTATGGTCGATATGGACAGCCGGGATCCCAGGAGCAGTCTTCATTGCCACAGAAGCCTTATGATGCTTTCAGCCAACAAGCTCCAAGCTCGCAAAGCCCATTCGAAGGTTACCCAAGTCAATCTCAGTCCCAGTCACAACAACAATCCGGCGCCTTTTCTTCTGCACCGAACGATTACTCTTCATACTATACCTCCGATCCACAAAGACAAAATTACAACAGCTACTATCAGCAACAGTATGGCTTGCAACAAGGTAGCCAAGGTCAACAGGATGCATCAGCATCTCAAAGATCTTACAGTGGATACAATGGACCCCAAGCTGAAACATCTGGTCAACAATCCCAATCCCGATATGCCACTGCAGGAGAAGGACAAAACAGTGGACACACTACTCCTAACCCAGTAGCTCAAAGCCAACAGCCAACTGGCGCTGCTGCTCAAGCCACTCAACCTCAATCCGGCCATCCACAACAACCACAAGGAGCTAACTATCCATACGGCCATCCTTACTATTCCAGCCCATACTATGCTGCTTACATGAACCAGTTCCAACAAGCTGGTGGTTACGGTGGTTATGGTGGTTCTCCATATGGCGGCGGAAAGGGTGGTATTCATGGTCAGCCATACCAAGGTTATATGTCTCCTGGTGCACCATATGAACACACTCCTTCTCCTGCTGCCAGCGGATTTGCCGGATCTTCCCTTCATGGCCGTGATTCCGCAGTCGGAGGAGGTTTGGGTGATTATGGTCGAGCTGGATCATCCCAATCATCCCAGACTCCACAAGCACTAGGTGGTGGAAGTGGTGGGTTCGGCGCTGCTTCTCATGATGCCTTCAGTCGTGGTGCTTATCCTTCAGGCCAGCACTACAATGGACCACAAGGCAGCCAACCAGGAGCTAGTGATGATTTGAAACCATTCGGTGAGTCAAAGACAGCGAATGGACCAAGCCCTTCTCTGTCTCAAGCTGGACGTCCTGGATCTGCAACCAATGCCACTCCTGGATCAGTCTTGCCACCACCCCAATCGCAACAAGGTGGATATGGTGGATACCCAAGCCATCTCCAAAGCCATGGACTTCACGGCAGCCAAGCTGGTAGTCAATATGGCGGTGCTGGGGGTCACCAGGCTGCTGGACAAGGACATCAGAGTAGTGGATATGGAGGCTACCAAGGTTACGGAGGTTACCAAGGTTTTGGTAACAGCCAACAACAACAACAACAACAACAACGCGGTGGATGGGGCGGCAACTATGGACATTAATTATTGGGTCAAGAGTAGCTTGCACGTCCTTTGGTAGTCGTCGTTAATCTTTCCAGAGAGGAAGCATGCGATCGTTCATACTGAAAAATTAACTGTGTTACTACCACCAAGAATTCTCTTCATCTTTTTCGCTTTTACTATTTTCTTTATTTTCATTTCACGTTAACGACACGCACAATCAACAAATCTGGATTCACATCAGCGTTATGGAGGGGATGTTCGTTCTAGCTTGGTACCGCTGGATTCGTTTTAACTTTTTCTAAAAAGCATACAACTTCACTGTTTTCAAATAGTTATCTTCACGACTCGTATGATGGTTGGGGGTGGGATGGAATGGAACGGGTTGATACGGATGCATTGCATGATTGTGTATGAGACTGGAGGGATGCATGGATTGATTTGAGGAGATATGCTGAAGTGGATGATGGATCCATGGGGGAGAATAGTCAGTCATAGAAAATAACACGATGATGGATAGTGATGAACATATCAATTCAATGGTTATTCTGACTACCTGCTTGTTTGTTTTATCTGCTGTGTCTTGTTCTTTGCTTGCTTGAATTAAGGATGTGCATAAGTTCTTCTATCCGATTGTAATGATGCCATGACATGACATGATATCTATTCTACATTGGTGAGTGAGAGGAGAGTGATTTTTTTGAAACTTGAATTAGTATGGTTTTTGCAATAATGGATTGAGATATGGGCTTGCTCTGTGATTGGTATTCGGCTATCTTTCTTACAAACTCATAAATTCATAAACAACAGATACCGGTACTGGCAGTGGAAATCATACTCTTTGAGTATATCCAATGAAATGGGAGAAGGGAGGGAAGGAAGGAATGAAGGAAGAAAGGGTACGGATTAGGTGTATGTGTATTGCATTGTTGTGTCAATCGTTGTGTCAATCATCGTATAGTAGTCAATCGTCGGGAAAGTTTCCTGTTTGGCATTCGTTTTATGGACGGTGAGTGAGTGAGGCTTTGGCTTTGGCTTTGGCTTTGGGATTTAGGTATTGCTTTGCTGGGTTGGACTGTGCTGGGTTGATTTGAGTTGTGTTGGATTGGATTGGAATTGGATTGGATTGTAAGGGGCTAAATTGTGCTAGTTTGGATTGAAATGTGTGCGGAATTGTGCGGGATTGTGCGGGATTGTGCAGTGGGTGCTAGCTGGTAGATACTAGGTAGAACAGGCTCATTCTGGGGGGGAAGGGAGGTTGGGGGAGAGGGTAGTAAAATTTTGGACTTGAGAAAGGAGGAAAGGGAAAAAGGGAGACCAGAGAGGTGTATGTAAATCTATTATAGATACGCGTCAATCTGTTTGAGATGGAGAGGTTTTGGTGGTACGAGTAAAGGATTAGATTGGATTTTGGTTGGATTAAATTAGTGATGGTGTTGGTTAATGTGGCAGTAATAGTAATAGTAATAGCTGGGAGATTGGTATATTAGTAGTTGTTTAGGTGGGAGAGGAGTGTGATGAGTGTGATAATAAAGTTTCTGGTATCTGGTATCTGGTATATGGATGGGTACCTGTGATTGTGATTGTGATTTTGATTGTGAAGTTTGAGGTTTGAGGTTTATATACCGGTATATATTTGATGTGTGAGTGAGTGGGTGAGTGAGTGAATCAATGTCTTTGGGTATAGATATTAGGTGGGTGTATATTTCGATGAAGTTGGGGAGTGTAGGGGGTGGTTTGACTTCTTTTGTTGTTGGGATGAGATGGTGGTTTGTGATATTGGTGATTGTTGTTGTTGAAGTTTTTGTTATTCGTTATTCGTTTTTTATTTTTGTTTATTCTTGTTTTTGGAATACCGTATTTACAAATGTCTTTTACTCGAGTAGATGGGTTGTGTGATGATATATCATGGGTTTAATGGCGAGGGCAGAGGGTAGAGTAGAGGGTAGCTAGAATGAGTCCTCCAAGCTGATTTTTGCGAAGTTTCTTTCGGTGAGATAGAGGTCTACGCTGAATTTCAATTTCAGAATCAACTCTACGATTAGGTTTATTAAGTTATAAAGTCTAAGCGAAGTCCGAAGTCTGAAGATTGCAGTGCTAGTGCCGATGCGTAAGTTGAGGTTGGATCTTCATGTTCATGTTATTTCATGCCATGATCCTGTCTGGTTCCGTAAATAGAACTATAATGAATTTGAATTGACGCGGGGGATGCGATATATAGGCAGAGGAAAGGAGAGGAGAGGATTGTGTATAGCTACTATAGTGAGGTATATGTAGTAATATCTTATTTGCTATATTGCTTGTTTCCCTTATGTATCTTCACGTGGTTTTCATCTTCAGGTTGGGTTAGAGTTTGATTTTGGAGAGATGGGTCATTTTAGATGTGAATTTGGATACAGAGGGAGGGGGAGGGGGTGCGGATTTGTGTTAAAGAAATGATTGATGATTGAAAATTGAATATTGGAAGGCTCAGGAAAACGGATTAATAAGCGGTGTTTGGATTTCTGTTTGGCAACACAGCGATGGTGTAGCGTATTCAGTGATGGATCTCAGGGTTTATAGATAATGACAATGACAATAACTAGTCCTAAAGCTCTTGAGGGGGATAGATATGTGAGAATTATGAATGTGGATATTGTCCAGGTGGTCTACTATGATGTGAGTATGCGATGCTCGAGAGACACCGGTAGACGATGAGAATGATTGAGGTGTTTTTAGTCATGGATAGTGGCTTGCAATTTTGATATTGTACATCGGAGAAGAGAACATTCGACAACGAAGAGGTTTGGTGTTCTGAAGATTTGAGTTTTAAAATCGTATAGTACCTTTCTTTTCATGTTTGGATCAATGTAGAGAGAGGTCTATCCAGATCGATTGATTTGTATATGCATTTCTTCAACTTGGTATTGGGAATGGCGTGATGCAATACTTTCCTTTTGTAAGATGACATGTGTTGTATTTATATAATCTCTTAGATCATTTCTTTGCAACAACATGCTATTGAAATTACTAAGCAGTTAAATTTGAGATTAGATTTCGAGGTATATAATCCAGCTTGCCGTGGATCTCTAGAACTCAAGACACTATGCAATCAATCTCGGTTCCAAGTTATAGCGTGCACCACATAGGAATGAAATGTATGAATACTTGATTTATCGTTGTGGTAATAATCTATGGTACGAATTTGAACCAAGATAAGTCTACCAGCTTGATGTGTAGGGAGCAGGGAGAGGGAATATGTCACTTAGTGATAGCGAAGATAGAAAAGTGACGGATATCATGGAGAGAGGAAACGATGACAATGAAAGGGAAAAGCGATTAACAGTAAGAAATTGGAATTAGGAAAATTGGGATTTTGCAACTGTAATGTGCAGTCAGGCTCTGGTCGAGAACAGCAATCAATCAACAGAATATAGGATTATACATTGCCCCTTTATTAAGGATGCTTGTTTCTTTGTATCCGTCTTATATTTGGCTTCTCGATGTGTTTCATATTTATATATCATTCATGGGATGGATAGAATAACACTACGAGCAGTGAAGTAAACTTACAACATCGCAGAAGTCTTGATCTAGGATATATATTCGGAGTTTTCGTTGGAGTTACACTCTCTGTTGAAATTTTTCATAAAACTCACAGAAACGCAAAGGAATCCGTGTGCTTCAAACGTAGTCTCTTCTGAATTTGCGTTTCGTTGAACTCGTTTTAGGATACAGTTATTATTATATGATGGTTGTACTAGCTACGGTATAGATTATGGGTCTAGTGACAGCGGTAGCTTGAGCGTGACGATTATAAGCAGTTAACTATACGAAATGTTTGATATTAGCGAAAGATCTTTATAACGAAGTACTATTCGATATGTTGCCAGCTAATTTTCTATAGCAAACAATCAACTTGATTCAACTTTCCCCTACAGAGGGCCCTACGCGATTCTCTTTCAGGCGTGTTTTCTAACATTTTGTTTTTATTGAATATTGCTGTACAGGAATAACACAGTTGCTTTATATACTGTATTGAAAGATGTGAAGCATTGTAAAGTTTTGAGCACAAGGCTCAACCTCCCGTACTAATTGACACTGGAGGTTCAAGTCCGCGATCTATCGTTAGTTTTGGTCGATTCATCGACATTAGATTCCATAACCTCATATGATATCATTAGCTGAAAAGTGAGGTTATTTTCACAAAAGTCAAAGAGAGCAGATTATCAAGCATTTGACTGTTCATCCTAAGTCTCTAAAATTAATGTGTGCAATCACCGAGAGCCAATACGACCAAGCATCTGGAAGACAAAACACTTTTAAGATAAGAAATCTAAGGTTCATCGATTCTCCAAGGCACAATGGGCATTTCTCGAAGTCAATATACTCCTTGTCTAAGATATGTCTGTTAGCCAAAAAGTCTAGGAAGTCAATTCTATCCTTTTCTGTAATGGGAAACGGAATCAGTAAAGATGATGTTCGTGCACCTCCATGATAGACAACAGGTCAGAAAAAGGGAAGATTTCGTTCTCGAGGTACAGTCGTTTGTAGTCAGCTCAGCTCCGACAACTCCTTTCTTCTCGAATCTAGGCACAGGCCACCTTCGAAATGCTTGCAGTTAATCGTCCAATCGGGAAGCACATTTTCTTCAACTCAGTGCCGAAACATTGCGGGCTTAGAAATCATGTTGCTTCCGAACGCCGGCTTTACAGTCATTCTTCAATTGAAATCAAGTCAACCCCTTATCCGAACTCCGTTTCACGAATATACTTCGGTTAAAATGATGACATGAAATAGTCAGCAATGATGAAATTGTCCCACGATCTCACAGCTTAAAGGTTGGGACTTTTCCGCCGATTGTTAACTTTACTCTATTAGTCCATTTGAATTTGTAGTGGTGCCTCCATATCTTAGGATGACTTCCACCCTCCAAAACCACGGAATCGTCAAAACAGCGATTGGAGAAGCAAGTTTACAGCCAATACCTGTCCCTCGGCTTCTATATGATTATATTCTCGTAGAAACAATTGCGGTATCACTGAACCCTACGAACTGGCAAACGGTAGGTGAGATATTTAGTCCGAGGGTGAGAGGAAATACGCTTTTAGGATGTGACTTCTCAGGAATTGTGGTGGAGATTGGGTAGGGCGTGACGAAAGAATGTAAAAGGGGGGGATAGAATTGCGGAAATGGCGCATGGAGGTTGGTATTTCATGGGATAGGTTGCGCATAAAATATTGACATCGTGTAGGAAATGATATCGAGCCAGAAGATGGAACATTCGCATCATATATTATGGTCAAAGGCGATGTTGCGTTCCATATTCCGGATCGTGTCAGTTTCGAGAAAGCTGCATCGTTAGGTTGTGGAGTCACAACTGTTGCGTTGGGTCTTTACAAGTATCTGTCTTTATCTCTTCTTGCGTTTCCGCCTTCCATACCAGATCCTAAAAGCAGATTTCCCATTTTGGTTTACGGAGGAAGCTCGGCAACAGGGACATTAGTTATTCAGTTTGCGAAGCTATAAGTCCTGTGGTAGAGATATCGCCGCGGTTCAATATCTAATCCATATCGTGACAGGTCTGGATTGGAAGTAATCACTACTTCATCACCAAAGAACTTTGAGTTATTGAAAGGCTTGGGTGCGGATCATGTTCTGAATTATGTAAGTGTACATACCATACCTTCCGAACCTTTCAGTACTCTGAACATTTCGATCAACAATGAATATCGAGACTCTGCCGCCTCAAAATTCCATATCACACCCCTCTCGTATGTTCAGCTTTGTTTTGAACACTGGAGTATTACACTTTGCATATTCAAAGGAAAAAATAGAAGTACCCATGCTAATATTTACCAGCATGATCCAACCTGCGGAGCTAAAATTCGCTCTCTCACCCAAAACAAACTTCACCACGTCTTTGGCACAATCGCAAATACATCCAGCGCCCATATTTGTGCAGATGCACTCTCCAGTTCCGGCGATAACCTTTATGTAAATCTTATGGGTGTAGAGATGCCTCGAGATGACGTGAAGAGTGTCTTCTTTCTCGGCTACTCGGTCACTGGTGAAGCTTACGAGATGGAAGGTAATGTAAGGCCTGCCGCACCTGAAGATTTTGAGCTTGGGAAGAAGGTTTTTGTTTTGTTAGAGAAACTGTTAGAAGATGGTTTAATTAGAAATCATCCAGTTAGGTCAATGAATGGTGGATTGATTGGGATATTGGAAGGAATGAGAGATTTGAAAGAGGGGAAGGTGAGCGGAGAGAAGTTAGTTTATAGGGTTCGAGAACCTTAGGATATGACTGATAATTAATTATGGTTGTGAAGTTGTTGTAGAGCTGGAATCGGAACCGTACAGGAATTCACAAAAAAGCATTATCTGGAAGACCTTGGGGAAATAGTGTCATGGTTTGTTACTCTCTTCTCCTAGGCTTGGATATTGACGGTTGATTCGGTCAAGTCAAATGAGAATATCAATAGATAATTCTGCTGTAGTCTCATTTGAACCGGAAATATTTTTCAATAGAGTTTCAGGATTGATAAAGATACCTCCTTCCTCTTCTACATCCTCATGCGGCTCTCATTGCGATTTCTCAAGTTATTTTTCCGAAGATTTTAAGCTTGGAGCTGGACTTCTCCTGGCTCTAAGCTGGCAGGCGCTTGTGCATCCTTCACCGTTCTGTTCTCAACTTGCGGTTGTATATAGGTTCGTCACTCGCATTTGTATCTTGAGGAGATATAGTTGAGTTTTTAGCCTTTTCCTTTTTGGGTTGCTCTTCTAATTGCTGATATCCCTGTCGTTTGTTACTATTTGATATCGCTGCTGCCTTTGTATTATTGATGGCAACTACTGTTGAGGTTGGGCGTGATGCGACGAGACCTGGAAAGAGTGCTTTGTTTATAGAGTTGAGTTGCTCAACTTCACGTTTATCGTTATCAGTCTCTTTCTGTCTCATTCCTTTTGGTATAGCTTCGTTGTCTTCGTCGTTCTGCTCCACGGTCCCATCATTATCAACAGCTTAGGATTGCTGGATCACTCCAACAAGATTCGTTAAATAAAACTCGGTATACCATTCGCATATTCATCTGAATATCATTGGCATTATTCAAGTCTTGATCATTCGGACGGAAGGCACACCAAAAGTCAATTCCAATGCCTGTGGTTTCGTCAAAAATGGTCCAATTAACATTGTAGAATCCATTGACCGAGGCCAATTCGCTGGCGATAAGTAAGGGATAGAGGATGCTAGGACTGAACTCAATTTCAAATTCAGTTTTCTTTATTTTAGACCTTGTACTCTGATAAGACCAGCCTCTTTTTCCAGCACCACTATTCGCGATGTCGTCTTAGCACAATACTCCAATCCACACGTTTTCAAAGGTGCCAACGCAAACGTCGAAAAGATACACACTAGTTGATAGTATAGTGTTCAACCAAGAACACTACTGGCATTTTGAATCGCAGATTGGCATCGGTTTTTTGTGATAATCTCCACGGTTTGAGAATTTAAACATCAATCAAGATTCTGGGAGTTTTATAGTATAAAAAACAATTGCATTAAGCCAATTGTTAGATGTAGTTCTAATCTCTAAGTATAGACTAAGCAAAAACCACCCAAAGCCTGTGGCTTGTTCTGACCTGACGGAATACCGGCAATGTACTGGGTATCTAGCGTAGCGCTACCCCGCACCCCCCCTATAAGGACCACAGGTTAAGCGAGAATTGACTTTTACTGAATCTCTAACCCAGCGATGGAACTCCATGGACTCGCAATGTTCTCGCATGAGTTTCATACAGTGTAAAACGTGAATGGATTGATTTAATTTACTGCCTAACCAAAACAGAGACAGAAATCTCGACTTTACTGAATTTAGGTTGCTGCATATACGTTACTACATTGACAAAATGGAGGCCGGAATTGGTATCTGCGCTGTCAAAATCACAATGGTGCAGTCCAAATTGAGAATTATCTATTCACATTTCAACGAAATTCAAAACTCAAATTTGATTGAGAGTCATTTGATATGGATCTGACTGAAAATTATACTGTTATCGTGGATTCTGGGTTTGGATATATCAATTTTGGTAATCAAGTATTGCTTATGTAGAGTATGATATTGCTCAATAATATCAAAAATTTCGAGATATATGAGTCGAGATGCCATGACGTGACCACGTATCATTTCCGAGCCAAGAACTAGGTATGTGTATGTCACGCCTGTGTCTACTCATGAACATATTATGACTACCGAGGAGCAGAAAATAGCCATGTTGAGTTGTCGTTACAGTGATATGAAAAATTAGTGTCTCATATGAAGTGCTGCTAGATTGAGGGTAAAGTAAAAGATACTACTGTCACACGATGGTTTGTAAAAATGGGGTAAAGGGCTATCGGAAGGTGCATAGGGGTGGAAAAGAAAATTATAGTTTTACCTGCCTAAATTTCGCATTAAGAACGAATCCGATCCCCATTATCTTCATAGAAGAACGCACCACACATAACTTCAGTCGACTTGCAATCTCTTTAGACTTGAATACCATTCTCGAAAACGATACAAAGAACACATCATATGCCAATGATGACACGGGTAATCTTGAATTTCTTACATGTATAAAAGTCAGTTGAAGTCTTGATGCAAAATAATTCAATGGAACAAATAGACCCTTCTCAAATTTCATATAGTCTTGAACACCGATTGAATTCAGATCTTGGATGAAGTTCTGATTATTGGAAACATTGCGCATATCGACACATGAATTGAAATTTTGGTCATCTAAACTTTGAAGACTAGAGTTAATCATATTCGGTTTTAATAGGTAAGCAGCAAAATAGTTTCACTAATAGAAGTACTTCCCTTAACAGCCTTTTGTATACAGACATAGGACCGAATGCCAAAAGCGTGACTTGCTGAAAACGAATGCCTTCCACGTCCATCATGTAACACCAACAGAAGGTGCGGTCTGACTTGACAAGATTAAGAAAACACATTGGGTTAGCAAAGAAATCTCGTGTAGTAGGCATTGTTTTATCTTCTCAAGAAAGGTAATGGAGATCAAATATCAAGGGAGGGGAAATAAGAGGATATATTATTATAGTCAAAAGAACTTGTACTATAACCTCAAAATTACTATAAAGAAATAAAATAATCATATAATTGGAATAACAGTCAGACTCTTCAGGCTCGTTGGTTATATGGTGTCAGTTCATGTCTTTTAGAATGATGGTCACACCAAGTTTACAACTCTATCCATAAGAGAGCACTGAGAAATGTTTTTTTGGCAGTATCTCCGACGAGTCCACGAATACAATATCGAGCATTAAAGATAATGGATATATTCGGAACAACAGTCTGAGAGAAACGCTTACAGTTCGGCACATCATCATGTTGAGGTATCGGGCACAGAGAGGGCAATCATTTTGGTTGGGACAGTGAATAACTATCTCGATAACTTGATGGCTCAAGCCTCGGGGCTTTGTAAATGAAAAATATGGTATTCCTAGTGACTGCAGAACGATGAGCTAGTTCCTGGTTGCGAAAGTCCCTTGGAGAACGCCTTTCTTGGAGCGACCTTTATTCTGAGATGATATTCAACAGTATAAATCACAGATAAGCTAGCTCAAAAGCTTGTCTTGACTAAAGGTCACGGTGTGCAACTTTTATTATCAGAAGTGGAGCGTCACTGTAGCGAAATCAAAAGTCTCCAATAACAATCCAGGAGAATCATCCTCGACTCCGACTCCGAGTAGGCTGCGCAACAGGCAATATCTTTAAATTCGCCTTCAAAAGATTTATCCACAACAGTACTTCTTTTAGCAATAGGTACTGTGGTTTTGCTCAATGCCAGCGATAGAATTGAAACTGGGTCGGCAAAGAGAATTAAGGCCCAGGAGCGAAGATTCGTTCTTTGCATAAATCACAAGCATATTAGAATCCGTCGCACAAGAACTTGATTGAAATAAAAAAACGATAAAGCGGCTTGTTGAAGGCAAATTATGTCACTGGCTAACTATCTATGGCGATGATACGGAATTGTGGCTCGTCTGACTTCGAGTATGAGTGGGTACATGATTGCCAGTGGCTCTGTAGTTTATTGCATTGGCAGCTGGACTTTGGCCAACAACTTTGGGAATTCTTTGCCTTATAATTTTTCCCACTTCTGACACATCGCTATCTCGGTTTTATACATATGTAGCAAAAATCACGAAGATAAGTTTGATTTTGCCTTATGTACCAGCCTTCCCCAGGCTGTTCGAATTCTTCGTTAGTGTGTCACGTTCTAACATGTCACGCTAACGCTAGCGACATACAGATTGGTTCTTAGAGTATGTATATATATTACAAGAAGTTTTCTGCAAATAATCTCCCTCCTCATTGAGATTCCCGATGTCGTCTACGGCTTTCATATAATATGATCCATCAAGTTATCGTGACCAAGTCGACAATAGGTTGGATATCTAGCGCCCGCTCGATGAAAAAAGGGGATAAACCCGTGCACCGGTCTTACCGAGTCTGATGACATAAGCCGATGGTGAGTACTGAGTACTGATGTGTAGATGGAAGTAAAGCTAGGTATATCAGAAATTCCTTGTCGTTTCTGACATTGATAAATTGGTAATGGGATCACGCGTCAACGGTATACAGTATACAGTATAAAGCAAGAGCATATACTCAATCTGGTCAATCCTAGTGTAATGACAAGTGTGGTTTCTCATTCCACTACTTTTAATAACCCCGTTAGCAATTCTACGATTCATACTCCGTCCATTATCGAAGATCTAAATTGCACATTCGATGAAAGTATAGAAACTAAATACCGAATTGGGACACGCATCAGGATTTTCGTGTTTCTGTCTCGTAGCGTGACCGGATTTATCGTATCATTCGCTAATAAGCTTGTTGATAACCTAATATACGAGTAGATCAGGAGAGGAACTACATTACCAGCGAGGAAAAAGGGTCAGATGTATTCCTTTCGCAGCATTTGGTGAGACTTAACCATTTGTACAATTACTCTGCACACATCAATATTCGATTATTACTTGTGATTTCACACAGCCTTCCGTTTGCCAGCATTGGAAGCCATGATAGACGAGCCCTCGTTCTACCCCTCTTTTTTCTCGACTAAATTTAAACTGTTGATTTACTCATGACATCTACTCGTAATACTCGAGTACAGTAATCACAACATTATATATATATATAGAGAGAGAGAGAGAATAATAAACAAGTTGGCAACAATAATAGCCCCACAACAAATTTACAGTTTATCCTTGGTTACCTATACCTGACTGACATGGCAATACGAGTTACATAAGGTGATACCATATAGCTTCACGCCACCCAGAGAGTTTAGGTGCATCTTGCCCTGTCCTCAAATCGTTTGAGTCAAACGGCGCCTAATCCTTTTACAGCAAGCGCGCTGCAAACCTTCGATCAATGGTATAAACCCCACACCACCCAGAATTCCCCACTCCTTTCTATTATTCTTTAAAAGCATTCTCGTAGTTTATGAAATTAAGGTATATCATTTTCTTATACTCAAGTACTGAGTATATTTCAAACAAAACAAAAATCGAAGAAAATCACATAATACCGTTACCGGTACTCCGTTTATTATATTTGACAACTCATTACTTCAGTGCCTTTTCGAATCTCAATGAAAGCCAGAAACTACATTCCATTCTCTGTCTTATTGAATTTGATATACTTTTGATTCACGGATCATGAAAAATAATAAATTGCAAGACAAACAACGCTAGGGTACGATATATCTACCGCGACTACTTGTAGTTGTACTGTACTGTAGAAAATCAGAAATAAAGATCGGAGATCATCTAATTTACATCTCAGATTATTACTATACACTACAAAATAACTTCTCGAAATACCCAATTGATTCATTCTTACTATACCACAATATACCGGTACACAAATTGGGATCTTCCCTGGAGCTCCCCAAACCTCAACTATTCCTATTCCTATACCAAGGGCGACGACATTTAGCCATAAAACTAACAAGTACTCGTATAAGGTAACATATATCAGTTTTCATTTATTTCCTCTCAAATCCACATTCAAATCCACATCACTTTGTATCATAGCTCATAGCTCTTCAAGTTCAAGATAATATATTTCTAATATTCCCGAGCCGCACACAAGAAACCATCCATCTACTATACCTTATACATGGCAATATTCACGGGATATAGACCTCAGGATAGCAAAAATGAAAATATATACTATAATTAAGTTTTATATATTTATTACATTTACATACGCATTCTTTTATATATATATTTAAAAGAGTAAAGACACTAATGAGAGTAAACAATATTCTAAAAATCCATTATCAAATCAAATATAATATCTAGACAATACTACTTTGGATGTTGCCATTTCCTTCAAGCTTATATCATCATATCCCTAGGATTTGGACTATCTATTAAACCTCTATCTACTAAACCCCTATTTTTTTATAAATGATATTATCGATAGTTCATATATGCCAGCAAAACTCATTACACATAAAACAAAGGCAGGCATATCATAAACAAATCAGTATATTCATAACCAACTACGACTCTGCACGGATATCATATATGCTTGCAACGCTAACTAATATTCACACCCTTCATGCTGCACCCTTTATGTGCACCATTCATTTTCTGACGCTCTCATAATATCCCTTTACCTTCCTATAATACCCCATTGTCATTCCTTAATTAAGTCATAACGTCCGGTTCAGTTCTATCGATATACTCCTTAAACTTCAACAGCTTAACCGCCATATCCACATTTGGCTTCAAGAAGACCTGAGCATCTTGACCATATGTGCTCTCATCACTAGTATGTTTCTCAACATATAATCTGATAGTAGCGCCTGAAGAACCAGTACCACTAAGACGAACGACGATTCGGGATCCGTCGGAGAATTTAACGTAGAGACCTTGGTTGAGAGATTCGCTGCCATCGAGATCAGTGTAGGAGAAATCGCCGGCGTCGGATACGGTAAGGTCTGTGAGGAGATATGTGAGCTATGTTATAATGATGTAATAGAAGGGATCTGGGGAGGAGAAGAAACTAACCATCAATTTTGCTACCAATAAATGAAGCATTCTCGATCTTGTCATTCAAATCCTTAACAATCTTTGCAGCACCTTCACTACTGACATCTTCATAATCGTATCTAGTGAAGAAAGTACGACCGTAAATAGTCCAGAAATCATGTTGAATCTTGGCGATACTTGGGGTAACACTTGCATCCTTCTCACCAATGGCGGCGATAATGTTCAACCAAGCAACGACAGCCCAAAGACCATCCTTCTCACGAATATGGTTAGATCCAGTACCGAAGGATTCCTCACCACAGATAGAAAGTTTATCGGCATCGAACAAGGCGCAGAAGAATTTCCATCCAGTTGGAACTTCGTAGCAATTTAGACCTTGAGCTTTAGCAACAAGATCAACAGCTCCAGATGTTGGCATACTGCGGGCAAGACCGTAGACACCTTGTTTCTTGAAGTAAGGTATGTATTGTGCGTAGTGAGCAATGATTGCAAGACTGTCACCAGGGGAGACGAATGCATTAGCTCCATAAATCATGTTACGATCTCCATCACCGTCACTTGCAGCACCAAAGTGAATATTTCCCTCATCGACAGCCTTGACAAGCGAGTGTGCGTAGGTCAAGTTAGGATCTGGGTGACCTCCATTGAAATCTGGCGAAGGAATGCAATTTTGAGTGCTCGAGCTTGGAAGGCCAAATTCGGTCTCAAAGATAGCCTTTCCGTAAGGTCCAGTAACACCCGAAAGGGCATCGAATAGAACCTTGAAATCGGTGTGCGTTTCAAAGAATTTCTTGATAAGAGGGAAATCGAAGATATCCTTCAACATCTCAGTATAATCGGCACATGAGTCGATGATCTCAACCTCCAATGAACCGTATGTTTTTGTGCCAATTGTAGCAATATCGACTTCTGGGATATCCGCAATTTTGTACTCGGTAAGGGTTTTTGAAGCTTCGAAAATTTTGTTTGTGACAGATTCGGGAGCTGGTCCACCATTTGCGAGGTTGTATTTGATACCAAAATCGTTCTTAGGGCCTGCCAATCAATATATTAGTCAAATTTCCTCTCTCTCATATCTCTCACCTCATTCAGGCATTCCATTCCCAAGCCCCTAAGCATAAAAACAAGAGATACATACCACCAGCATTATGACTAGCCGTCAACAAGATACCTCCAGTCGCATTCCTCTTCCTGATAATATGCGATGCAGCCGGGGTACTCAAGATACCATTCTGACCGATCAACAATTTCTTAACTCCATATGCCGCACCAATCTTCGCAATCAACTGCACAACCTCCGGATTCCAGTATCGTCCATCACCACCGATAACGAGGAAACTATCCTGGACACCTTCGGGGATAGAGAGAAGAATGGCTGTGACGAAAGATTCGCTGTAGTGTTCTTGTTGGAAAACGACGACTTTCTTGCGAAGTCCAGAACTATGTAGGAGGAAAAGAGTTAGTAAACCGTATTCTTGCGCTCTCATCAATGTATGAGGCAGAATGGCATTTTCATTGACATCGACTTAAACAAACATGCCCTAGGCTAGGGAAAGCCGACAGAGAAAGGTGCGATGCGGGGTAATTCAAAAGCTTCGATTGTACTTACGTTCCCGGCTTCTGATCAGTAAAAGGCTTCAAGCCTACAGTTGTGATACTCATGATTGGTGATTTCGTGATTACTGATTGATGTGAAGTAAAAACAAAGCTATCTTGAAGAGCAGAAGAAAATGTATCTTGGAAATAAGGGGTAGAAAGCTTTATGTTTTGATACGAGCGATGCCAACAAGCAAGCTCAACCCGGCGGTGGATGAATATTAGCTTCCGAGTGGTGGGGCATTTGTTGAGATTGGATTAAAAGTGGGGGTTACTGAGGGGTCGTTTTAACATTCTGCCAGTAGGTGATAAATCTAAAGTTTGATATTCGATAATCAAATAGCTTCATAGATATATATATATCTTATGTGACCTGTATGAGCTGGACTTCTCAGACGAGTATTCCATTTCAGATTCTCATCAATACCATACAAAATCTTTACGATCATATCATAACACTGTTCAATATTGCAGTTCTTATTCCCCAATGAAACCGCTTCTCAACCTTAAAATTGATATACTTTTGACGAGTAAAAGGGGGGAGGGGAGAGGGGTTGGTGTACAGTCTATTTCATTAAGTTACTTCGCGTGCTATTGAGGAAGTGGATAGGATAATGCTTCCAGAGTCGTATTGATAATTTCAACAATCTTTCAAGGTACCTAGGTAGTTATAATGTAGTTGGGGGTATCAAGTTTCCACAACCAATAATGATATCTTTATCATTCCGTCCCCCATTCATTCATTTATCGTCCCACCAAACACCACAAACCCACCCTTCAGTTCCCCTTCTGAAATACCTTCTCCTTCCAATACCTCGCCTCAGCAATACTCTCCTCGATATCCTCTCTCCCCCTATGTCTCCCCAATTTCTTCGGCTGTCCCACCAAAACCTCCAAATCGCACCATCTCTTCGCTGCCTCTTTAATACTACTCACATCCAAGATTCGATAATGCAAATGATCCATCACCTGTTTATAAGGTCCTTTGCTCAAGAATGCTTTATCGGCGTGTACGCTATTTCCAGCAAGTAATGCGCGACGGGGTTCGGGGATATATTCTTTAATGTAGGCAAGGAGGGAGACGGCGGCTTCGGTGGGAGTTGTGGTCGAGGAGAGCACTTCGGCTGTGAGGCCGGTGGATGCGTGGGTTGTGGTGCACCATTCGTCCTGTGCAGATAATGGTAAGTATAAATGTTCGACCTCAAATGAAAACGACAATCCCCCCAAGAGGAGAATGATGAGTTGAGAGCTTGCAACTCTGCGAACCCAAGAAAGAAATAGGTACCGACCATTTTATTCATCGTCTTTTCATCTTGATGAATCACAGCACCCCAACCCTTCTCATCCATCACCTCGAGATTTCCATTCGTAATGATGCATGAAATTTCAATGATGACATCGTTTTCAAGATCGAGTCCTGTCATCTGTGCCAATATGTTAGCTTGCGAGCTTGAAAACATCGAATCCAGAAACATACCTCGCAATCAATCCAAACCAATGGATGACTTGTGCTTACTTCCTCCATGATCAACTTTTGTTTAATTGATAACCTTATACTTCGGAATTCCGATGTTATTACAGTCAATCACAAGTGAGTAATAGCATTCAAAGTTATAGATAATTGAATTGAATGGAGGAAAGAAGGTAGAAAGCACAAGCCCCAGAAATCTCACATCGTACTTGCTCACCCCGTTCATGAAAATCCTCACCACCCATGACAATCAACATTCCCCCCCTTCCGCCCCTGCCTTGCAGTATCACCTTCTACATAAGAAGGCTGACTTATTAAATAATAATTAATATCCACCATAAGATGTATATATTCAGATGTGCAACATAGCTGCATGATCATGTCATATGGAAATACATCTCTGAGCTCTATAATTGGCTGCCGCGAATATAACTTACCGATCACATGATATAGATCTTCTAATCAAGTCAATTGCTTGGCTGTCTATCAAGCTATTCTAGACGTCCAAGAAAGCTTTCAATCCCATGATCAAAATCATATTTTAGATGTGCAACAAAACTTTGAATCAAATGATTTGATTCATCTAATAAACTTACCTTACCCCAGATTCAGATTAGTCCAGCTTAGTCAGCAGAACTCAAAATTTTAACTAGATTTTATAAACCCATTGTCTTATCTTCACATTACCGCATTAGCATTCTGACAGCTACTACCCCTCCCACCCAGGTGCCCACCCTTAATATCAAGCTAGGGTGCGAGACATGAGCCCCTAAAGCTCATAACTATACAGATTCAGAAATATATACAAATAGAAGCGTATCACACGTTTTCCGACAAGCTTATTAAGCGCACTCCTTAATAATCTTCTGGACCAAGGCCACCTGTTCCTCAACCGTAGAACTCATTGCGGCGACATCTGCAGCCTTCATCTCTCTTCGCAAAGCTGCGACTTTGGCGAAAACTTCGGCATCCCTCGAGACGGCTGCCACCCCGCCAAGACCAAATAATAAACTTAGGGCCGTCATGGGGGCACTCGCGGGGTCATCTACAATCGTATAGATGGAGAATGCCGTATTTGCTACTTCACCGGCTATAGCAATAGTACGTGCGATGACAGCGAGTCCTGCGAGCGCGGCACCTGCTTCTCCAACAAAAGGCACAATACCTAGCACGGCGGTTAGGACAAGCGAGATTAGTCTCTTTTTCTCTTCTTCCTTTTCTGTCTTTCTCAGGATTTTAACCTCGGCCATGGACTGGATGGCCTGGGATACCATAGCTACGGGCATGGCAAATGATTGAATAGCGTCGGATCCGGAGCCGTTCCATTGTCCCAGTATCATATCCAGACGAGTGGCAGCAATGCTTAGTGGCAGCTGTGCCATTGCAGGACCTGCATTTGTGAATAAATCCTTTGGGTTTGCTACGGTGACACTGGGAGCCATCAATGGATAGTTGTGCCATACTTCGTGGTGCGATATGCACGGGACGGTTAACGGATCGTCACTAACACAGCTTGACAGGTCATTCTTAGTTAAGACAACCCAATCTGCTTCTATTCCGTAGTTCTCCTGTAGGTCTGCGTAAAACCCCGTCGAGTTGATGAGCGCCCAGTACATCTCGAAGTTATCACCGGCTCGTGGTGCCGGACATGACTCAGTTGTGTGATTCTTCTTTTTAGAAACGTCGTAATATGTGCATTCGAAGTACTTGTTACCTGGTGCAGTCGCGTCGACTTTGCCACTTATCTCATCCCAACCCATGAACGAATCCAGCATTATTGGAATTTCATCCTTGATGTACGTCTGGTAGTACCCGAAAAGACTGTCATACCCTGCGTTCGCGTCATTGTAGTCGGCCAACTCAGCTGTAACGTTGGTATATAGAACGTTTAGCAGATAAATGTAATTGCAATACGGGGTATACTTGTCAGAAGCGTCCGCTAACGCGTCCATGTCTGTGAAACTGAGGCTGAAATCGCAGGGAGGAAGGTCATCGCCGACTTGACAGGGGCAATATCCCGCAGTGTCACAGGCCCAAGCGCAAAGGTCGCTCTGATCGCGATCATCTGGATCGCCCACAAAGGTGACGATGTCGGGGGCTTCAATGCCATCTAACAAGACGAGTGCGCCTTCGGACGTGCACAAACAAAGATGAGTCGGACAGTATCCAAGACTACAAGTGAAAGCGCAAAGTTCTTCTAATCCATCCAAAGCTACCGCCCATTCTCCCCCCGTACAAGATTTGGGTAGAAAGGGCGACGGATTTGGCACAGTGGTATCTTGCTTGGTGGTGGAACAGTGATCCGGGAACGTGAATCCGAATTGATACTGTACAAGTCTCGAAATTAGGAATCAAAATAATTGTAAAATTCGCGAGTTTTGTGCATGCAAGGAGAAGGTTCATGTAGGGCGTCACCCAAATTGGGATAGGGCAAGGAAATATAAACGTTGCTTACTGTCCATTTACATAGACCATCATAATTAGGATCGCTAGTAGCAAATCCAAGGTCACCTGTAAATACAGGATATTCCTTCTGCAATCCTAGAGCAGTACAATAACATGCTATTCAGATTAGTATACACCAGATGCAAGAGATAACAGTGATGCCGGTAGAAGACTTACCACCAATAGGACAGTATCCGTATTCACAGACAAGGCTGCATATTGTAGCGAAGCCCGTGGCTCCCGACCCTTCTATACAGACAAGGTCCGAAAGATCATAAGGAGTCTCGACGGATATCTTTCCTGGGACAAAGTCGCCACCAACCCAGGGGTTAAAGTTAGCATAGCCACCATTACCACAACCGCCAATAGACTCCCCATCAATGGTGAGAATAGTCGTCCCATCTCGAATTAAGTCAGCCGAAACGGCTCCTGTGCCTGTCACAAACAGTGACCCGTGATAGACTCCAACATCCCCCGCAGGTACTGTTTGCCAACTTGCCGCCGAGACTTGGTCGCCAACATGAATAGTCACATTGGCCATAGAACCAAGAGTGGCGGTGAAACCAATATACTTGTATGTCATTATATCATGAGGAAGTCCTTCGACCTGAAACTGACTGGCTGTGTTAACAGTCGTATTGCCATCGTTGCACTCACTGGGGGAATGAAGCACTGTGAATGCGATGATTAGCAGACAATTCAAAGGGAGGTTGGTCAATACTAACTATATTCAAGGACAAGACTCTCCTCTGTAATAGTTGCCTTCCCACTCTTGTATTGCTCCGTCCACACAGCTAGCGGCCAGGTCCACGCATTGTGATCCATACCAGTTACGTAGCCAAATGTATCGTCCCCATCTACAAAAGGAGGGGATGAACGTGACTCGCTGATGTAATGCGACTACAGTTATTGTCAGAGACCAGCCAAAGGGCCACTTGAAACACGAATGGAAGTTGATGACTGAATACCTCGCCATAGTCGTTCCAGCTGATAATCTCGACATAGTCCGGCTTTTGCAACAGAATCTCGGTCCAGTGATCACTCCATAAACTCATAGAGACATCTGGCCAAATCCAATTTTTGTCGAACCCAGGGAAGTTTGTGTAGAACCATGGGGATGCCGCCATCATGTAAGGCTTTTTATCTTAAGAGCGATAATATATTAGCGAGTGAGTAAGCGCATGGATTGGAAATTGTTCAGCTACCAAGATACTGTAAATAAGACGCATCTATATAGGTATTCATTCTCTCGCCGTTGTAAGACCAGGCTGCCCAGTTGAACAGACCATCTGCAACACCACCCTCAAGTTGGACAGCCGCATCGGCACCGAGAGATGACCAATCAGGGATAAGGAAGCAACCTGTTAATGACTTAATTTCAACCCAATCGGCAGCCGATGCTGGACTTTCGAAAGTGGAAACCAGAGGCTGCGAAGTATCGGCTGTATGGAAGTAGGCAGCATTGGACGTGTATTGCTGGAGTAGTTCCGTGACAACTGCCTCGTTCCATGCACCTTCACTGGCGTAGTCAAAGGAGAAAAAAAGCTTGAAACCAGAAGAAGAAGCAGCCGCAAAGGCATTGGAAATTTGCTTGTCGTTGAAAGTTCTGCCGTAGGCAATATTGAGTGCGAAAGCATCTATCTAGGCTGTGATAGCGTATTCCATCTCATTGAGCCAGCTTTCCTGAGTGAAGTCCTCTGTGTTTTCGACCTAGCGAAATGACGTTAGGAGAGTTCTCAAATGAGAGGGAATGTACTCACCATGAAATGGGCAAAGACTGCCCGGGCCGCAGCATAATGGCAGAGGCTGAAGAGCAAAAATGCAAAGGACAAAACGAAATGCATCTTTATAATTTGCTCCTGTTGTATGCAGATTGGAAAGTGAGAATCTGCAATGGAGTTTGACGGTGATGAGATCATTATCATCATCCTATATACTCCTATTCTCCCTCCACAGCCTACCCGTCGAGGCACAGCTATTCATGGCTGTCTGTTACCACCCCTGATGTCAAATCTCATGGTTGTGATCTTGGCATAATATAATTTCGGCAAAAACCTCGAGGACCGAGCAGCGAGCGAGTATCTGCTCTGGGTAATTGGATGTGGAGGGCAACATCGGTGCAGCTTCGGTGCATTATGTGTCCAGAGCTCTAGATCAGGAAGTTCCCAGACCCCTCGCATGGCTGTATACCTACACTGAGCCTACTCTGGACATCAATACGTCTTGGCAAACTTCCTCATTACTTGCTGCCCTGTATGTCAAGCTGCTTCAGACATCCATCATTTTGCGGCACAGGCGTGGCGACCTGTGATGAGGGTCCAAATGTGCTCGGGGCGACTATGATATCGTATCATTTCTTACTCTAGACTTGCGTCCCTTGCTCTCCTGCTAATATGCATGCGTAGCTTTTGTGACATCGAGAAAACCTTAATCTCAAAAGCAAAAAAGCATCGGATTTCAAGTATCACACGACATCAAGTTCATGGTTCTTATCGCCAGAAAGAAATTAGGGCATGGTATGTAAAGAAATAAAAATGAATAATCGTTGAACCTGACCAATAACCATATTGTAATGATATTCTTCGTTTCCGAAGGTGGATAACTACCTTATGTGATTCGTGGAATGTATTGATCTTCATGAAATGAATATGTTTGAAGGTGTTGGAACTTGGACCCGACGATTTGGTAAATGAGTGAGTCGCTAAGCGTGTTGAAGACTGGCGGTTGTAACTGAGACTAAGCCAACTGAATTGAATGATAATCCCTGCAAGCGCACCGGGTAATGTTCTGATAATGGGCCGGACTGAGAAAATATAATGTCTTGTAAAGAAACAGAAATGAACAAGAAACGGAATGAGTGCCATTCTGAGCTCAGTTCTACGCGAAGTACACCATTCATATGATATGGTCTAGACATCAGTCAGTATATTAAGCTTCACTCATTAGACCTTTTTAGCTTCCCTGAATCTGAATGTCCCGCAGATTACACACTCTTCGAGTAGTTGACTGTATCATTAAGTGAAGCTCTAGCGTGCTTGAACACACTATAAAAAATGAGCACCAACAGACACAAGGGTTGAGTGATCCACTCGTATCTCAATGCTTTCATTTTCTGCTAACAGACCGGATATTGTTATCGCCCCGGAATGTGACATTATGGATCAGAAGCTTAGAGATTAAATGTCGGATGAGGAAGGTGATATGTTGAACTCAATCTTGCATCGTCTTAGGGGAACGAAGAAGAACCAGGGCAGACATGGCTCACACGACCAAGATCGCTGAATCAGCTTTTCTTGAATGAATATTAGGTATTTATATCGTTCCTTTCTCCCTTCTCACTCTGTAGTTAACTTTAAGAATCTGTTCTATCAAAGTTCGGCCCTTTATCTTCTGTTTATTCTTTCTCGGCGCCACTTAGTGTCAATTCTTTCAAGCTCGATTATTACTATGAGGGCCCATAAGGTCATCCTTCTTGCCCTAGGCATTGTTGCGCAAGTCTGAGCATTGGCAACAGCTGTTTCGTGGCAAATTGTCACCTTTGGTGTGCTTACCGAATCAACATCGAGGTGTATGGCATAGGTGGAAATCCAATCGCCCCAGGCTGTCGAGGAAGTCTTGCGGATGGGAGCTGCACACTCGATGAGTTCGCGGAATACACTCGGCAACCAAAACCTGGTAGAAAGCCGTTCCCGGCGGGTTTGATAGGAAGTAGCCTTACGCCAGACCCGTTGGCCGTTGTCACGGCGATCGATGGATCTGGATACGACACGTCGCAGTGGATGGACACTTACAAACTCCTCCCCGAAATGTACCCTGCTGAGGAAAAAAAGAGCGGCTTCTTGCCGAACTTTGCAGATCAGGTGGAAGCAATAAACTACTACGTGTACAAGGCTCTTTTCTACATGGCCAAGACCCTAAGGTTCAGCCTAGCGATTGTCGACAGCTGGCCCAATTATGTGAATCTGAGGATTGGCATTCGCGGAATTGCAGATATGCGTAGAGCAGACTTCAGCTCGTTGACCCTATCCGCCCTGATGTCAGAGATAGAAGAGGCAGGAATTACTCCGGTTCTCAGGACAGTTGTCGCGGTCGATCTTACAACGTATAAAGAACTCGACACGGGCCTGACCTTAAGTGGGGGTTCAACCAACCCTTCCATTGATACTATGACCGCTGTGGATGATGCTGTGGCAGCAATCGGGGAAAAGTCTTCTAAAGGGGCAAATCGCAGACATTGGGCAGTTATCAGTAGTCTAGACAAGTGGACAAGCGACCTTGATTCAGGCTTCCAGTGTTGACCGGTGTTCTTGGAGTGAAATTGTAGTTCTGGGTGTAGCTTGAGGTGTATGTATAATAGAGCGTGATGATATTCGTCAGGGCCCGTGATATATACATTTTTCATGTACTCGTAAATAGTCTATATAATTCGTAAGCGGGAGTAGCCTAGTAGCCGATAAATAAGATATTAATACTGTACATGAAATCTAAACCCAATTAGTCAGTCATGTTGTAAAGTAAGGTAATGAATTGGATAAATGATATAATAAAAAGAATCGATCAATAAAAGATTTGAATGAAGTTTTTTTGTTTTATTGTTGCTAGAATTCCTATATCAACGAGATTAAGCATTTACAACTTGGGTTTAAGACAGGATAACCTTACCCGTCCTCCGGCACAGACAGACCACCTACTGCAATACAGATGATCTACCCACCACACCTATTATCAATGACTTGTCTTCAAATCTTTCAACTCGCTGATAATGTATTGTCTGATCACATAAATAAGACCATCCCTCTACAACAGGTTGTAGGTTTCCAAAAATTCAAATCTCCTTAACGCCACCCTCAATTTCCGCACCCACTGTCAATACCCACTTTGATCTTGCCCTATGATGGCGACTGAATTTCACAACTTTCCAAATTTACCAACAGAGCTACGACGCAAAATCTGGAGCTTTTGTATACCAGATGGCCGCGTCATGGAGTTGGATTGTCCCTCCCGAGAGATATTCGAGACAAGATGCGTAATGGGATGGACATCCATTGCCAACGCGTTACAGCCAGCTTTCAGCCTAGTCTGCCGCGAGTCGCGCGATGTGGCCTTTACAAATGGTGGTTTTCTATGGGATCTACACAAATCATGTAAAGACAAAGGATTTGAGCAGGACCCGATCTGGAATGACATGAGCTTACTCGATAATCCGTGGTTTTACCCCGAAACGGATACTGTACACCTCAACTGGGACGAAGAGTACGCAGCTACCTATGACGTAAATGACGACCCATTTCCACCTTCATCGCGTATTCCAAGCTCGCTCGGGGGGGGTTCATTCATGGCGGAACTTATGCACCCCTTCCAGAAGGAATACAAGTACCGTTCAGGTCGCCCTATGCTACTCGACAATGCCCATAATTTTCCACTTCGCGAACATATGGATGAATTCAAGGTCTGCCTCATTGTCATCAACATCCACGCCACCGCTACACAAGCTGTTGTACAAACTGTGGTGGTTCACTTATTCTCAAGACGATGCTCAATTGAAGGATGCCAAGCCGGAAGAAATATTCGAGGAGATGATTCTCACACCCGATGATTTCGAATCGCGTGTTCGTAGGTGGCATGAGGAGATTGAGCGGATTTGGCTCTGGCACAAATGTTCCACGAAGTTTGATGATGGCACACTGGGTACTGTTCCTTCACCCGAGAACATATGGACGGGGCCTGAGTTAAACCACAATGTGACAAAAATTTGGATGATGGGCATACGTATGCCGCAGAATGATTTAAATAGGGCACATCTGTGGGTACAAGCTACACTTGATGATATGCCTCGTTTCCGTTCTGTGATCATGTTTAGATATTGTAACGCTAAATGCCACACTCAAGGACGACCAAAACCATTGAGTGGTACTGTTTCGGAGATACCGGTGGTTCATGACTATAATCATTACATGAGAGAGACAGATGACTCTTTGACTCCATATTTGACGATTCTAGAAGGTAGATTATCTTAAATTTGATCTGGACTATTCGTGCTGTGCGATATCTAGTTCAAATTCGGTAGAAAATAAGATCACATGCATTTAGCATTTTGGGAGATTTTTTAGAAGGTTAATTGAATGAATTATCACCAAATTTTGTCATACAGAAATAGAAGACGCGATTGGAGACAAGAAACTAGGTTAGATAGACAGATGAACTCTGTTCATAAGAAAAATGAGGAATGAATTATCATGCTATTTATTTGTCATCAACCTGCTTCCTTCCTTCCTACCCATACCCACTCATATTTACGATACTCGTCACCAGTTTCATCTTTCATCATCCTCGGCACTGGTCGAAGAGAGCTTTAAGTTGCGGGACATCTAGCACATCTATTACCACATATGTTGGTATTAGGTTGGAATTTATCAATGCCTCGACTACTGTACCGATCAGAGCAGCGACTTCGTGCTCGAAGGTTTATTAGATTTTGAGACAAGATCAGCTGCTGAATTCGTCTCAAATATTTAGAATACAATCGGAAGTTCAAATCAACCCGATTACATCATGATCAATGCTAAAGAGATGAAATTGTAAATTGTGCCTCCCTAAAATAATAAAGCCTGACGGTTACCCTAAACCACGAACCTAATCCATGATTAACAAAGATATCAATCCTGCAAGACCAAAATTCAACGACAGTAACAATCCTACTTACGACTCATCAGCTATCTGACCAAGCCACCTTTGCAAATCAGCCGCTACTCGCTCTCCCATTTGAACATCACAAATGCAATCCTGCCAACTAACTCCCACAGATAATCTCTCTCCCTTAGCAGTCATAGGCGAGATCATAAAAGCTGCCGCCGTACTCTCTGTACTCAACGCAAATTGTGCTCGATGAACTGCCCACGTGTTTTCTCCTGCTATATTATCTGCGGCAGAAGATGCCTCATTTTGAAATTTCGGTTTCCCATCCAAAACTCCAACTCCAGTAACCCACCAAGAATATTGCCTCGGTCTCTTTGCCGCATCACTCATTGCTTGGCGCCAATCACCTACGAATTTCATTGCTCCAACAGGATCATTCTTCAAACCTGTTGATATCTTGTGCTCGATGTCGCCACGGACACGGGCGCTGATTTTCCAAACCTGTAGCAAAAGTTTAGGTGGTAAAAGAGGATTCTGGTCATCAGCAGCCCAAAGTTGATCGCAGATTTGAGAAACAAGCATCTTGTCGAACTCATGAGACATGACCGTCACATAATTACCCATAGTTCTCTTGGGGATTAACCAGGGATAACTCGGATGATTAGAAGGTATAAATCGTCGCATATCCACCGTTGTGCCGCTCTCAAACGCAGGAGCTATCTTCTCGTCTAATTGTGCTGCAAGTGAGACCATCGCAAGTCCATGAAGAAGACTAGTAAGAGTGCTTTTCTCCCTTCGACAGGCGATGAGAATTTTGCTGAGTGAGTCGTTTTTAATATCGAATGCACGGAATTGGGTTTGGTATGGGGACATGCGGAACGGTGCCCATCTCGCTAGGCTTGTCCGCGTCCATGCTAATGATGCAGGGCCGAATTCTTCCCACGCCATTTTGGCGATGAACGATAGGTTGAGGGGTAGTTTGGATATCTCTTCGATTGGTGGTGGGAGTTGTGGAGCCGCAGGTAGCATTATAATGGAGGAACCTATGCTTTCCTGTTTTTTGTCTTCTTGTCGATTTGGTTTATTGAGACGTTGGTACAAATCTTCCTGGAATATCTTTCCGCTCATTCCATCGGCATGCGGGTGGTTCCATGTGAAGTTTATCTCCAGCAAGTTTGTTCCTACCTGGCATAAAACGACTATTCTCCATCCCGGCCGACTCTCCAGCTCAGGGAATACTCCATCGATTTCAGATGCAGTGACTTCCTTCGAAATCTCTTCGAAATTATCCGATGCATTCAGAAAACGCCAAGTAATATGTTCATGTAGATCAAGACGCTGCAATGTCACCCAGGTTGGATTCTTAGACTCTGCATCGATGATCCCAACTTGTAAGACAGGATGTTGGAGAACCACATCGGCAATAGCAGTTTCTACCATGCGCACAAGATCTGCACGGAATTCGGAGTTTGTGAGATGGGAGGGAGGAGTATAGCGACAGGCTACAGAAGTGCCGCGATATTGATCTAGTGTATACATCGCTAACTGGTAAGCTTCACTGTGATCATTAGTCAGCCTTACACAAATCTCTCCTCACAACATTAGCGTACTGACTTATTACCCAATTTGCGAAGGAGTTTGGAATTTTTATTATTCTCAGCCGAGGCAATCTTTGCCTTAAACGCGAGCATTTTGATAGTGCAAACAGACACGATATGAAGGAAAGACTCCAAGCTGAAAGTAAAATAGTGTGAATGTGTATTCGTAGGCCGGCGTAGTTGAAGAGAATGAGATATCCCTTTTGGTATCTACAGTGTGGATAGATTTTTCAACAACTAGGTGGCGTGGTTCTTTGATGGAGTGAATGTGATGTGAGGTTGCCAATGCGGCGTAGCTAAGGATAAGCGAATAGCCTCGCCGTTCGGTGGCTCATTTTGTATTCTGAAACTAAACGAGAGCAGCTGAAATTCGGACGATTTAAAAGTTGGGGAAGTTGTTCCATATGCATAACTCACTATAAGATATAAGCTGCAGCTATGTTAGACCTGTGGAAGCTCAGTGGGAATTATCCGCTCGGTACTCTGTACGAATTAGAACTTCTAGAATATCTTGTAAATCGATGACCAAGATTCGAGGCCAATCACGAATTATTATTAGATTTCAGTCTTCCCATATTGGATTTACTTGGCAGCTAACCAATAAAAATGTTTCGAAAGAACAACATTGGGACATCACTAACGACCGGATCGCCTGTACAGCTCATGCGGAGTACAGTCAGCACCAATATAACAGGTACAGAGATGCGTGACACAGAATACTCGGCACGTTATATGTGCATTACTGCCCCAGTCTCATATATTGTGCCAGGAATTTGGAGGATTATTCATGAGGCTAGGTGCATAATAGCAAAGGAACTTCCTGCTGTAAGATTGCGACCTCTCCATCAATCCTCATTGTGGCACAAGTTGGAATCAGCATCGTATTGGAGATTTCGCTCAAATCAGCCCATAAGAAGTTAATTGAAGGTGCTGCATGCAATGCATATCACGAAAGAATTCAGCGTCTAAAGCTCCATCATTCATATTAGCAATATGTCTGCATTCTGCAGAGCAGCATACGATTGATGTTCTTGGCGTTTTCGTTGATTTTCTATTTCCACCTTTTGCTTCTGTTTTTCTTTTCCTCTTTCGCGGAGACGTAACTTGAGCGAGATTCGAACATGTCTGACCCTGATGGGCCTGCGATTAATCCCCCGGTGGGAGTCACACCGGACTTCGACAACCCAGGTGGTAGCCATGTTTTGGGATACTTTATTGTGATTTTCTGCGGGATTATATCAACTTTGGCCGTCCTGTTCCGTCTGGGCTCTAGATTTGTCTTGCGGAGAATTAATATCGACGATGTATTTCTCGTCGCCGGACTAGTATGTTATCTATCTTAAGGAATATCCTCATGCTCATACCTTCGACCTAAATTAACTGACTATCCATTAGGGCTTCTTCGCTGGGTACGTTTACCCACTTTATGAAGCTGCGATCAACCCGGGAGTTCAGGTCCATTTATGGAATGTACGATTGAGAGAGACAACGCGTCTTTCGTGGGTAAGCATACTCTATAACATATTGTCTTCATCGACTTAAGTATGCCACGATTAAGACAACCCACAGTTAACATCACATAGCTTATTCACATTGCTTCTATCTGCTATGGAATGTCTATCATGTTCGTGAAGCTCGCTATCCTCATGGATTGGCTACGTATCTTTGTTCCCATGAGACAGCGAAATGCCATGTTCTGGGCGATTCATGTCTTGATCTGGTGCAATGTCGTCTACTACGTCTCTGGAACCTTTCTTGAAATCTTCCGTTGTTGGCCGACGCGAAAGATTTGGGACCCCTTTTTTGAAGGTGGCAGTTGTCCTATTAACATAGAAGCCAACAATTTTGCCTCTACCCTCATCAACCTGGTTTCAGACCTTGGTATTTTGATTTTACCGCAATGGATCATATGGAGACTCAATACGACGAGAGCTAGGAGACTCGGTGTGTCACTATTGTTTGTGATTGGTATCTTGTTAGTGTTTCCATATGCGATTTCTCATCTGTTCATGGAGTCCTGCCTGATGCTGACTCTTCTCGCACTGAAGTGCTACAGGAGCCGGAATGGCGCGCTTAGTCTACCTTCTCCAACTCCTTTATTCCGATGACGAGCTCTTCTACATAGTAGATGTCGGACTCTGGGGAATTGGCGAGATCACCGCTGGATTCCTAATTATAGGCATCCCGGCAGCTCCCAAGGTCGTACAAAGCATAACGAATTCCAGCTCATTTACGTCGCTTATAAGTCGATTCCGAACTACGGCTGAGCCTACATCGAGACCAAGCGGCGACGGACCTAGTCTGAGAACTTGGGGTAGGGGATCATCCAATAATAGGCGGCGTGGTCTGTGGGAAATCAGTGATAATGATACTTTCGGCCTAGTATCCGCACAAGCTGAAGCTGTGCCAAGTGAGGTTGAGCTGGAGCATCTGCCAAATCAAATCATCAAGAAAACTCAAGTGGAAATACAACACAAAGATCAGTCGTCATCTGATTAGATATCTTTTCCAGTTTTGAGTTTGCAAAGGAAAATAAGAAACATGTTTTGGTCATGCTGTTTTTTATATGACTTAATTAGTGCTTCACCTTCTCATTATCAGTCAAATAATAAACTATCTCTATTCTTCTTACAAGTAATGCCGATCTTAGTTCATCATCCTTGTTTTCGGCGGGTGTTGTTTCCCTATGCTCCAACGAAAGCCACTCATACTTTGCAGGGTATCCAATAGCCCAGACTACAGTTCAACAATAAGATATTCTTAATTCCTGAATGTATTTCAGACATCATTTTGATTTAAGATAAAATTCAATTGTTTTCAGAGATTAAAATATTTTGAATATTGGAATCTCTTTAATTAGACTACAGTCTGGACTATTGGATACCCTGCGAGTCATACTCAATTCTAGTTAGCATAGACTCAACAATAATGTTACCCAAACAGGCCAGTATGTTTTCCCTAGACACTGCGTACCAGACTTTTGAAGTTGAAGGAAGAGGCGCCAAAAGTAGAACGACCGACAACTTTGTGCTGCTCAGCCCTTAGGTTAGAAACTGAATCCGCCTAAGCCCAAATGCAGTAATATGGCTCAGGAATTATTTGTCTAACTGATTGAACGATATAAGGTATATGTGACTGGAAGTGTTATTACAACAATGAATAATTTTTCTGTCCATTTTGGCTTCGGCCCCGAAAAATTCAAGGATTGAATTGTGATTCGTATGTACTCACATAGTTTGAACGGTAGCAAGACCCCGGTAATGGGTAATATGAAGATGAGGTTACAGTACCTGTCTTTTTCCGAACGATTGTCATTGGCGACTCCCTACCTAATGGATTATAATTCAGGGGGTTTTATCTGATCTGAGATTTTACCGGTATGGGGTACGCGGTCAAGTTATCATAACAGAGTTCATCAAAGGATTGCGGCACAGTATGTAATACTGTAAATATTGGCGTCAAACACTGTGTATCAGATGCAATAAACATTGGCACTCGGCATCGAGCCTGATCTATCCTAAATTCTGATAAGCGGTCGCTATACTGGGAATCATCAAAGTAGATTAAATTGCTTAGACCCTAATGATTGACCTCCTAATTATATCTTATATGCCTATCGCAGCTAGTTATCAAGATATGTTTGAGTTTCAGGATATAACATTTCAAGAAAGTTTTGTTCTCTCTTGGCAGTACGGTTGACTGAAAAGTTTGACGAATCGTAAGCACTTGCTCTATTTGGGCAAACGAGTAAATCCCACCGATGTTATTTGGACGACACATCTAATTGGAATGTAATCAGCGCAACATAGCCCCATGATTTCAAGGAGAGAGAGCGCAGCAATCGCTCGGTGAAAGACTGAAGGTGACATACATAAGAAAATCTAATTCATCCGAAAAACCAATGCGGCTGAACTACCCACCGGCTTACATGACTGATTGATTACCATGCTATGTGGCTGCATCATAATGTAGTATCATAATAATCGAGTGCAGCTCAAAGCAATGGTCCAAGAATTCAAATATTGTGCCTCCGTGACTGGATGGCACAGTTCAAATCCGTCTAAATATGATCTGCTGAAGGATGAGATATACTGAGCAGGATACTGAGAATCATACAGTAATTACAGAATCAAGATTTGGGAAAGGTTTCCAAGATTTCAATCACCTGCCTGAGTTTGTCACTTCACCAAGATTTGGCGCACAAACAACCTTTACTTTGTCAGTTGACCATCATGGAAACCAACAATAACGGGGCCTTACCACAGGCTCTGACAAGCACAGTTGCAACTCGAATCCAGGATCAACGAGTCAACCAACGGGCCACCAAAGCACTTCCAACCTTCTACCGCAATCTCGAAGAAGCTCTAGACGTACGCCGTGCCTCGCACAACTTCTACTCCATTGTTCAGAACAGTTGGCAGACGAGCAATGCCGTAGACCTGTGCTCGGGCGATATTCTCGGCCTAGGCTCGAGCCCAGAGCGACGTTCTGAGTTTCTAGCCGAGCTAGCCCGATGCCCTGGATTTACCACTGGATCAAGTGGTGTGAGACTCATGGATGGCGAGTACTCATATCTAGAAGAAGTTGAGCGAGAAATTGCCGCGTTCCACGGGGTGGAGACCGGATTGATAGTAGGCTCAGCGTATGAGGCCAACATTGCGGTCTGGACGGCCATCCCGCGTCCTGGCGATGTCATTTTGTACGATGAGTTTGTGCACGCGAGCACACACGAGGGAATAAGACAAGGTCTGGCCATGCAGAAAGTGGAGTTTCCTCATAGCGATGTCGATGCTTTCCGCTCGGCGCTGCTAGAAATATTGGTCTCGCAGCCGCTGATCTGCCAAGGGAAGCGCTCCGTTCTCGTCGCAGTTGAGTCAATATACAGCATGGATGGAGATGTTTGTCCGCTCCAAGAGCTCGTGGGAGTTGCACAAGAGATCTTCCACAGTTACGGAAATATTCATTTCGTGGTAGACGAGGCGCACAGCGTAGGAGTCATTGGACCTAAAGGCGCTGGTCTCGTTTGCGAACTTGGACTACAAGATAAAATCGCGGTGGTGGTGCACTCATTTGGTAAGGCCATGGGTGCCACAGGAGGTACGTCTGCGTGCAAAATTTACATATATTAAGGAGTCATTACTTACCATTTCATTCACCTCCTGTAGCAATCATATTGGGAAATAAGACGATCAAAAGTTCGTTGGCAAATTTCGGACGTTCAATCATATACACCACATCGCCATCCTTCCCATTTGTCGCTGCCATTAAATCTGGGTATACCATACTTGAAACAGGTCGCAAACAAGAAGTAAGTCACTTTTGCTCATTTATAACTGATCTGGCTGGCCCTTGACGCGAATTTCAATCTCATAATTTCTCAGGCTCAAGAACGAATTCAGCAACTTGGAAAGACTTTTTTCGAATCAATCACATCGCACGCGACTTGGTCCATGGCTCGAGATACTGGTCTAATTTCCGTGCCCCTGCTAGAAGGCTGGAGAGACCGTTCATTTCTCACCCACATTATCACTATCTCAACCCGAGAAAGATATACTTTCTGGCTCTATTTTGCGCTTCTATCGTCCGGTTTCTGTACTTTCCCAGTCAATCATCCCATCGTACCTCTCGGACACAGCCGACTGCGCGTCATACTACACGCCACCAACACCAAAGACCAAGTGAGAAGATTCGTTAAAGCGATTTTTGCATGGGTCGAAGAGATGTTGGAGATTGAAGAAGGTAGGACTACAGAGAAAGTATCCATCGCAGCCAGGGACCTTTACACATGGATGAGGCGTGAAGGACTTACCGGGTATGGAATGAAGTAGAGGATAGCTATGTATAGCAGGCCAAAATGTCCGGGGTTCGGATTAGCATGTCTAGGTTTTCAGAAAACACCGGAGTAAATGCTATCTATCTATTGCAACATAAACTTTGAAACTACTCAAATTCTCCGAGCACTTTTCATAGATTTTGCATGGTCACTTGAATGAATGAGAGCCTCATTTTTCCATCTCCAATGTCATCCTCAGTGGCAGTGGCAGTGGCAGTGGCAATTTCTGATTCTGATTCCTAACTATTCATTCTAATTTATAAGCCAGACGCCCTCAATCGGATGAATGTAACCATTCCACTCAAGTGTTAGTACTAAGAATACCTGAGGGAAGAGGCTACAATGTCTTTAGGGGAAATTAAAACATATATGAAAATCAAGTTAAACTAAACTAAACAGAAAGGCTTTAAATGCAAGAATTCCGATTGGATAAACACACGGAGTACTTGCAACGGTTGATCTCACAATTGGGGTCCAGCTCTGCTTATATGCCAAGCTATTCGTCTCAATCAATATTGCAACTGCAATTTAGCAAGTCAGTAACGCAAGTCGGTAATGCAGCTAGATGCCTGCCCAGCCGTATTGTAAGGCGCAATGGGATATTGATAACGAACACTTTCGTACCCCTGCTGAAGTTTCTCGCCACAGCACTATGAGCTTGGTAGGGTACTGGTTGAGCCCCTTTATCTATCATTACGCCATCACAGTGTGGGGGATACGTGTTGTGTGATTACATGTGTGTTTTATAAAGACAATGTTGGGTTACGAGGGAACACCCCCACCCACTCGTCAGGGGGCAGGTGTGTCATATCAATTGTCTACTATGACAATATTCACTGTGCCTTTATCCTATTGGTGTTGTGCCTCCATTTCAATGGGCATGTAAAGCTGATACGCTTTACAAAGCAACTTCGTCAGCACGGAGCTGAATTGAAGCGTTGAGTTATTGACATATATTCTGGGTGGCACCGATATATTGACAAGACCAAAGAGCCGCTTGTTTATCCGAGCTAGATCTCGAATCTTCGGTAGAGGTAAGCATTCTTGGTATGTGATGTGTGTAATTTTCGGTGAACTCTTCTCTGAATGACAGCATACGAGTTGTTAGTACAACATGTTCAAACATCTAAGTTTAGATTCTTCTATACATACAGATCTTCATACCCGCGCCGCAAAGTGTATCTTCTCAGGGGGGCAGCCCCTTTCTATTCGGTAATATATTAATTACCAATTGCCGCATCAAACAAAGTCTTTTCTGATGTAGTTTAAATCATAACAACTTCTATTTTCAAAATCGTAAAGGTTGTATTTTTACAAACAGATAACATTATCACTACTGTTTCAATTCAAATATTGATACCATGGAGCCCATTGCAATCACGGGGTTTGCATTCAAGCTACCCCAAGGCGCCGAAGACGAGCGTAGCTTCTGGGATATCTTGGAGGAAGGAAAAAATGTAATGACACCATGGCCCGAGTCTAGGGGCAACATCGATGCGTTCTACAATGCAGACCCAACTGTAAAGAACATGGTGCGTGGTCTAGTCCAGTCTTCTTGAATTTGAAAGTAATTGGGAGCTGACGCAACAAGAAGATACATTCCAAGGGAGCACATTTCCTCAATGGAGATCCAGCTTCCTTTGATGCACCGTTTTTCTCCATCACTTCTAAGGGTACGTAGAATAACTCTCGTGGAACGTCTAGCTAGCATCCGTGAATGCTGACTTGTGTGTACAGAAGCGGCTTCTATGGATCCCCAACAACGTTTACTGTTGGAAACGACATACCGAGCTTTAGAAAATGGTATGTTATCAGATTGAGCTGTGTAACCTTGATATATTTATTTGGGAATCTGACATGAATTTCAATAGCTGGGACTCCACTCGATCATGTGGCAGGCACCAAAACAGGAGTTTACAGTGGTTGTATGACCCAAGACTACATGAGAATCTCCTCTAAAGATCCGGATGAAGCACCAACAACCATTTCGTCTGGAACTTCATCTGCGATTTTGGCCAATAGACTCAGCTGGTACTTTGACATGAAGGGGCCAAGCATTCAAGTGGACACTGCTTGTTCCTCGAGCATGATTGCTACGCATCTAGCTGTCCAAGGTCTGCAAAGCGGACAGACTTCCATGGTAAGATTTGCCAAACAACGAAAGACAGACCCTAGGTTTTTCACGGCTAACATGGAATCAGGCGCTGGTGACAGGATCGAACATGATTCTTAGCCCAGAGATGTCCATATACTTGTCCAACATGAACATGCTATCCCCAGATGGCGTAAGTTACAGCTTTGACCACCGTGCGAACGGTTATGCTAGGGGAGAAGGGATCGTTGTCCTCGTACTGAAGAGACTTCGCGATGCGATCAGAGACCAGGATAGTATTCGAGCCATTATTCGGGCTACGGGAACAAATCAGGATGGTCATACCCCTGGACTTACACAGCCAAGTTCTACCTCCCAACAGGACCTTATTCGAGATGTATACAAGAGTTGCAATCTTGATCTGGGTTTAACACGCTATGTCGAAGCTCACGGTGGGTACAGACGTTCCCATCTCATGGATGTTGCATGTTCAGTGCTAATTTAGAATTACCAGGCACCGGTACTCAACTTGGAGATTCGACTGAAGCAAACGCTCTCGGTCGAGTTTTTCGAGGCAGTCGCTCTCCAAATGAGCCGCTTTATATGTAAGCCTTATTTTCTTTTGGTCTTGATTGATGTCATATCTCTCTAATAGTATTGTTGTGACATTTGGTGTCGAGGACATTTTTGACAATATATCCAGTGGCTCCCTAAAAGCAAACTTCGGTCACCTCGAAGGTGCCAGTGGCGTCGCCAGTATCCTCAAATGCATCATGATCCTCGAAAAAGGCATAATTCCACCCAACGCTCTATTTGAGAAATGGAATCCAAACATCAATGCCAAATCCAACAACATACAGGTCAGACAATCTCTGTACTTTTCGCTCTTATCTCATTCCTTTACAATTTGCTTTAATTTCTGGATACTTCCTTATTTCGATACGAAATGCTCATGGATACTAACAGTTCTTTAGGTCCCAACTTCGTGCATCTCATGGCCAAGTGAAGGACTACGGCGTGTATCAGTCAATTCGTTTGGCTTTGGTGGATCTAATGGCCATCTTATCATGGACGACACGCTCAATACAATGCATACTCTCTCTATCAACGGGAATCGACACACTCTCACTTCTTCGTTACATGCACCAATGGCACAGAATACCAAGAAAAATTCCCTTGAAAATCTAGGTTCTGCATTGCGCGATGTTCCTCAAGAGCTTACTAATGGCACAAGCAAACTTACCAACGGTTCAGGTCCGCTCACGAATGGAACGAATTCCCATGGCCTATCTGCCACGCAATTTAAGTACCAATTACTCGTTTGGTCAGCAAGAGACGAACCTGCTCTAATGCGCATGCTCGGAGACTACACCGAGTATTTCGAGTCGCAAGACCATCGATCGAGATCTCAATTGGGAAAAATAGCTTACACACTTGCCGCACGACGAAGTACCATGACATGGCGATCTTTTGCCGTCGTGAGCACCGAGTCATCGTCCGAGAATCCCACTTGGAGATTTAATCCATGGAACGGAGTACGTCCATCTCGTGAACGAGGTCTGGCTTTCGTCTTCACTGGTCAAGGTGCGCAATATGCCAAAATGGGACTAGAATTGTTGCAGTACCCTGTCTTTAAGCGAATTTTGGTCGAAATAGGGGTTATTTACCATAATCTAGGGGCAGAATGGTCGATTCTCGGTAAGTATTAACAAACTCTGGTATCCCGCCAGCCTTCTTGATGCTTCAGCAAGACTGATTCGGGACAAAACAGATGAGCTACGACACGAAGAAAGAATCAATACCCCTCAATTGAGTCAACCTTTGTGCACCGCTCTCCAAATCGCCCTTGTCGAATTATTGGCGAGTTTTGGCATTGTTCCCGATGTAGTTGTCGGTCATTCTTCAGGAGAGATTGCTGCAGCATATGCAGTTGGTGCACTCTCCCTGAACTCTGCCTGTAGAGTGGCATATCACAGGGGCAGGTTGGTTGGACAACTACTTGCATTGACACAGAGTACAAGTGCCATGATGTCAGTAAACCTGCCGGAAGGAGAAGTCAATGCGTATCTGGCAAAGGTACTTCCAAGATCCGGAGGAGTAGCCGCAGACTCTGGTATCCATATATCCTGCATCAACAGCCCATCCAATGTAACTCTTTCCGGCGACGAAGCTGCAATCGATAAGGTAAAAGAGCATTTGGACCGTGATGGAATATTTGCACAGAAATTGAAGACTGGAGTGGCCTATCACTCACCTGCAATGGAGTCAATCACCGAAGATTATTTGAATTGCTTGAGAGTTCTTGAGCAACGCCAAGCGAGCAATGTAAACGCCTTCATGATCTCATCTGTGACAGGTTGTAGGGTATCCGCAACGTCATTATCAGAGGGACAATATTGGGCTGACAACCTGGTCTCGCCTGTTCGATTCGCCGACGCGATACAGTATATTGTCTTGGCGGCACCTAAAATGGACAATCTCAAAGGAATCTCTGACTATATTGAGATTGGTCCTCATGGAGCCCTGCGACGACCTATAAACGATACATTGACTCAAGCGACTGGCGGCAAAGCCTTCAAATATTCTTCCATACTCTCCAAGTTCGATTCGCCTGTAAAGTCTACTCTAGATTTGGTTGGCAATCTTTTTGCCCATGGGTTTCAAGTATCAGTGACGACGGCTATACAGACTCAAGAACAAGATTCGATGCATCTGCCAGTAGATTTACCTCAATATCCATTCGATCGCTTGCAGCTGTACTGGCACGAGAGTAGACTTAGCCGAGACTGGCGCCTACGTGGAACCGCTACCAATCAAGTCCTCGGTGTACGCGCATCAGACTGGAATCCGTTGCAACCGCGCTGGCGGAAAATATTGAGTGTTGAACAAATGCCGTGGCTTGCGGGGCATGTCATTGGAGAGACCATTCTTTTCCCAGCGACAGGAACCATCATGATGGCCCTGGAGGCCGTTAAGCAGATGGCTAACGGTCAGAAACGCATCTTGGGATACCATGTCAAGAAAGCTGTGTTCACCACTCCCATCGTTATTCAACCGGAAGGAAAGACTGAGATCATGACTTCTTTGCGCCCACTCTACAACGATTACGAGAAAACATCCTCTCGTTTTGAAATACAGATATTCGCTTACTTAGATACCTACTGGAATGAATGCTTCAAAGCTACCATACATATTGGATATGAAGAAGCTCAGACAGAGGTGGACGGCGGAAACGAGACCCAGATGGCTACCCAAACCTACGTCCAAGAGCATGCACAGGCAAAAGCCATGTCCACAAAATTCATAAGCAAAGAGAACTTCTATACCTGGCTACACAAACAGGGTCTCAAGTACGGTGAGGATTTCTCGCGTGTCAAAGGCCTCAGTTGGGACGGAGATCAGCAGGCTGTCGCGCACGTCGACGTCGGACCGACTGCTGGTGTAGAACCTTATGAAGGTATTGTCCATCCAGCCATTTTTGATGCTGCTTGTCAGATCGGCTATCTGGCTCCATCAAAGGGCGTCTCTGAAAGACTGCCGACTATCGTTCCTCACGAAATGCATTCAGCATGGATTTCTGCCACGGGTTGGCAGTATCCACACACTGAGAGAGTCTCCGTGGTAACCAAGGGAAAGCTCAAAACTGTGGGGACAGGTTTCGAAACATCTCTCACAGTTCTGGCAGATGACGGATCGACTCTTTGTCATGTTGAGAAATTCGAATTGCTGCCAATTTTGAGTAACGAATCAACGGAGGACACTAAGAGAAAGCTACTCCATCAAATCGAGTGGAAGCCTCAGTTGTCTTTCCTCAGCGTGGATGAATTGAAGATCTATTGCAATAACGACGATGGTCCAAAAGATGAGAAGGATGCAGCCAACTACCTTTGTGAGCTCGAAAGGGCTCTGCGATATGCGGTAAAACATAGTGTTTCACGGATATTGTATACAGACTGGTCAAGAATGTCATCGCACATGAAAAATTACGTTGCTTGGATGGAACGACAAGTTCAGGCAACGCAGGGCATCCTAGCTAGTGATGAAATGGAAGAAGTGGCCGTGCAAGGTGCGCTAGAAGACTTGAAAATGCGAAAGCCATCCTGGAGACTCTTCATCGAAATTGCTCAGAATCTCGACGAGATCGTGCGTGGAGAAGTCCATACTCTTGATCTTTACTGTTCAGCTGCACAGGACTTGTATGATGACCTCCTCAACTACATTGATAGTCCCCAATTGATTTCCTACTTGGAGCTTTTAGTCCACCAGAATCCTAGTCAGAGAATCCTCGAGATTGGCACTGACATGGGGGGAATGACCGATGTTATACTCTCAGCCCTTCAACGGATAGAAGCCCGCACTGGCGGAGCAGCCTACTCTGAATATATGTATACCGGCGAATCTACAGATGTTTTGGACAAGGTCAAAGAGCGCTTCATCCGCGATCACGATCGTATGTCATTCGAGGTTTTCGACCCTCAGAGAGATACAACCAGCCAGGCATTTCAGCCCGAGTCATATGATACGATCATCGCCAGTAATGTCCTACACACAACTAAAAATGTGTCAACAACACTCCAAAATCTTCGAGGAGCATTGAAGCCAGGCGGGCATCTGATCTTCTACGAAATCACAGCTTCAGACTCCTTCCTCCCAAACTTTGGGTTCGGTATTTTGCCGAACTGGTGGTGTGGAGAAGAAAAGCAGCGAGGTAATTGCCCAACTATGACGGAATCTGAATGGGATCATGTGCTAAAGGAGAACGGATTCTCGGGCAATGATCTCATTATCCGAGATTATCAAGATGATGCTGCGCATTGTATAAGCCTCATCATTTCTACAGCTGAAGATCGAGACCATCTTTCGCCTGAAGGTTGCAGAGTTTTATTAGTCGTTGATGACGAGAATGAATACCAAAAGATGGCAGCTACGTCGATAATGAACGAAATCCTCGCCTCCCAGAAATTTGAGACGGAAGTCTTCTCGATCACGGAGCTAACGGCTGCGAATGTCAAACGCACCGACTATGTGATATTTCTAGCCGACTTAGGCAAATCGCTTCTGCTTGACTTATCCGAATCCACATTTAATTTGATTAAGGGGTGGCTACAACAAGCGACGAATCTACTTTGGATAACTTTAGGCGATGTCATGTCCGAGAGCTCGAAAACCACTCCATATCCCTATTCTGGTATCAAGGACGGATTGCTGCGCACGATTCGTGCGGAATTCAATGATAAACGCATTATCTCCCTTTCTATCGAAGATGAGTCGCAAGATATATCCAAATACGTCAAGCAAGTATTCAAGGTCTTTGATTCAGCATTTCAAACAGGGTCGTCTGACCTTGAGTACTGCATTCGGGATGGGAAGATCCTCACTGCCAGGCTAATAGAGGATATCGAAGGCAACAAAGAATTGACCTCGTCCATCCACCAAGAGACTACTATCCGTACCGAGCCATGGCTTCCAGGTCCGCCAATAAAACTTGATATGGCGGTCCGCGGCCAAATCGAAACACTTCATTATAGGGAAGATAGCGACTACTGCGATATTTTGGGTGCTGACGAGGTGGAGATTGAGGTAAAAGCCTGGGCCTTAAACTTCCGCGATTTGTTCGGCGCTTTAGGGCGACTAGACGAGAGTTTTGATTTCGGATCAGATTGTGCTGGTGTTGTGAAGAGGATAGGACCCCAATGTACGTCGGTACAACCAGGAGATCGCGTTTGCATGTGTGCTTCGGGATGCATGCGAACATACCCTCGAGCAAGTGAATGGGCCGTTGTCAAGATCCCAGACTCAATATCGTTTGAAGAAGCATGCGCAGTGATTAACCCAGCCTTTACCTCGTGGCAATGTCTGATCGAAGTCGCGCGGCTGCAGAAGGGTGAAAAGGTATTAATACATTCGGCGGCCGGAGCAACCGGTCAGCTTGCTATTCAAATTGCGCAAATGGTCGGTGCAGAGGTTTTTGCGACTGTTGGGTACGAACAGAAAAAGCAACTACTCATCGATCAGTACCAGATACCGGCAGAGAACATTTTCTATAGCAGAAACACCACATTTGCCAGCGGTATCATGAGAGTGACAAATGGCTACGGTGTCGATGTCGTTCTAAACTCGCTAGTGGGTGAGGGATTGCGTGCATCATGGGAGTGTATAGCTCCCCATGGACGTTTTATTGAAATTGGTAAGGCGGATATCAACGCGAACTCCTCACTGCCGATGTCAAGCTTCGCCAAGAATGTTAGCTTTGCCGCGGTCGACCTTCGATATATCTTCATCCATAAGCAGGCAATGGCAAAAGCGCTGTTGCACAAGATAATAGAGCTGGTTGAAAATCATCTCATCTATCATCCAAAGCCATTGCATATCTACGAAGTTTGTGATGTGGAGGATGCTTTCCGTTACTTCCAGAGCGGTAAGAACACGGGCCGGATTGTCATACGAGTGGATCCCTCTGTTAAAATTCAGGTATGTGATTAGAATATGAGATGGATTAACAATGACCCATGGTTGACTTGTTCTAGAAACACCTTACGCAACGCAGATCATGGATTTTCGAAGAGAGCGCCTCATATCTTGTTGCTGGAGGACTAGGTGGTATCGGTCGTTCAATACTCAAGTGGATGGCGAGTAAAGGGGCAAAATATCTAATCGTCCCATCAAGATCAGGAGTGGCATCCGAAGCAGCTGTTCAAATTGTGAATGAGCTCTCCCAACAAGGAGTAATTGTTGTGACACCACAGTGTGATGTGTCCTCGCTGGAATCACTTTCGGAATTACTTGAAACATGTGGCAGGACGATGCCCCCGGTCCGAGGATGCATTAATGCGACGATGGTCCTTCAAGTAAGCCTCCGTCTCATTCTTTACAGGTATTTGCGTCCTGACGAATCTTTCTTAGGATACCATTTTCGATAATATGACACACGAGCAATGGGAGAGTACTATCCAGTCCAAGGTACCCTCTTCCTGGAACCTCCACAAACTCCTCCCCGATCTAGACTTTTTTATCCTTCTCTCTTCTGTTTCAGGTGTCATTGGAAACGCAGGCCAGGCAAACTATGCAGCAGGTTGTACGTTTCAAGACTCTCTGGCCCGATATCGAACCTGTCACGGCCAGAGAGCAGTATCGATCGATCTTGGACCCATGAGCTCAGTGGGTGTTGTTGCCGAATCAGATTCCCTTCAGCGGCATTTTGATCGCGCGCACGGTCTCATTCCAGTCCAAGAAGTTGAGTTTCTCTCGATATTGGATATGTATTGCGGTTTATCTCGCGTGGGGATTACCGCTGATGACAGCCGGATAATAATCGGCCTTGCAACACCTGCCGACATCCTTGGTGAAGGTCTCGAAGCTGTGGAATTCATGCAGCGACCGCTGTTTGCCTATTTTAGAGAAGTCCGGGGTATTTCGCATTCCTGCAACTCACCAGATAGTTTTAATGCGGTAGAATTATTTCGGCAACTGCAATCAGCGGAAGAACGAACAGCCGTGGTCGTGATGGCGCTTTCAAAGAAGCTAGCTCGGGCACTGTCGATAAATCCTGAGGATATAGATACAGATCAACCACTTCACGCGTTCGGAGTAGACTCTCTTGTTGCAGTAGAGTTGCGAAACTGGATTGCGAAGGATTTCGCGGCGGATATACCAGTGTTTGATATAACGGGAGGAAGAACAATTGCGGCAATCGGAGAATTGGTGACAAAGACAAGTCAAATCAGATTGGGAATCTAGATAACACATCAATAAACAGTGGTTATCACAGAGACGAGACTTTGTTTGCGAGCGAAAGAAAAACTGTGAAGCATCGATATTATTGAGTAATAGAATAAGAAAGAAGGAGGTGAACAGACTAGTGACTCGCCCCACGGTGACTCGCCCCACGATTTGCCAAACACGTATCACCGTGTGATACCAGCGTGAGGGGTAGTATCAGGTAGCGGGGGTTGCTCGCCCCCTCCTAGATACTTTATGTCTCGCCGATTCCTTTCATAAATCTTCGTCCTCTTCGCCTACAAGACCCCGTTAAACATGTCTCAGTCCATCTCCATTTCCATATAGGACGTCATTAAGGAAATTTAGAGAATCAGTAGCACGATAGGTAAGAGGATCATTCAGAAAATCCCTATCATCCAGATTTGTATCCGGATCTCCATCCGCGTCCCCTACCATATCCCCATCATCAGCATGACTATCATACTCTAGATCGTCTTCATCTTCAACGTCATCATCACTTGTGTTATCTTCATAGTTGTCCGTGCTATCATCTATTGGAAGCGAGCCATCATCACTCTCATTCGTAACCAAAGGCTCAAGCCAATCTGGTAATACGTCCAGGTTGAACGGAGGAAGAGATTTTGGACCATGATTGATAGGCTTTTGATTCCTGATGCATGTGAATGAGGTCTCGATCTCGGCTGGCTTTGCTACGACATAGCGAATAGCTGGCATATCTCGAAAATTGGCGACCAACAGATTTCTCAATTCTGACTTTAGGCCTTCTAAGGCGAAATCAAGTTAGTTCGATTTATTGATAGCTTATTGTGAAAGAGGGAGTTTATCTTACTCTTTTCCAGATCACATAAATAGGCTTTAAAGTCTTTCACCGTCTTCTTCCCATTCTCCGCTTCTTGACATAAAACGGAGTTTGGTTTCTTTCAATGAAAGTCACGCCGTGCTTTAAAGGAAAGGCCACATCGTTCAGTACAATGCATATCTCCTCGCACATATGGCGTGGTACATCTTCTATCGAGCCTGTACCCCAGTTGAGACCTTGGTCATAGGAGTGGGAATTAAACCATAGCTCATGATTTATAGCCAGAGTTTTTACCTTGCGTAATGAACAACGGCCATCATATACGGACAAGGAGCAAGGAAGAAGATTATGAAGACCACGAGTCATGCGGGCTCCAACCAGCCACATGATATCGGCATCTTGATTCATATAATGCTTAGGAAGTGGTGCATGATGATTATCACTTCCCCAGGCACCGTAGTCGCAGAATGTGAAATATGAAAAATTCAGTTGAATACCCTCCTCATGTGCCTCTTTGCACGTTTGCATGATCTCTGTGATCCTGCTGCGAGTTGCCACACGCTCAGAAATAACATGAAGATGAGGACCTTTTAGAGCGTGTCTCCAGACATGGCGTCGAATTTCCAATGGAAATTTCGAAAACAACATAAATGAATCGGGATCGGGATCGTTGCTTGTGATGGGTAGGCTTGGCTTGCGACAAGTGGTTGTTAATTCTTTCTCTGGCTGAGCTGCATCAGCTTCATGAAGTCGCGCGGTCGACGCGAGATTGCTGTCGTCCTCATGTGGTATTGTATTGGCAGACTCTTGGATTCCAGTGCTTTTGTCGTTTGTTCGACCCCGATAAGATAGACGATCCATATTGAACGTTGATAGCCTGAGAATGACTACGTTGCTTTACCATGACTACCTTAGCTACCGGATCCTGGGCTTTCAAGTCTGCGTTATACAGTAGTGATTTATTGAAAATGTGGTGGTTTTCCGAAAGTAGTGTAAAGTGAGCTCAGCCTGGAAATTCAATTCGGTCATCGAACGACGAAGATCACGTGCAAATTCACTATGTGCAATTCACTACTCCCATCTCGAATCTACTGCCATGTTCCAAGAACAAAAAGCGTTTTGGTTATGTGGAGCTATATACTCGTAGAGTCAACTAGATCTGTAAGTAAGGATTTTGTTTCAATGTAGTAGCTTCTACTAATCCAAACCAATTAACCATATTACTACTCAGTAGAGAAGTAAAGATTCAGTCAATTTCTTTCTACTCGAGTAGAATACTTGGCATTATTGGTACTCTCAATACTCTCATAGACAGACCAAAAGGCTCAGCTCATCCAACTACACCAAAGGTGAATCAAAATTGAGGGTATCATTACTTCTTTGAAGATCATCCTCCGGTCTATTTACCATCCATTACTCTTAAGAGAAAGTATTTACCAAAGCCATCCTCTACACGATTTAGCTCCACACAAACATCTTTCGCTTCCTTCCTCTCCATTATCAATTCCATCAACATAGTCAAAAGTAAGCTCCGTCATCGGTCGAATATCCTCAAGGGCGAAGAAAGCCAAGTCATGAAGGTTCTTCTCAGAGTAATCCCCAACACGTGCAAAGATTCTCATATTTGGTTCGCAGGAGTGATTGAAAAATCGGCTAGGTCCCGAGTAGAATTCGCCATCAATGACATATGGATCGCCACGTAAGGTTTCGTTGAGACTGTTTTGGTCGGTGAACTTGTCGAGGTCGAAAAGGTAGAGATCTTTTCTCTTGCTGATGATTGCATTGTCGCGACGTGTGAGAGCTTCTTTAGCAGTGATTATCTCGCCGATATAGCAATCTATGAATGCACCGGCTTTGATTGGAACCTTGCTTCGAACACCTGGGACTTGTTAGACGGTATATTTTTGACGTTAGAGAAACTCAGAAAAGGGAAGTTACGCACCCCAACCACGGCTTTCTGTGCGGAAAACTTGTAACGGTACGCGTCTTCCCCTTGCAACAATACGATTATCGCAATTCTTATCACAAGCACAGGCTTCGTGGCACTCGTAGATAGGCGCACTGCTATCCAAGAGTTGCTCTTTCAAACACCCTTCACTATTGCCACCAGCCTGATATGCGTAAACATTGTGATCTGGAAGGTCGACCTCGGAATCCTGTAGACAATGACATGCAATTCCATGACATCTGTCTTTACATTCGCAGCCAACTCGAAACTCGGGGTCGGCTCGGGAAACTCCTTGCCGGAGAATGGACTTCTCGATGAAGGTGAAATCGTCAGGGAGAGTTGGGTTTTCATCTTTGCAGACGATGGAGATTGGGTAATCATCAGCGTTGGAAAAACTCCGAACTTGGCACCAATGACAGTCCTTGATGGATGGCTAAGATAGATGGATTAGTTGTTGGTTCTCTTGGGATTTATTTCTAGAGGCTTGAGAGATGAATGATATTTAGATAGTAAAAATATGTATAAATCCCTAGCCAAAAGCCAAAAGATGACTAAAGAGAAGTTGCTGTCAGAAGACTTCTTCGACTGTCTAGCCCTAGCCTAAACTACCACTAAAATAATTTGATATTATTTCAGTTTCAAGTAATAGATTCTAGCCTCAGGGTTAATTTAAGAAGCAAGAAACAAGAAACAAGAAAATGGCGAGGTTGTAACATGAGATAACAAATAAACAGCAAAGAGTCCAGTACCTCAAGATCACTAGATCTCAAAGAACTCATCTCCTTATCCCCCTTATTTCCTAACAACTTCCATACAACTTCCTCCTTCCACCCCTCCACCCATTCTCTCTCTCTCACCCCAAATTAAGACAAAACCAAATCAAAACAAACCAAATCAAATCACTCCAAAATCACCCCAAAATCAACAACCCAGCAACAACCCAAAAACAAACAAGATCCAAAAAACCCAAAACTCACCACACCATGACCAAAATAATGTTCCCGATACGTAGGAGCCATAATGGACACCGAACAAGATCTCAGTTCCCAAACAAACTGGTTCCCCCAAATCCCTACTCATCTTCACTGGTTCGCTTCGGATTCCTGCTGTTATGTCGGAGAATGTATGAATTTCATACCGAGTGATAGAGACACACCCTGGATTTGAAATTCTATATCAGATGGGATATTGTGATTTTTGATGGGTTAATTGTAAATTATGTTATGTTTAATTTCTATCTTCAGGATCTTGGTGAGGGAATATGAGTCTATGAGATGAGGTGATTATGAAAGTATGGAATCTTCGATATCTTGGTGTAATATTTAATCCAAATAAATTTGTAGAGAGTAGAGAGGGGTGTGAATATAGCCAGCCCATCTAGCTATAATTAAACAGGAAAACGGTCAACAAAGCAATCCACGGCAGAATATATTTTTATTTTTGCGACTCGACAATCAAATTCAACTTGGGCGGGGAACTTTGATTCATTCCCTCACTATTTACCAACTTCCAATTTTCAATTGACCTCTCAATATTGTGATTTATTTTCGAAGTAATCAAGCAATCAAGAAATCAGAGAAAGTAATTACGATTGAGATTGAGAATACGCTTCTCCTAAATAGAACAAAAAGATGGCGACCGATATCACGAATACCAAGTTAGTGAAGGAATTAGCTGCAAATGGTATGTACATCTTACACTCCTGTCTCCCGCCTCCATTCTCCCGCCTCCATTATCACTCCTCTCCTCCTAATTCTGACCTGTCCTTCCCCACCAGACAAAAAAACCCGCGACGCAGCCCTCCTCTCTCTCCGCACCTATCTCTCCGCATCCCGCTCCCTCACCCCCCTAGACTACCTAAAAATCCACTCCGGCCTCTTCTACTGCATGTGGATGTGCGACCGACCCCTCCCCCAACAATCCCTCGCCACCTCTCTCTCCTCGCTTCTCTCCTCGCTCCCCCCTTCAAACCAAGGTGCTTTCTACATGGGTTTCTGGGAGATTATGCGCAAGGAATGGGAGCGCATCGACGTGTTACGCATGGAGAAGTTTTTGTTGGTCGTGAGACGGTATTTGGGGGCTGGGTTTGAGCTGTATGTTTCATCGTCTACGTCTGCAGGAAAGAAGACCGGAGGAAAGAAAAGCGCAAAAGCGGAGAGTGCCTCAGCAGCAGGTGAAGCGATTTTAGCCGTGCTGTCTGAGATACCCTGTGGGACGGGACCGGATGCGCAGCGCACGCCGAATGGAATGCGATTCCACGTAATCGATATTTGGATGGATGAGCTTGATAAACTGGGGATAATTGATGCAGCGAAGGAGAGCGAGGAGGGAGCGGAGAAGTTGGAGAGGTTGTTGGAGCCGTTGAGGAAATTGGGGAAGGAGAGTTTGAATAAAATCGTGAGGAAGAAGGTCAAGGAGGCGTTGGCGGATGAGAGATTACCTGAGAATGAGAAGGAGGGAAGCGCAGGAGAGGATGGCGAGAAGAGTGGCGAGAAGAGTGATGAGGATATGGATGAGGACGAGAGTGAAAAGGAGGATGGATGGGGTGGGATTGACGATTGAGGATTGAGAGAGTTCGGACCGACGTGAGAAGATATCTTTTGGGTGTTAAAAAGGGTCTCTGAAAGAAATTTCATGGCGTCAAGGTGTTAATTTGAGGACATTTCAATATCCAATGTAAAAGTCACTTCACGTTCAAATTCTCATAGTAGAATAAAAAAGATCTATAAATCCGACAAATATATCAACCAAGTCGCTTATCTTATGCGAACCAAACCATCTTTGGGTATCATTTTAGGTCGACCACAAGTGACACAATTGCCCAAGAAACTAAACGCCTCGCCGGATCCCTTCTCGCCGAGCCCCTATCCCTCCAAAATGCCTGCATACAAGTTATGCCAAATATACCACCATCCCCTTATCATCCGAAAGTTTCAAACCGGACCACGCGCCTCATACATATGCCCAGTTTTCGAAAGGACGGTCCCCAACCCCTTATGAACCTCTGCCTGAAACGGTTGAAAAGGGACTCTCTCCCCATCAATACTGATATACCCATCACCCTTCTGTTTCGGAATAATTCTATATCCAAGTATTTTGCGATACCAGACTAGAGGAATATCGAAGAATTTGCCCGTTTCTACTGCGAACATCATGTTGATGGCCGAGAGACGACTTACGTCGCCGTTGATGCATACGAGGTCCATGTAACCGTCGTTTGGTAGGGCGGCGGAGAAAAAATTGGCGTCTGAGGCCATATATGCCATCTGCTGCTAGTTAGGGGGTGATGTGTGGAAATATGGGGTGCATTGGACTTACGTTTCCGCAGTAGAAATTTCCTAGTTTGTCGTAGGGAACCATTTCCCAACCTTCCGGCAATTTGTCATTCACAGTGCCATACCTCAACGGAGGCAAGCCATCATCCATCCCACTACTAGCAGAAGCATCATCGTCTAAAAGATATTTGTACCCCCTCCTCTCGCTTGCCGGTTCGTGATTGCTCATTTCCTTTCTATAATGTTCTCTTATGTTGGGTTTATCTTCTATCGCAACCTTCACGGCAATATCACAAGGGTAAATTGCCTGTCCAATAAGTCTCTCCAGAAATCCATAGGTAAATCGTGCCGAACCCATCCATCTCATGTGTTCCGTAGCCAAATCCGCCTCTGCCACAATTCCCACGGACTGCGATAGGAAACTAATCGTTCGTGTCTCTCCCTGCGTAATCGATATCAGATCCAGAGGCGTAGGAATCCCCTTGATGATGGCCAAAGTAGCCAAACTTGCACTATCTGTCCCGCTCAAATTGCAACTCATAGCATTCCCACTCCCGCATGGTACATGTGTAACCGCAATTTTCGAGAGAGCTCTCTTCGCATCATGTCTCTTTCCAAGGCCATTAAACACTTCATGCGCCAATCCATCTCCCGAACAGCAAACCACCATATCATAAGCCTCAACGTCCATATCCTCAACTATTGTAACCGCATCCCCCTGAAACTTCGTCTGCACCATGTCTATACTACAGCGTGCTGCCTTCAGAAGTGGTTCCACATCTCGGTCATAGTATTTCTGCGCTTTTCCTTTGCCACTGTGAGGATTCACCAGAACTTTTGCTCGCTTTTCTTGTTGCGATTCACCGTACGATCGATCCAGTAATTTCGCTATCCATCTCCCGACTTCATCTATAGAATGTGATTCTATCGCATATTTCAGCTCTGTAGGTTGCACCCTCGTTTTCGATGTCGGCGAAGCATATCGTATGGCAATTTCATTCGTATCTAATATCTCGGCCCAGAGGACATTGTAGAAAGGGATGGGTCTCGTATTCGCAGAACCTATATGGGGTATCAGCTTGAATTAGGTCGGATGCGATGAGTCGAACTTACTCGAACCAAAAGGCCAGAGTCCACAACAAGTTGCGCCCTCAGTTTCAAAAGCCTCATCTAACGTTCCATCAGTACAGTCACTCTTGGACTCTTACAACTCCCACTCGTAAACTCACCCAGCACAATCAAAGAGTCCGTTCCCAAGGTCAAGGAAGCATTGGCATTTCTTCCCACAGTCAACGTCCCATCCGTCACAAAAGCCTGTTCTCTCACATATTCCTCACTAGTAATTCCTAACGTATCGATAAATGGATGATTCGAATCCATAGAAGAAGCCATGGTCACCTAAGTCGTTTTGATATCCCAAGCATTCTCTCTCTTAGTATAACCCTCGTTTCTCGGTCTACCCTCTCATAATATGTTGCTAGTTGTAAAGAATGACTGAATGTTGTGTTTTTTTTTTGGAAAACACTGTTGTGTACGAATGTAAATATAGATTTTCTCTTTGTATCAAATGAAGGGTGAATGGTTCCAAGGTTTTATTGTATTAGTTCCTGATGTTCCAATAAGGTCTAAATGCAGGGATTATGGAAGTCGAAGATGCCGAGCTTCAAATCGGACTATTCATCGATTGTTCAATCTATTTTCAGATATTATAAGTCCTAATAAACAATGAAACATACCTATATTTTTTTTTATGGATATCATTCTATATGTTATGAATAATTCACATTAATATCTCAATTACAGACAATAGAATAAACCTCAATCATCATCTATACATCCATCCGCTTACTAGGTACATTCATCCAGGCCAATTCAGTCATGAGATACTTTTCCGAGAACCAATATACCCACCTACCAACCTCATAGTTGAATACGAAATTCTATCACCAGTTGTCGTACTCTACTAGACACTCTACCATTATATTATACTCGAGTACAACATATCATTATCACAAGATCCATCTACAATGCCTGCCACTATGACACACATCATTCAGGCAAAAACACTTCGTTACAATTCACCGAATCCTCCCCTTTCCCCCCTCCCTTATGTTACATTGCATTATCACCTTCAATCTACGAGTATTCAACTCTGTGTTCTGCCAGCACAAAGAACAAAGCCGTGGATATTTCATTGGTACAAAGGTTCCCCGATTGAGTAATTGAGTTCTGACAGGGGCGGATTATCGATAACCCCAGTATGATAAAGGCCAATCTCACATGCTAAAGGATATCTTTACTGAGTACTCATATCACGATATCTAGAACATATCTATAAATAGAGTGCTCGAGTAACGAACCTATACCCAGTATAAGCGAGAATGAAACATCAATATTAGGAGATTCAAAAATATTTATTTGCAATGCGTCTCTCATCTAGATAAAAAAACTCCTTTTGGTGCCTTATTTTTTGCGCAAGATTCCCCAATCATCATCATTTCAACGATCAAAAAAAAGGCAGGCTTGCACGTAACACAACACGACTTGAATTAGATTGACGCCTTTAGTTGAGCCTGCTTCAGCCATCCAGCGCCTTCCTTATATCATATCCTCTTCATCTTATTAGCAGCTGTAATTGTCCCAAATGTCCATTAGTCCGGACATGACAAACCGATGATAAAGATTTTCGCTTCATTTTCCGCTTCCTTAAGCAACTTCGACAACTTTATTCAACCCCTTTAATGATCCCAAGCTGAGCGCTAAACCTTGAGACCTGCTTCGAATTCGAACAAATCCAGTCACCGGTCCATCCTCACTCTCTTTTTCAATGCTAAGGTTAGCAAGAGCATCCTCCCCTGATAGTTCGTTAGTGGTTAGGTCAGCCAGTAGTACTGAAATGACACAACTTACCGAAAACACTTCGTGCGTAAAGGTTGGCACTCAGGAATTGACAGTCGCCCTTCAATGAAGCCTCTGGAGTTAAGCAGTTCATATTTGTACAAGCCATCAGTTGGTCCAAGAACTCTCGCAACGATTTGGCCTTAGAGTTGATGTTGACTTTATTCTCCCACTCAAATTCTGTCCACATTGTACGGAATTGTGTTTCTGTGCATACGGCTGGTTGAATGTAATCCATGATATCGACATGCACATCATTTAAGATAACCACATTGTTCTCGGTCGAGCTTGCGCCATCATAGACAACATTTCCGAAAATAACTCCAGTGTCCGTCGAGGAAACCTTGATGGTAGCTTGTACATTTTGGAAATCATGTGGGGCAAGATTTTGAGTAGTAGGTTTTTCTACAACCTTGAGATCGCCTAGCGTTGCGAATTCGACCGACAAGTTCTGGAGAGTCTCTGTTGTCTGGTTTACTAGCAGAACATCCAGAACGATATCGAATTGATGTACTGTAACGTATGCCTCAGCGTAGACTGGATCGGAGAAACCAGTGAGTTGCACGACTCGGCTAAGTTTTGATGAAAGATCTTCAGATGAAGAATCTCCCCCGGTTGCCTTTTCAAGGTCAAGCTCGATCTCATCAGCGCCATCAATTGTGTTTTTCTTTGCAAGCTGTCTAATGGAGACGACATCATCAACTTGAACAGCTGATTTGGCTTTCTCCACGGCTTCCTTAGCTGCTCTCTTCTTCTCTTCTACTTGAACCATATCTCGGAATGCTTTTCTGGTATCTTCTAAGAACACACTTTCCAGTTGCTTGTTCTGAGCAACCTCGGCGAGGGATTTAACACAAGACATTATTCTATCCACCGAATCTTCGTCAATTGGCGCTTTCACGAATTGAGATTGACCAACACGAATGATTGAAATCATGATCAACATGGCCTCTGCACGCAGAGCATTGGTTCGGGCAGTATCCGACGAGATTTCAGAGTGGCGCATGACGAGTTTTGTAAGTGTGGAAGAGAGAACGGAAGCGAGATAATAATCTCCTTCCAGAATAAGTTGACGAAGAGGTGGTTTTTGAGCGGCTTTGACCGCCTCCAACTTGGCCGTAACAGCCGATTGACTTGTGAGGGCGCTCTCAGTCGCATAGGTACCATCAGCAAGAACTCTCCGTGAACCTGTTGGCGCTGCTTTGGAGTTTCCATTGATCTGTTCTGGCTCTTTTGGCTCTTGCCCATCCGATGTATCATCGAGTAGACGTTGTTCAGAAGCCAAAATAGGGATTTCCCCCAAGCTGGCTCTTATACGCCTCCAGGCATCTCTGATATCATTGGGCTCCAAAGAATATTCACCAACTATCCAAAGAGCCCCCCTGTAAACCTTCCCAGCACGAACTTCGCTTAAGGTGGATACCAATCGCTCAACTATGGATGGTCGCAGTTTTGGGAATTTCTCCACTACCTCCTTCACAAAAGAGATAACGTCTACTGCCGATGTGTTGTTGAAGTCAGCGATGAAATCCATCAAGAGGTCGACCACGCTTTCAGCGACTTCGGAGAATTTAATTGCGCATTGATGTATGGAGTGAATCAAGAGTTGTCGATATTCAGCGTTCTTCTCATATTCCTGGTCGACAGTCTTTGATAATTCCTTTTTCAAGAGTAAGACGACATCCTCGACATTTTTGCTGGAAACCATCTCCAAAGCTAGATCCAAGGCCTTCTTCCGTACATCAATATCCGGGCTTGATAAGACGCGCAGAATCTCCATTGTCAAATCGTCCAGAACACCCTCATTCTTCTGTCTTAAAACATCGACTTTGTCGAGAACAATCAGCTTAACATTGTTGTCGGGCTCCTTGATACTAAGCTCAATAAACTTTGACGCTGCTGCCTTCACCGCTACCGGATTTTTGGTCAAGGCTGTGAGAGACGAAGCAGCTTCGTAAACGACAGTAGAAGCTCCGGCTTCTAAAAGATCAAATATGAGTCGTAAATATCGTGCCTACACATGTTAGCCATGCCTAGTGAAGTAATCGCGTAAAATACCTTATTTTGTGAATTTTGAACTGCATCCTTTCTGATAAACTCCAGCTCCACAAGTTGTAGCAGCTCATCCGCATTTGGAATGCCATCAAAGACGCTGCTGAGGTATGCCAAAGCCTTTTCATGACTGATGCTAACTAATGCAGCAAACGCATTACGCTTGCAAGTGTGATCACTCTCCGTCTCCAAAAACGCGGCTATCAATTCAGGGGCATCTGGAATCAAACTCTCGGAGTGTTGGAAGATAGAAGCTACGGCGAAGACTGCATTTTTGCGGACATATGCATGACGATGCTCGAGGCATGCTTTGGTTGGAGCGAGACAAGGTTCGAGAAGTTCTGATTCGCGCAGCTTACACAAAAATCGCAATGTGTTGCCTCTAATGTATTCGTTGGGATGTTGGAGATCGTTTCTAATACCATTACTATGGAAGATGTCAACACAACATGAAAGGTGTTCATCTCTCAGGAATATCTTACCAAACTAAAATCATCTCCTGCTTGAGCTTCCCACTGGCATCCAACTTTGGGCAGATCTCGTAGTAAAAGTAGAGAAGCTTCTTCAATGGTTTGTATTTCGAAGGCATAATAAATCGAATGATATGCATAAGTAATTGGGGCATTGGATCTCCATTTAACATGACTGTGAGAATGCGCTTCATGGTCTCGACTTTATTCTCATCTGTCCCTTTCTCCAACTGCGTCCTCAAATCCGTCATTGAGGGTACGTCCGCTGCATTGTCCTGGTGTACCAAGCTGTACGACTGTTCTAAGAAGGTCGCCATGTTGGCTGTATTTGTGACTGCAGAGCAGGAGGATATTTCGTTCGTTCGTGGCTGGGTATTAAGGGGGGTGGTTTCCTGAATTCGAGGTAGCTTGTTCCTTTAAGATTGTGGCAGATTGAAGGGTGGAGAGTTTTCGAGAGAAAGCGATTGGCCGTGGAATTATTCGAAATTTAAAGAAATGCGTTGGAAGTTACGCATCAAAGATACATGTTCTGAGGAATATTATCACAACGGTGTCCAGCTCTCTGGGTGCTGTGTTCAGAAGACTTAGCGTGGCCTGTTTCAGCCTTATATTATCAGGCAATAAAAAGGATCCCCGCGCCAGATTCTAGCCTCTAGCCTTAAGATACTAACTAAATGACCGAATCTCTTACATACAGCCATCTTCCTCATCAATCAACAACAGACAAATCTCAAAATTCTCGCCATTATGTCCACTCTCAACGAACCCTTTTATATTCGTTACTAGTAAGTCGAAATCAATAAATGGGTATGAAAATGCTAATTCAAATCTAAAGTTCCGGTCATCAGGGTCGACACGGACATGAATTTCTTGGTGAGCATCTGGAGGTTATGTACAGTTTGCGCCAAAATTAACAATGGATTCAGAATTCGACTTTCGAGTACTAGGGGATGGAAGAAGTGCATCCGCACGTTATGCCAACAATTCCAATTATCGAAACGATTCCCTGATTCGCAAAGAAAGTATGTAGCACGCGGTGTTCTACGAGTCTACCTCCCGCTGACTTTCTGGTTCACAGTGTGTGTGAGCTCCTTGATGGTTGAGGAAATTAAGAGGATCATTAAGACCAGTGAAATTTTGAAGTATGCTTCTCAACCTTAAATAGCGTGGTACGCCCCGCTCATAATTGAATAGGGAAAATCATAGCAAATGGCCCCAGAAGAATAAAGACGGACGTCAGGAACTGGAAATCAAAATAGGCAGCGAGTTTATGCAATTTGAGGTAAGGATATAATCCCTCTCTTATTGTAGGTCACTCCACTAACAAAGAGCAGACTGCCAAGATTGGATCTCTCGTTGATGTTACAGAGTCTCAAGATCCTGAAGGCCTTCGGGTGTTCTACTATCTTGTACAGGATCTGAAAGCATTGGTGTTTTCATTGATAGCACTGCATTTCAAGATCAAGCCTATTTGAGGGTTCAATTTCGAGATATGTACAGGAGTTAGGCGTTTATCTGCAAGACAAATGGATACCAATAGAGTAGGAAACCTAATGATACCTAAATCGAGGATTCATTGATCATGCTTATTTGGGATTTCTGTTGTGTGTGATGAGTGATTGGATATCGATATACGAATCCTTCTGTTTCGTCGTATTTTGGTAAGAAGGTAACTATCGACTATCAAGTTTGCTTGAACCGGAGTTATAAAACTCAACATTTTATACTGAGTATGATGTTATGAGGATACCTGACATAAGTGCATGCAGGAAACTTTTCACCGAACTCCTTACCCGACAGACGATTCAACCAGCGCATCACCCTCCTTAAAGGAATAGAGCATACCCCGCAAGATTTCACTACTCTTCCATCGACCATGAAGCTCGTCAGCACCTGGTCGAATCATAGTATAGATCTCTGGATTCATTTACTTTTGAAAAGTGGTACTCCAGATGTGTTGTTGCCGAATCACTAACGGTAACATTGACTATTCGCTTCTTTGGGTTGTACATAATCATGGATACACATGAATCATTTCGTTATTGGAGAATACCATATTATCGCCGATTCAGAAAAGACTACTTCATTGATGATATCCGGGCTTTTGAACAGTTCAATTAGTCAAATTCCTTCTATGCCATTTTCATCCCGTATTTGATATCAAAATTGATCTTTTTGATTCACGTGCGGGGAAAAGAGTATCCCTAAGCTAAACCCAATCGGTGATAGTCTAAGACATGTTAGCGTAATACACCAATGGCAAGGCTATGCTTCGAACAGCTACACTGAACATTGCAGTGCTTTATCATATCTTCATATCTTGATATCCTCTTGTCCACTCGACAATCTCAAGTCATCCCTTCAATTTTAAAAAAACGTCGGTCATGTTCATCTAATCTTTAGCTCTTTTCTATTTCATGCTTCAACTGTATCATTAGTTTCTTCTTCACGAGCCTGGCTGGTGCCGGCGCGACCAAATGCCCACCCCTTCTTCAACTTCAAATAACGAGTCTAACGTTGGATCCACGGTATTGCACACGACGTGCCCGCCTGAAGATGACAGGTCTAGTTGGAGAGTATCAGAGATGGAAGGTACACTTGAGTCACCGATCCTAGATTCAGAAATCATCCAGCAACCTACACCTCCGCCTCTGTCTCATGATTCGCGAAGAGCCGATACGACGGAGACATTTCAAACCGACCTGCGAAATATCAAAAGAATGGATATCGATGAAGATACAAATGGACCCGATATGCTATCTCCTATGAGTGCGACGGCAGATAAGCAGGAGGATGCTGAAATGCGTACCGTCACCAATCCTCGGATTCCTTCACCATCCTTGGGTTATGATTTCTCAAACGTCAGAGTTAGTATAACCACATCGAGCGCTCATATCACAAGGCAGACTAACAAGTTATAGTTATTACCTTCTTCCCCTTCCTCCAGATTACGACCTGGTAGCAAATTTCATGGCACACAACAATCAGAGCGGCAGGTCTATGATGTACAGGTTGAGATCAAGCATGTGGATATGCGAGAGTCATTTCTGTGCGGGTATCTGCGCATTCAAGGTATGGAGGTCGGGATACTCTATAGAAAGCTGGAGTCTTCATACTAAGCAAGTTTTCGATGATTAGGATTGACCGAAGACCACCCTACACTTACAACCTACTTTGAAGGAGAAATTATTGGATCGAAATATTCATTCTTTACTCAACACGAAGATTGGGGGTCGAGTGATAAAGTCGATTTACAACATTGGGCCAAATTCCACGCTTTTCGCCCTTTTCAGAAATCCGCGAGGAAAGGAAACTGCCATATACCAAACTTGGGCCAACGAGATAATATTTTCATGAGATGGAAGGAACACTTTTTAGTTCCCGACCATCGTGTGAGAACAATTAGTGGTGCAAGTTTCGAGGGCTTTTATTATATCTGCTTCAATCAAATCAAGGGAACAGTCAGTGGAATATATTTCCACTCCAAGAGTGAGAAGTAAGTAGATTGTGGTTTTCCAAAGGGACATTTGCTAACACATTTAATAGATATCAACAGCTAGAGTTGAAACATGTCGAAGACATGGGATGCTTTCAGGCAATGGAATTTAGATGAATCACAAAGGACGAAGATTTGGCCAATTTCACGAACTCTTCACGCCCTCATCACGAAAAAAGAGCAGTCATACGGAGTCACGGTGTTAAGGAATACGGGACATATGGATACAAGGATAAGTGCATGCAAGTGGAATGATATTATGAGGACATTTGTCTGTACAGGGTGGAAAATGACCATGACTGTCGCAGCAAGCACCAGAATTTACGAGTACTATGGGAAATGGTTATAGCAAAATAACAAATCTGCAGGAAGTGATAACTCCCAACATCACAAATCATGTTCATGTTCATGTTATTTGTGAATTCCAATAACAATTCCGATATCAGTCTTGGGGGGCTCGAGTTCCCGAAACTCCACTTCTTGCACTCTTATCATGATCATGCACTGGCATGTTTCCAGCATGATGATTCCTTAAGTCCGCCATGGCATAGCTCTATCGGGGAAAAAGATGATCGGAAACACAATGAGATCTTAAGTGAATGGTCTACTCGTATACTATTGAATAATATGATTCGTTATAGCTGGACCTGTTCTTAGTTACTCGAGTTTACTCGTAGACAATACCTACTAGGTGCACGGCATGTATATATGCCTCAGGTCATCATCTGATAACTGTCGACAATTTGTTATCGATGAATATTGATATTGTTAAGCATTCTGAGGTTTCCTCGTCTCGTAGAGACTCTGACCGCAAATTACTAGTATAGTCCGTGCATAGGCCAAACTATACCGAATGCGTTATCTTCAGAGCTCCGGAGGTGGTTCTTCCGACCCGAATCTGAAGATAACGCATCCGGTTAGATCAGAAATGGGGTGGGCGGGCTTCCTCATCAAAATATTCAAAACCTCCAAATCAACAACTTCAATAGCATGGTATTTCGCTTAGGCCTGAAATCTATAAAAGCACCCATGTGCAGCCACTATCCCCACCTCTCACCGCCTTCGCACGGGCCATACTAGTAATTTGCGGTCAGAGTCTCTACGAGACGAGGAAACCTCAGAATGATTGTTGAGGTTAAAGCGTTTATCGCGATAACACAACATTTCCTGGGGGATCTTCAACAACCCTCTATGAGAATGTTTACAACAAATGAATATCCTGCAATTTTATAGCCGTCTGAATAGTAATATTTCTTTCAAGATCTCTCTTCAATCAAGCCAACCCTTCTCTCACATATACCTATAACCTTCACAACCTTTCACCCATCGATATATCTATTCATCACGCACCCCATCTCCACCCACCCATCTCAGCCCATCTCAACCTCAGAAACTCAGAAACCCAAGAAACTCTCCAAAATGGATTTCGCACCCTACCAAGCCTCTCCAGAAGAAACTCGCGCTCTCTCCCCTCCACCCCGCACCTCCACCTCTTCACCACGCCAGAGCATCTCACCCATTCGTCGATCCTTTAGTCCCGGCGTCCGCAGTCCAGCGTTCCTACAGAGTACTAGTAATGCAGCTGCGAAGAATGGGAATTTTGCTCCGAATCAGGTGACGAATCCGTGGGCGCAGAGGGATGCTTATTTTCCGGTGGTGAGTAATCGGGATGGGTATCAGGATGTGGAGAGTGGAGGGGGTGGAGAGGGGAGGACGGGTGAAAGTGGGGGTGCGGGTGCGGGTGTGGGCGTGAATGTGGGGTATGGAGCGGGAAATAGAGATGGCTTGCATGAGTTTGAGACGAGTCTTCCGCTGAGATTGGATTATGAGGCTTGTTTGGCTTATTTGCTGTTACCGCCAGCTGGAGGTGTACTTCTTTTGGTTTTGGAGAGGAAGAGTGATTATGTGAGGTTAGTTATGAAAGGAGAAGGAGACTATTTGAGGAGAGGTTACACGCGAGAACGTAAAGTGGAGGATTGTATGAGACAATGCTGATAAATGGTGATAGGTTTCACGCGTGGCAGTCTACATTACTATTTACAGCTATGCTTGTGGTACATTTGATGTTTTCCTGGAGTAAGTTCCCTACTATACTACATGCATGTCTGAAAGTATTTCGCTCTCTTCATAAATGAGTGGAAGTGCTATAGTTTGGCAATTTGGTATTGATTGGTGTTTAGGTACATTCATGTCATGGTTATTACTCCTAGGAGATATCGGTTTGATAGTGTGGCTAACCAGGAGAGCATATCTCGATGGTAAGTTCCCTACTGTTTCCTTCATCTTTGCATATCCATTTCCATTCCCATCACCATCTCTATATATACCCTTCTACCCTTCTATCCTTCAAGGAAACACCACAATCACAATCCCTAACCCTACCAAACAGCGGATACCCTAGACCGATGCGAAGTTCCCATATTTGGAAAACTGGCTAGTAGAATACTAGACGATGAGTGAAGACGATGAGTGAAGATGATAATAGTCGTCACCGTGGAGCGAGCACGAAGTTACGAACGATAGATACCATTTTTTATTCTGGGGGCGAATTCTGCTTCATACAATATTTTCGCGTTATTAGCACGAGATACCCCTCCCTTGCCCTTGTTGTAAGGTACAACTCTATTTCTTTGTATTTCTGTTTCTGTTTCGGATTCTGTTTCTGTACCATCTTCTTCTGAGGTCAGGTTATACAAGATAGTGGAGGATAGATGGAGAAATATAAGGATATATACTAGGTATCCTTACGTACTTAATATTTAATTCATTCCTTAGATTGATAAAAATAATCAGATTGTTGACACGGTTTTATGTGTTTTATATATTGTTGTTTTTTCGGTATATTGAGTACGAATGTATCAATTGCTTATTTTCTAAACCATAACAAACACAATATTGGAATATATCCTCGTTCATCTTTTTCCGCGTTTCTATTCCTCATTTAAAATTCTACTTTTCATTGCTCTATCACTTCTCAGTATAGCAAATTATCTTTCTTCCAATCTAAATCTACATACCGGTATATTTTAAGTCTTGTTTATTCTTACTAGAGATTTTATAGATATTATCTGCTCCTTATTCGTTCTTAAATCCTCTTTATATTCCTGATCATAATCGCATCAATTAAGGAGAAGAGTATATATATACCCCTCTTCTTTCATAGTCATAGTTTCACTCTTAATACTCTCTGCTCTCTCTGCTCTCTCTGCTCTCTCTGCTCTCTCTGTATGATATACACACAATTATACTACCTCATCTATACCCAATTGTGCAGGCTCCGTTCATATACCGGTACCTATAGAAAAGTGATGTGGAAGTAATGTGGAAGTTTTGATGATGGGGGGAATGGGAATGGGAACGGGAATGGGAGCGCAAGCCGAAGCTGACAGGACATCGGGCACTCGACACTGCAACCCAAAGCCTAAGCTTTATGTGGATTACAGAGTTGAATGAGTCACCTGCGCCTGTGATATTTAGAGGGGCGTCACAAATCAAGTGATACCGGAATTATGAGGATTGAGGGAAAATGGAAGGAGGGATGGGAGGAGAAATCAATATTGAAGTGGGTGGGATTGTGAGTGAGGATTGTTTCTGAGGATTGTGTGCTGATTAGTGGGTGGGTGGCAGCTTAGAAGCTTAGGAGCCTGGAGTGATGTACAGCAATTATGGAGGAAGAAGATGAGAAGAAGGAATGCGGAGGGATCATTATTTTCGAGAGAAAGGAGAGAGATGCGGAGTCATGGGGTTTGGTGCATGGGTGGAAGGTATGTTCTTTCTCTCTTTTACTTTTGGTCTGGGAGGTTGGGAGGTTGGGAGCGAAGAATCGGGGGGTATCTTCTTGGGGAATATGAATAGGGGGATCTGAGGGCTTGAACTGGACTGTGATTTGAATATAAGAGTAAGAGATTCTTGGTAGTTAGATTTGCTTGGTGTACTCGATTTGTTTGATATACAGTATTATATTCAAGTGGAATAAACATTCAATTCATTAGAAACATTTAATAACTAGATATATATATCCCAACATTCGCAGCTATCCCAACATCAAAAACTCTTACATCCATTCATTCCACTATCCGATGAGTCCAAACTACTCATACGCAACACCATACCCAATGGAAGCAGAAATAAATACCTACGCATCAGCACCAACACCAAAACGACGGCGAGGAAACCCTATTTTAAAGTTCCCCGGAAAATACAAAATCATCAGTACCCAAGGCCTCTCTCACACTTTCCCCCATCACTGGCATTTAAATCCCCACCCTACCCTTTACATCAAATCTCTTGGTATCCCTCAAAGTTCCTAATCTAGTATTTGATCTGCTGAATATTCTCTAGTCTCGCTTTATAGACTATAGACTATAGTCTCTGCTCTATCTCTTCATCGTTAAAAGCATACATCGCTTCCCTCATCTCACTGGTATCAACATATCCATATCCGTATCCATACCTAGGTATCCATATTCATATCCATATCCGTGTATTTCTATTTTCTATTTCCCAAACGAAGTTGATAAGTTTAAAAGAAACCACTCACAGAGACATGATAATAGCAACCCAAACCAAACAAAACGAACCCGAAAAGTTAATAAAAGGAAATGAATTTACAGGTATACAAACCAGAAAAAATATCTATGCTCGAGTATAGTAAATCTACAGACCCAAAACCCAGGCTACACTTCCCCCAAACGTGACGTAAAACAAGAACCTAAGAAATAGCGAAAGCGATAATACTATCACCACCAACAATAACAATATAACTAATCCCAACATCCTCTCCTCTACTCTAGTAAGAACCTCCCCTCCCTCCCAGAAAGACAAATCGATAGGCTACTAAATCGAATCAAATCAAATCAAATCAAATCAAAAAGAAAAGAAATGCAATATAATCACTGAATATAATAGATGATAAGAGACAAGACAAAACCAGCCCAGTCCAGCCTCAGAGCAAACATTTCAATTCAGACATTAGTCACTAGTCACTAGTCACTAGTAACTAGTAAATACGACTTGAAGTACAAATCCAACTATAACTTCACTGGAACTAGCGCTAGCACTAGCACTAGCACTCAACTCAACTCCACTCAACTCCTCTCAAGCACCGATGAGATTTTTCACAGGTACTTGTATTTGTATATGTACACTGGCAGTAGGATGTAGCACATTTCACCTCAGCTACATTTATATAATCGGAAGTACGCATACTCCAATACTAACTAGCAATATATATCATATCGCCCCTTGTTTCCCATTCACTCTTTGGTCTATACTCGTAATTCATGTTGTATAGTAAGCATAAGCAATATCTACTTGTACTGCTTCGATCTCAAAGTCTCAAAGTCTTAAATAAATAAATACATACATACTCCTGACGTCTCGAATACTTGCATTTGAAACATATATTTTCGAAATACTTACTCATACTCATACCCATTGTAGAAAAGACCATTTGAGTATATCAACCTTTAAACTCTAAATGAATACTTTGAAATACTTATATTGAAATTGTACATTGGACAATTATATCATCACATTGATGATTCTTATTCTTTTTTGAGTAGGACCACTTGGTCAAATACACCATAACGCCACATGTGTTTCGTGATATCTTCATACTTCAATAAATCTATTTTGAATATTTTAAAGGCTGTCTTGTGCCATTTTAGCAATGCACTTCAAAGCCAGCCATGGTCTCAAATCCTAAGCGACCCACATGCATAATCATCCCTTATTATGCTTCCACACAAGCTACAACCAAAAACAAAGATTTTCAAACAGCCAGCCAACCGCCTTGAAGAATCAATCAGGACCCGTTATTTATTCCTGAACTCCTATTTTGAGAGAAAAAAAAGTACATCCTCCAAATCAGTCGCGTGATATTCACGAGCTCAATAGATCTTTAACACTCATTCCTCTGACCCCACTAGCGTTACTATTCGTACCTCTACGATCCGTATTAAGCATCAGGAGCGCCGCGCTAGCTTCCTCATCTAAATCTCTTTGAGGTATAAGCGCAGGACTAGTGAGCGCCGAGCCTACAGAAGCAATACTTCGAGCATAATCCGAGTAGACTGAGGGACCTAGAGCTGGAGATGTGGTGGATGAGGTACTGATACTGTAATGACGATGATTGGTTGACACCGACGAGTATGAATCTTGTCTATGCCGGAAATCTTGTGGGAGCATGGCTGGAGAAGTTTGTTGAGATGGGGGAATGGGTGTGGCGTAATTGATAGATGTATGTTCTGAGCCGGTCATTTCTATATCCTCTTCTGATTCCCGTGTGGAATATTGTCGTGATGGAGCATAGCTGCCACGATGTGCAGTTGACGGCAATGTAAATTCTCCAGTGGTTGTAGGGAAATTGCCGCGAGAATTCTCGGCTTTTAATTTGGAAACACAGTCTTCAAGATATCGAACATAATCAATGGATGCCTATCTTACATTAGCATGTGAATCCCAATTAGACAAATAGTCCGCAACTCACCTGTAGAATGGCTAACTTGTGCATTTCTCCTGTGCAGGCTGGTATCATGTCCTTCAAAACACCAAATTCCTCATTCATCTTCGACCTTCTGCGACGCTCAATTAAGCTATGTGCAGTTTTCCTTGCAGTCTTTCGTCCAGCGACACTTGTTGTGGAGGGTTGCTTTTTCTTGGGCGTATTCGGAGTAGGTTTCCCACCAATCTTCGTGTTTTCTGCCGGTGTGTTCATTGTTTCATCGGCTTGACCTCGAGGTTTCATTTGTATGATCTTTCGGGAACGAGTAGGCGGAGGTGGTAGCGAGAAGGAATCTTTGGCAGCAGTTTGTGTAGCAGGTCTTCGACGAAGCTTAACGGCTTCACTGGCAGGAATTGCTGGGGAAGTCGGAGAAGTAGGTTGATATGAGGAGGCAGATGATGCTTTCGTGGAGGAGCTGGTTGGTCGAGATTCCATTCCTGCTACAGCAGGCGGAGGAAGTTCAAATGACATCTGTAGTGAAGAATAGCTTGAACCATCTTTTCCCTTGATTTCCGTTGAAGGAGCCGGGGTTGGATATCTTGCGCGAGGCATTATAAAATGCGGTATTTAGGTAACTTGACTTGGTCTTGTGCTCAATGGAGAAGGTCCTACCACGCACGTATTACGACAATAGTAACCTCCGAGACTTGAATTGAGGTAGAAGATTTCAAGATATGTATGAGAAATGATTGAAATATAGCAGAATGAAACCTATAATAAGGAGGGGTTTTGGTGAATGAGTTGAACGGGGGTCCAATACTAAAATCTGAGGGAATATAAGATAATTCTCACTCAGCCTTGGAGAACAGAAGAAAAATAAGAAGAGACGAGAGCAATGGATGAAGGAGAGGGGGGTTAAAGATATCTGTTCTTGCTGTGACCTACCTACGGACGGAGTACATTGTCTTGTAGTGATTTATCAAACCAAACCAGACCGGTTCTTCGATAGCTCTAGCTCTAGTAATGATATCGGAAACGATCTCATATCTTTTGCGCAACTCATGGAAGATCAATTGAGAATTCAGCACCCCTCGAGGACGATATGAATGTCGCGTGCTTCATTTGGTTGGTTATGAGGCTTTTATTGGTGTGATCAGGTTATACTGACCACTGATATTACGAGTTGACGAAACGTGGGATGAGTGAAAGGCTGAGAGGGTTGAGGTTTAAGTAAATTGGCACGTGCTTAATGGGTTTGTGCGTATGGAGTAGGTAAAGCTAGCTCACCGGGAGTTAAAAATCTAATTATCCACACGGTCGTGCCATCTTCATTCAAAGCAAATTGAATAAGATAGATTTGTAATGTCTGTGTAAGGTAGTGTAGCTCACATCATTCAATTTGCGCAGAAATCTTGGAGTGGCAGGCATCACCCGACGGATTCGGAACTTTGGACAATTACCAAAATTAGCGGGTAATAAGTCCGAGTCTCGGGTAAGTATCCGGCATTCTAGAATGAAGTAAGACAGCTTCTAATGCTGTTTCCAAATAATCAAGAAACCCAATTTATATACATTTTGAGAACTAATGATAGAAGCATAATAAGTCTGCTATCGGTATTCAGACATCACTGCCGTAACGGTATATTCAAATTGTATTCGCCGGTAATACCCTTTCATTCTCCCTCAACAACGCTTTTGTAATCTGTTCCATTCATGAGCTCATCAATATACGAATTTTTGCCAATTTCATGGTTGCAGAGGCACCATTGATGAGATCTGGGGATTCACAGAACCCACTGGTAAACGAGCAAGGCCTAGAACTCGTAAATCCCCAAGCACAGTACATACAAACTATCAGTCTTGCCCATCTCGATACCGGTGAACTCTCAAGTAGGTTATAAGATACTGTTACTTTCATCTCAGCAACATAAGACGAAAACTGTTCGCCATCCAAGCTCATCTTACATGAGGAAAACAAAGTACACCTCAGGAATTGGAATTGCGTTTCGCATTGTGTCCAATCTTCACCATTTTTTATTCAAATCATGGGTTTGGTCTCGATGTATAAAGTAGGATACTTCTGCGATCATTTAGCAGGGTTGGAGGAAGTGTATTTGGATACCACATTTGCTGTATTTCCTTGCAATCATTCTATTAGATCTGATCTGATCTGGATATTCTATCTGTGCCCATCTATTTCTATTTCGACCCATCTTCATCTGAGTCTTATGGTATTTGCAGCTTAACCCACCCTCTCATAAATCCGAGATAACAAAACTCAATCAATCTCAACACAACTCTCAAATGTCTTAACTCCCCATCTGAACCCTTGTTCCCATTCCCAAAGGAAGTCACCTCGCTCGCCACACTCTATCATTCGCTTCTTGATCCAAATTTCCAAACATCCTAATTTATCCGCCCCTCCCCTTTCTCCCCTCGCGCCAAAAAATGCAGAAGCATCTAACCAGCCAACATCCCACCCCTTCTCAAACAAATCATGCTGAAATTCCCTCCCAGGGCTCGCCTTATTCCAATAATCCACATGGTCCCTCACCATCTTCTCCTTATATCCCATTTTTTGCTCTTCCGCCGTCCTCAACTTCTCTCTAACCTCCGCTACAGACCAACCCATATAAGCCGGAGCCACAATATTCCCCTTTTTAACCTGTTCCACAAACCCCCATTCTCCTCCATCCATCCACTCCATCTTCCACGTCCAGAAATAACTTCCTGCACTACACCCATCGGTCCATTTCTTACACTGCGATCTTCCGAATTCTCGAACTAGCCCTTCTTTCATATCAGGCCCGGTCTTTGCCCAGCTTTTTCCATCGAGCACGCAACTATATTCACCAATAATAATTTGCGTTTCTCCGCCAGATGATATGTGGGTGGCACTTGGACTACAATCAGGTAGTTCGCCTAGTTCGTTGGGTACTTGACGAATGAGTTCAGGTGCGCCTTTAGAACGGTGCTTATCGGCAAAGGTATAATATTTGTGTGTATCGATGACGATGGGATTACTGGGGATCTTTCCGGATCTCCAGTTTCGCTCTTTAGTCCATTTCAGAGCAGACGATAGATCCCATGCGTCACTTATGTAAATGGGCATTTCGGAGTCGATTTCGGATATCGATTGGATGATGGAGGTGTAGAAGTCATACATTCCTTTCTTTCCAGCATCCCAGCATGCTTCGTTTATGAGTTGAATGCCGATTACGCCATCCAGTTCCTTGCATTCTTTCGCGATGAACAAAAGAACTTTTTTGGCAAGTTCGAGATTCTTTTTAGAGCCCCAAAGTTCGGCTTTTCCGGTGTTGGACCCGGAATGCATATCTGTGTTTGCACCACCAGGCAGAGCGTGGAGGTCGATGAGAACTCCAACACCCAAGGCACGAGCTCGAGTTATAAATTGCTTTACAATTGCCCATGAGTTTTGGTACACGTCTTTGGCACCTTCAAAGGGTGTCCCGATACAAAAATCGGGACCGAGTGTGAAATATCCAATCGGCAACCGGATACTTGTTCCTTTTGCCGATTTAGCCAACCATCCGAAGGCCTGATCTGTAACTACGTTCTTCCAATGCCCTTCCCATTTTTGACGGGTAGCTTCCACACCATTGGTCTTCACAGAAGAGGTTACGGCATCGAGCTCGGAAGGTGCACCTCCTACGAATTTAGGGAAAAGCCATGGTTCAAGGACAAAGATAGAACCAAGGTTGACGCCGAAGTGATGGCGATAGCGGAGGACTTCGAGGGGAGTTGGCGCAGAGATGGTGGAGGGATGGAATAAATGATTGGTATTAGTGGAGTGTGAGGGGTTTGAAGGGTTTTGTGGAGGAGAAGATGAAGAAGGGATATGAGCTCTAGCTTTTTGGATGAGTTTCTTCATTTTGAGTCGAATTTATTTGCTGTAAGGAATAGCTTGTACAACAGGAGGGGATCTAGATCTCATTTATTATCATCCAAGAATGGCTACATCATCGCAAAAAGCAAGTTTTGGTGAGATCCATTATGGGATCGGCATTATGCAGCCTTGAACCTCTGCGGCACAGCGGTAGTTGTCTTGATGGATGGGAGCCAATTATATTGATGATCTAAAACAGGGACGGTGGAGTAGGTGGCTGTGGGCGGTAAGTGGGGCTAGCCGTACTGAGTACAGGGGTTCGCTTGCGTAACACCAAGTATTTGTCTAAGTAACTTTTCCCCTCCATCATTTCGGTGTTTTCAACACAACACCAGATTAGGTCCGATTTCTCACTCTAATATTATTAACGTTATCAGATAAGATAACTATGTCTAAAGCCAAATTATCAAAAGCTAGTGCTTATCTGCCACGTCACATGTCTTAAAGACCTACACCCATTTCCTCGTCCAATTTTTCACCTGAAGACTGCAAACTTGACACTAGTGGGCGAGTTTGTGAATGGCATACTGTAATTCTGGCACTGATAATTTGCATGCTTGGAAGTCTCATCTTAGTTGAGCTGACAGGTTCTCTGCCTTCATTCTTAAACTCAAATCAAGCGTTTTTTCTTTGGATTTTAGAGTTGAGATTACTAGTTATATGCCAAAAGTTCTGAATACGATTTTAGAAGTTTGTCTCAAATGCATTAAAACTGTTTTCAATGTCAAGTGACTTCTCTCTGTATAGAAGATCTTGACTTAAACAGAAAGAAAGCCGGCCACCAACGGTTTGGGAATATTCACATAGAAGCCCAAGGTGTGGTAAATGGTTGTAGAATGACTTGTCGTGATCTTGTGCACCTCAGCTAAAGATATTGTGAACAATCTAATTATCATCATCTCTTGCAGTTCAATTTTCCTTGATTATTCTTGACGAACCAAAGAGCAATTTCAAATGCATCGTACGCAAAATCAACGCATTCAGTGGTGAGCAAGGACATAAGCAGGTGAGGTGATGTAGTGTGTTACATGTCGTCAATTGGCAGTGACATATGGTTGCTCTTTCCTCGTGTAATGGAGGATAAGCAGGGGAGTATCCTATTGGCACAAGAAAGCTAATAAGATCGGGCCGCAGTTTGATAAGATTGTTAAAGTGTTCAAACTCGTCAAGTTTATTGCTGATACTGCAGCTGGACTTGACCCCATTCACGCAGGCTACTGAAGAGCCACGAGCTCAGGTTTGGGAGATATTAGTCTTTTGATTGGGTACCGGAGTTGAGGATATTGTGAAGATCACTAGCGTTGACTACCAGACATGAGATCGTGACGCACAGGAGACTGCTTTCACGGAGGGTAGTAATTAAGCTTTATGTTTTCGAAGAGGCACTCTAAACTTTACTGTACACGTCTTTAAACCATATAGCTTTTAGCAAATGCTCTAAGTTTTCAATCATATTAACAATTAAACCATACTACTCCCCACACATGCATCTAATCGTGATGGTAATTGTGAAATTTCAAATAGCTCCACATTAAACAGTAGTTAAGTATCCATCAACAACTATTCTTATGATATAAACGCGGGTGTAGACAATTGTATTCCAAAAAAACTACTTCTGTTTTAAAAGTTCAAGGGAGGGGTACAAATTCAATCATTTGCCTACAGATACATCTCCGATTCTTTAACTACATCTATTTAGTAGCATGGCTGCCATCAGTGATATTGAAAGAATCGCTCCTGCGTCTGGCACTACGCCATCCAAAATAGAAAAGAATACCTCACACCTCCTGCCAAGTCCCTGACATCTCCACCGTTACCTCCTCGCCGACAACGAGCCTTACATGCTGAGGTATCTTCTCATAATGAACAACTGCATTCATGACGCCAATTAACAGGAGAAATCATACAGCCCAAAATCTCGTCGGTGCCAACAATGTTTCTTTCACTCTCGAAGACATCACATTTAAAATTCGCGACTCGAATTATAGTTACCTGAACTTGAAGCTAACTCGCCAGGCCCATCAGGGGCATGAAGAACCCAAGACAGATGATTCGATTACTAAAATTCGATATCGTAGCAAATCGGAAACTCTTTCAACCATCATATTTCAGCAGCGAGGAAACCATATATTTACTGATACAAATGCGTCAGATTTCGAGGCACCTTTCTGCTAGGTGAGCAAGGCAGAACATGATGATGAAGAGGCAGATTTCTGGAAAACCAGAACCAAAGAGTTTGCGCGGCGATCTAAATTCTCAAGTCCTCACGTGCAAGACAAGTGAGTACACTTCCTCTCAGACAATAATGATTACCGCCATATTTGTAAAGCTAATCATCCCTTTTCAGCATCATAACCAGGAACTTTGTAGCACATCAGTGAAATTAACAACCCACATACGCAAAATAGGCAGTAGCTTCGCAATACACAAGAGAAACTTGAGATAGACGTGGCATTTTCGAATATTCTTCGGTTTTGGCTAGTCGAGAGAACGACATGTCTGTGCCATTAGGAATTTTATTGATTGGGAGACTTATGACAAAAGGAGGTTTGAGACACGGTCGCGACTGTCATCTTAATAATGCTGTAGGTACATCATGAGGGCGAAACATCATATGTGATCTTCGCAATACCCTGAGCTTATATCAGGGTGCAATCCATATTTTAAAGAGGTGAAAAGCAGTTCTACCAAATTGTACTGATAAGTAGATAGAGGCAGACTATTACGATTTCGGTATGTAGCCAGGGCGTAATAATAGCTTTCAATGTGCAGATCCCCAGATAGAATCAAAATGACATAAATTTCGCTCCCAACTTCAATGCATCGTTTCGCAACTCAAAGTCCTTCAAACATATTCCAGCGCCAAGAAACAACTCATTATTTATACGTCAATGTATGAAAAACAAGAAAGTGGCATACTATCGAGCATCTATTAGCCACTACAGCATCTGAATGGTTTGTCGGTTGTGTTCATGAACTCGCGCACACAACATTGTGACCGTATATGCAGATGGCCTTTATATAGTCTTAAGAACTTGCTCCACTACGAGAAAAATCTTGATCACATCTCCATCAGTAAAGTCCCATCAGTAAATCCCCAATACTAAACTTCTTTCATCAACAAATCTTCATCATCAATCAAAATTTATCAAAGATATCCACATAGATTGCCCTCCATCAAGAGACGTCTCCAAAACAAACAAAGCAACCATGAACAACACTCATAACTTCCCATTCAGTGTTAAATCGTCGTCGAAAACCACAGCTGATAGCGCCACACATAACAAAGTCCCCAAAACTCCCCCCAGAACTCCACCAAATTCTCACATGGTATCTCCTCCGGGAGCTCCACGTCCGGCACGAAGAGTCCGTCCCGAGAACATGCGGACAGCCGACCGCTCGCCATCAACTCCGTCTCGTATTCGAATTAGAAGAGACTGCAGATCCATTACTACCCGAACAAATCGCAACAACGTTCGTCGAAGAGACTCGCGTTCCAGGTCGCCTCCCCGACTTCGTTCTCCATTGAATTTGTACCGAATAAGGTCACCATACCGTGGTAATCACCGAGGCAACCGGACCTCCGAAGCAGCATTGGACACTTTATCAATAAATCGTGTCAACAGCAGCGTCACTGCCGTTAATGACCAGTCTCCCGACCGTGATGTCATTGGTGCTCGATATTGGAACATGCTCTCTCTGAGAGATACAGAACGGGACGAGGAAATGACTGGATTCATATCCTCGGATTTATCAAGCAACAACGAAGCGGACAAAAAGAATAAGGAAACTGACGAGAATGAGTTCTGCAAGATATGCAAGGAACACCGTGATGAGGAACTTGAATTCTGGTGAAGGAAGCCTTGAAAGAACGTGGACTCGGTGTAGCAGGCACGAACTATAACTCTGACAACCTTCCCAACTCAAATAACAGATAACAGGATAGGCACAAGGAACAGAACTGCCTTGGTATTCGGGAGATGACTACACCTGGCAGAATGTATTGTGTAATCATACCACAAAAGTCTACTCGTGACATCCGATAGACGAGTAACGATCTTTGAAAGAATGCGTCGACATGGTAGCCCAAAGATATCATATAATTTTGGTTTGGTGGATGGGAGAACATTTCATGTTGCATGCTGCGTTAGATATCTTTGGGTTGGTCAATAATGGTATTGCTGTAGGGATGGGCAAGATACTGAATGGGAGGATGTGAGGTTGTGCTAGTACCTTCCATGCTACCAGTGGGCTTTGGGTATGGGGATTTTGATTGGCGCTGTTAGTGATAGGCGGCAGGGATATATTTCAAGGAATTGAATTGAATTCAACGTTAATTGGATCGTTGGTCCGAATTATTTCAGAGGAATATCATTTGGCGGACAACAAAGTAGCGTAGCCCAGGAGAAGAGAAATTTCACGCAGGACATTCAAATCAGATTTTCACTAAACAAACTCGTTTTCTGCGTCTTTAAGTCTTCAAATTTGTGACATTAGAACTGGACTAGACTCTATAAGAACTCCTCCAAAATTCCGTGGCTGATAAATTCTACAAACAAATCGTGAACAAAATATTACAGAAATGCCTTTACATATTTTTTAAGTGACCATCACTTAAAGCTTGCACCATATAGTCTCCGCAAACTATTTATAATTATCAAATGACAAATAAAGAGGGTGTCGTACCTTTCACTCCTCGAAATTCCCTGAACTTAATTCACTCAGAATATAATGAAAGCCCAGGAGACGTATTACCACAATGAACAAATCCAAAAGAAGAACAAAAGATTATATTTGTCTTGTCTTCCCAGGAGCACTTCAAAATCCTTTTAACTCGACACAAGAGAACTAAAGTCCCACTGATAAACTCTAATGTATTATACCTTAATTATTCTGCCACTCAAAGCCTTCATCTTCTAACAACTTGACTCTTGCAGAATGTCCTTCATCACGGGGTACTTTACTTCGATGGAACTATCAAAGTCCGGTTCGAGAAACATACCCGATGAAAAGAGTTTAGCTTCCACCAAGGTTCACACAAGCAAGTCCGGTTCTCGAACCATCCTCGGTGAAAGAAAGTTTCCTTCTCCAGAAGACGATGCAATCATGTCCGATGGAAACTACACTCATGACACAAATATCTATCGCCCATATTGTGGGCTTGCGCCTAGAGTTGAAGCTGAGGAGTTCCCAGAGGATGACACGATCCTGTCCGATGAGAACTATACAGATGCAGATCATACCAGTGACACAACCATCCGCCGTCCATATATTGGTCTCGCACTTGAAGCCCCAGCTCCCCAGAGAAGATATGTACCAGCTCCACGTCGTCATCAAGGAGTTCTTGATCCCAAATACGTTGCAGAAGACGCTGCTTTCTTTGCTCGAGCAAATAGACAGTACCACCAGAAGATCCAAGAGGTCGTACGCGAGGATGAAATGAAAAATAAGGAAGATATGTCTGCAACTGTGGATAAGTGGAAGTCAACCTTGACTGCAAAGACCAAGGCGGCTCCCGATGTCTCCAAGGACCCTAACTTCATCGACGTTTTCTGGGACGGTGAAAGAAATGAAGCTTGTTGAGAACATTTGATAGAGACTGTGCATACTGAAATTAGCTAGGAGGGCGAGAAATTTCATGTAGCTGCCAGGTGTATTGAGGAGTTCTCACTAATCATTGAGCCGGAGTTTGATGCAATATATCTCAATCACGTCGACGGTTCCACCTCCATGGAGGTCTTTTTGCCAGTACCTTTTGTCGTACAACACATTTTGCGAAGGATTCATTGCTAGATATCAATTATTGAGGTCCTGGGGAGTAATTTCATGAGTCGCCAGGCGATTTGGCTAGGGCATTGCGATAGCTTTCTCTTTTGTGAATAATATTTCAAATCATGTTTCTCACAACTTCGATTAGTCTTCTATAATTGCATAGAGATGATATCTGCTTCACGATGAGTCCTATCTCAGTATGGCGATGGTAAGCATGCGTAAACGAAAATCCCACGTATTGAGACCCAGTACTTCCTATATGATCTCATCCTTGAAGCCACCCCATCAAATGAACCTCCGATCCTTCTCTCATTGGTTCGTCTATAGCCAATAGAAAAATAATGTATGTCTAGTTCCCCGGCAACCAATCGGTACCAGTTTTCTTGTGATTCCAATTTCAATTGGTTCTTTAACCGACCCCCTGAATCTACAATAACCTTTAAACCCTACCTTTCTTTACCTTTACCTTTACCCATCAAAAAACAAATCCTCCTACAGCAGAGTCAAACAAAAACAATCAGCCATCCCAAAATATCAAAGAGATGTCGCAAGTCAAACAGGAAGAAGTAAAGGGTAATACAGCATTATCTGATCCCAAAATCACAAAGGCCATGGAAGCTACTATTAACACCGCGACCGAAAAGACCAAGTCTTCCAAGGATATCATGAGCCTTAAATATAAGCGCATGGCAAAGCTCGGTAGAGGAGTTTTTGGAGCAAGAAATGCGCAGGTCAAAAAGGACAAGAAGAACAACGATAAAAACAACAACAACAAAGTACGCAAAACTAGCCGTCGCTGCACCTCCGTCGCAAGCCTTGGCAGAAAGAGCCAACGAGGCAAGGCCCTTCCTTTCGTCGATTTTCCTGCTGCGGAAGCTTTGTTGCATCTAAATGATGATGAAAAGGAGAGCTACAAAGCCTTGTGGGATTGTAAGTAGCCACTTATTTCATCGATCTATCTTTGATCTCCCAGTCCATTGAAAACCAAACCATGCGCGACTGAACATCTCAACTGATCTTTCAAATAGGGTCTATGCCAATTCAGAACATGAAGAAGACAATGACATGGAAAGCTATTTTAGCTGTTTACGCCAAGATTTTCCCAAATGAAAAGCTAATGACTTCTCCAAATTCACTTGCCAATCGCTATTCCAATTACTTTGCTAGATTATCATTTCTTCTTGAGAAGGAACAGGAGGCTTCTGCGTTAAAAGACGCGGTCGAGAATTCCGAATTTGTTTTTCCTGATGATGAGGAAGAGGATGAAGATGAGGAAATGGATGAAGAGGACGACGAAGAGGAAATAGATGAAGAGGACGAAGACGATGAAGACGATGAAGACGAAGATGATGAAGACGATGAAGAGGACGAAGACGATGAAGACGATGAAGAGGATGACGAGGATGACGAAGAAGATGATAATGAATACTGAGGTAAAGATCAACTTAGCAAGTCAAATCAACTCACTTACCGACATCCCAACTAACTTCCAAGTAACAGTTCATTCAGCCTTTCAACAACATCGACAAAAAACCTTCACCTCAAACCAAGCTACAACACGATGGATTTCCAGTAATTGCCAACGACGAACCTCACCGATATCGATGTCGAAATCGGTGGGATATAACGGAGACATAACAACAATCATATCATGGAGGTCAGGTCGATCTGAGTTCATTTTGAATACTGAGGGTGCATTTTCTGGGTTACATTTACACCTAGCGGCTAGTTAATTATGGCGTGGAAGTTATTTCATGGTATTCGTGGTATTCGTGGGCGGAGTATCGGGAAATGATATAGCGGTATTTTCTTTGCAAGTTATATGCCTGACTTTAAATTCCTGTGCTGTGACGTCTTGCCGATATAAATAATATACTTCGGGGCAAATACTTCGATGCTACATACGGATGGAATGAGATGAGGTTACTTAGCCCTAGGGTGCTCATTCGTTTTTTATAGTTTGATGCGATGATTTGTTTTTAACTTGCAACTGCCTGCTTTACCTTTCAATATTAACCAAAAAAAAGGTAAATAATCTAAAAAGTACGAGTAACCTAATTCATGGATCTTTGTATCACTATATTGATGTATTGGAGAATATACTTATAGTATATTCTCCGATACACCAACATTTCTCAACCCCCTCCCTAATCAATCTACTCGTATAGAAAATCATTACCTAATAACCATCATCTACTAGGTTCATTTAATATAGATGAAAGAATCCTATTTGGTGAGTGAGATTACTCAGTAGAAGCATCAAACTTCGATGATGACTGATTCTCAAGGTGGGTGGTTGAACCCGGGTCTGCCAAGATCACTAAGTTATACGAGTATTTGTAGAGAGAATGGGAGAATGGAGGAATGAGAGAGCCATGATGAGGAAGAAAACGAAGATGATTGGATGATTGGATGATAAATGGATAGATCGATGGATGAATATGTGTTTTTTGAAAGTTGGGAAACGAATCATAAGGTGGAAAGCTTTTTTTGGTACAAAATACTATCAGTCAGTATATAAAGTACGAGATTTCCTCAAGCTCTTTGAAAGGAAAGAGATTTGGGGTGATGGGCTGGACTTTCCCTTTGCTTCTTTTGTAAGACTTACCTGAAAATGGAAAGTTTTACCAGGCTATTTTCGTATTCTAGAGATCTGAAATGAAGAAGATATGAACATTTCTCTTGTACACAGAAACCTCACTACATAATAAACCCCAACCCCACATAAACCACCCCCTCACATCACATCTTCACCTTCTCCCCCTTCCCCACCTTCCCCACATTCCTCCCTTCCTCATCCTTACGCCTACACCACCCCAACCAACACTCCACCCCCACCATATTCAACACCAACCCCAACCATCCCGCCGTCCCAAACACCATATTGACCATTGCCACCAAACATTCCGGGGGATCATGATCCGCTTTCACTGGAATATAGATTTCCTTTGTTGATACCTGCCTTAGTGTATCTGCACATACAGGGTAATTTTGAGAGATGAGAGGGAGGGGGTATGAATGAGTGGTGTATAGATCGTGCAAGGTGGAACAGGTGGTTACGGAGTAGAAGGCGCGGGTGTGGGGGGAGAGAATGATGCGGGTTAGGAGGACCATTAGGAAGCGCATTGTGAGGATCTGGGGGGGGTTTGTTAGGGGGTGTGATGGGTGGGGAAATGGGGTGGAGTGTTTGGGTTTGGAGAGTGGAGGGTGGAGAGTGGAGGGGGGGGGATTTATTGGACTGAAATGAATGAGATGGAGAATATGAAAATGGAAAAATTGAAAAATGGAAAAAAGGGTTAAAAGAACACAATAACTTACACAACCAGCCCACCCCCAAGTCCTAACCGCCCAAACCCTATGCTCAACAATTTTCTTCCGCCTAACCGCGATCCAAGATTTGCACAGAGCAAAAAAGACCATAACACCTAGAGTATAAACCCAAATTCGAGTTTCGAGTGTTCCGCCAAAGGAATTGTGGGCGATACCCAGGGCGCCTTTTTGTATTGTTAGTTGGAATACGGAAGGAAGTTGAGAGGGGACATACATGTATTTCCGAGGAGGAGCATGAGAAAAAGAATTCTTCCGCTGTAGCGGTGTAGGTTGATAAAAAGTTTTCGCACTACGGGGAGGAATTGGAGGGGGAGGAGGGTTCCGGCGGCTGGGTTTGAGCTTGGGTTAGCTTTGTTTCTTTGACATATCCAGACCGTTACTGGTAATGCTCTGTCGTTCTTCATATTCATATTCATATCATACATTGATTGGATAATACAAATATCACACATTCCACCATCCGCCATCCACCATCCACCATTCCACCATTCCACCATGTAAACCATAACCATAACCACAACAATAAAAAAATCCAACATAACATACGTAAAACACTCCACAAATGAATCTCCTTCCCCAACCACATCAACCCATCTCTAAAAACGAGAAAATTTCCCGGAAAATATGGACGTAGTTTCCCCCCAAAAACAATAGATTGTTGCGAAAAAGAAAAGAGAGAGAATGTGACTGTGAAGAGGAGAAAATATATGAGAGATTTGGTGTATGTGAAGCCTGTGAGTTTTAAAAGAGACATTTTGTTGATGTGGATGCGTTGGGGTGAGTGAGTGAGTGGGTGTATAAGGGACACGACTACTTACTTATTCATGAGATATTCCCAAGGGGTAAGTTGGGATGGGATGGTGGAGAAAACAAAATGATGATGGTTCGTTCATTCGTTTGAGGGATGAGGATGATCGAGATTGAATTTTTATATAAATCAAGATACCGGTGTAACTGGTATCTCAATGTCGTCCAAATAAACTCAATGTAAGGGGTACTCGAGTAAGAAAATCGGTCTAAATGCAATAATTAGTCCGTGCTTTGCGGCCGTAAATAGTTATATCTGAGTTACTCCAGTAAGTAGAGCAATAAAGAAAGATTTCACAAACACAAGATTCACATCTTCAAAAAAACTGTAGCCTTCGATACGAGCCCGCCAATCTTCGATGCGATAGTAGTCAGCCGCCCAAATAAGTGAGTAGTATAGAGTTCTGCCTTGTTGTGTGCTTGGCTGGTTGGTCTAATGAAATGAAATGATATGATATGATGTTCCACTTGGAATGATGAGATGCTGTATTTAGTAGTAAGGAAAGCTCATGTTTAATGGAAAGTATGGGAATGGAATTGTGGGGAGGGAAGGGATGGTGAGACTTTTGATAAAAATGAAGAGTGGGAAACATTTGAACCGAGTTCATCTAGATGTTCTCACGTGCTCGTACTATTCACGTGATGAATTTAGCAGAATTGTTTTACTTTTTACTCGAGTAGATGTTCGTATCCGTCACATAGACAACGTGGTTACTGTACAACCAACCCTGGTAATGATATAAATAACCTCGTTCCTCACTTTCCTTCTTTGAGTTCTGTCCGTGTTCTGTCTTGGCAACTTCTTTTTCTTCTAGAAACTTTAGAGCAATGATCATAGAAAACATGTCATTGGTCTCGACCAATGTGGATATAGCAACTAATAACGGGTATCCCTTTTGAAGAGATCAGATCTACGTATCCCATCAAATTCTGAGGGCGAGTCAGGGTGTACAACTTTCTGCTGCCAACTAGGCCCTCGCCGATAAGATAAATCAGATGTTTCTCTCGGATCCTCGGCAAAACAACTCATCGTCTATTATTCTATTATTATCGCATTCGTCCAAGGTACAATGCTGATTTTCGTATTTGAATCTCCACAAGCTATACGGAGTACTTGGTATTCGTCCCTTCAATTAACTTCAATGAAGTCAGAGGCTTATTCGATGTACACGTCTGTTTGTTTACATCCCAACTTGCCTAACAATGCCTACCTCTACCCCTTAAGAAAAGAAAAAGATTTCCTCCAGGAGAAACCTTGTTCCGCTAGAATTCTCAAATTGGTCCACTAAAGCCGAAGTTGAGGCGCAGTCGTGGCGGTTATTGATATCGGAAATTAAGAAGATTAGAAAATACGAGCAGAGAGATCGGATGAACCTTGTTGAAATGTCAAACGAATATCAATCACTATAATCTCAGTCACTATGAAGAAGCAGTGAAGAGTTTTCGAATATTAATAAAGGATAAGATGGAATCTTTCATCAATCATTCATTGCTCTCATTTTTCAACCGAAGGGGCGACATGGAGATATAACTTATACTATACTCAGGTAGAAATGTACTTTTTCTCATATACTCCGTATCTATTTTTGGACGGATCCGTTCTCCATACTTGCTCCATAACTTTAAGAAGTTTATCGTATCTCCACCAGCTCCACCAAACAAAGTATATAACTATATCGATGGATTGCTTGTCCAAGTGGTCAATGCGATCGCTTTTCTTGTTTCTATTTCTATTTGGTTCTTCCCATGCCCTTTTTGTTGATCCGCTCCAGATCTTTGTCTTTCAACACAACTTGTCTGTCGTTTCCGGTTGGATTTTACCATACACAACACCACTTTCGTTAACATAACATAACCCGGCATAACTTGCCAAAATGAGGACTTCAATTCTCGCTCTCGTCAACCTGAGTCTCGTGACTTTGACCGTCGCTCAGAACTCCAGTTCCAACGCCACCGATTGTGTTTCTTCCTACCAACTTTGTTTAGATAATGGCGGAGCTGATAATACATGCCAATCTGCTAACGCAAAGTGCAAAAATGTATGTTCCGATAGCTATGGAACTTGTCTTTCGTCCTCCGATAAATCGACATGTATGAATTCCTACAATTCTTGCCTGAACAGCTTCACCATTTTCACCACAGCGGCGAACTCGGCTGGAAGGGACTGCGCATCTCTGTTTTCCGCCTGTCACGATGCTGGAAAGGCAGACAATACTTGCAATAGTTATGCAGCACAATGTAGGAATGTTCTTATTCTTATTTTTGATTTTCGATGTAATATATCACTGACAATAACAGGCAAGGACAAATGTAGTACGATTTATTCCACAGCCCTCACCAGTGGATCTCCAGACTCGTCGGCAGCCAGCACACAATACAACAACTGTCTAGATTCGTTCAGCGTCTTTTCCACAAGGGAATCCTCCTCTGGTCTCGATTGGTAAGCTTAATCAACTCAACATTTTGCAATTCCAAACTTCACCCCTCAATTTCAACCCCATTTTTGTTGTATCTTGTACATCCTTTTAATTTTCTAATGCAACTTTTGCTCCTCAATTCTATCCAAGACCTTTTCTTGATAGACGAATACTGACTCTCCAATTATTTAGTGTCTCCCATTTTTCGTCCTGCAGAGCGAATGGTACCGACGATAATACGTGCAATTCTTATACCGCTCAGTGTAAAGTGAGTGAAACCAGTTCTCTCTCTCATTCACATTTACCGGTCTTCAACTCATGTTTCGTGTTTCATCTGCTGTATCTTGAGAATTCCAAACTGCCATCCTGTGAAGGCCAAGTTCTCTTTCATTCTTCTTCTTCCAGTAGGATCTATTAGACAATTCTCAGTAGAAACTGGTCTTTGCTTCACATACAAATGTTACTGTTTGCATCTATTCGCAACCTACCTATCCTTCAAGCTGAAGGCATTCAACATTGTCCTTGGTTAGACTTAGGATAAGATAGGAGTATTACAATACTGTGCATCCTATCCCCTTCACTTTCCATGATAAGCTTCTTTGATACTTAATAACTGACTAGGCGATTTATAGGACAAATGTAGTGTCGTCTACGGGGTTTGTTTGAGCAGCGGGTCCGCTGATGACTCGCTATGCATGAATCAGTATAACAATTGCTTAGATTCCTTCACGCCCTCGACCTCATTGGATTGCGTCAGTAGTTTTACAAAATGTCGAAATGACGGCGGCGAAGCCAATACCTGTGCGTCTTTATCAGCGACATGTAAGAATGATGCGTCAATCAATTACTCGACCTGTTTATCGAGCGGAGATTCCGATGAATCAGCGTGCCTTGAACAATACGATTCAGCCCTCGTCCAATTCAACACCCCAACTTTGCAGGATAATACCGACTGTGTCACGAGGTTCACTGGATGTGAAAATGACGGAAAGAAAGACAGCCTTTGTCAAAGCGACAACGCCCAGTGTAAAACTGATTGTTCTACTTCCTATTCCACATGTTTAAGTAGTGGAGATTCAGCACTTTCGGCACCTTGTCTTGAACAGTACAACTTCTGTCTCGTGACCTTCGCCTGGAACACCAACACTACGACCACTGGGCAAGATTGTGTGTCTAAGTATATGTCTTCTACCGGAGAAAATAATTCACGCAATGCCGAGGCGGCACAATGCAAGTCTGCATGTTCAACTTCTTATTCGACATGCTTAAGTAGTGGCGACGAATCTCTCGAGGCGCCTTGCCTTGCGCAGTACAACTTCTGCCTTGTTGATTTCAAAGCCACTACCACGACCACCGATTGTGCCTCCACCTACCTCACATGCGATGGTGCAGAGAACACCTGTGCCGCTGGGGTAGCCAGCTGTAAGAACACATGCTCAGTTTCCCTCGATATCTGTCAAAGTTCGGGAGATTCAGCTCTCACGGCATCATGTCAAAAACATTATCAATCCTGCCTTGTTTCGTTCAAATCTGCTACAGCTGCTATTGGAGAAGATTGTGTAGCTTCTTTCACTTCTTGCAGAGATGCTGGTGGGGAAGATAATACGTGTTCTTCGGTAAGATTTCTACACTCCTTCATTGACAATTCTTCATCAAAGATCATCACTGACATCTCATACTTTAGGAAATCGCCAGTTGCAAGAATAAGTGCAGCTCAGTTTACGACATCACCTCGACATCAGGCGATAATTCCACCATCGCAGCATCGCAAGCACTCCGTCTCTACGACAACTGCCTCGTATCATTCTCCGTGAACGAAACCACCACCACGGGTCAAGACTGCGCCTCCAAATACTACGCCTGCGACCTCTCTGGCCTCTCAGCATCCAATTCCTGCAACAGCGATTACGCAACCTGCAAAAATGATTGCGGCGTCATTCTTGACGCCTGCCGAAGTTCCGGAGATGATAGTTTGGTCAGTATGTGTGATAGTATGTACAACGGATGTTTGGATCCGGTGTTGAGCAGCAATATCACAACTAATGCGACGGTGCAAATTAATGCCACTTCGACTTATATCCTCCCTACCAAATCTGCCTTTTTCAATTTGACAGGCGCATATTCTACTATCGTAAGTCAGGTTTTGGCTTCGAGTACCGCCGCTGCTGCTTCGGGTCATATAAGTGCGCGTCCGGCAGTATCTAGCAATAGCAATAGTACTGGATACTATGCCCAAGCGACTTCGATTTCGACTTTGACTTCATTCTCCAAAGCAGCACTTGTAACGGGCACTGCTGGCTCCTCGCTACCAATTGTTACTGCTTCCGCTAGCTATGCGTTTACTAATTCTACATTGAGCGCTGCTATTGTTATTCCTACGGTTACTGTTTCTGTTTCTGGCTCGGATTCGGTTGAGAGTTTGAGTCCGGGTGGTGTGGTGAAGGCGGTTGTGGATGCTGATGCTGATGATGATGCGTGTGAGACGTAGAGTTGGATGTGCGTGGAGAATGGAATTCTGAGTAATGTTCGAGTAATATTATAATGCTTGGATTGGTTTTATGATGGATATGGATATGAAATTAAGAAAGGAAGGAAGGAGGTGTTGATTATAAGTGAGATTGTATATTATTATACTCGGTAACTCGGTACTTGATGAAATCTTGGATATTTTTACATATTACATATTATACTTTAAATCATAAATTAAAAGGATGCTTATATTCATATTTCAAACACAAAGATAACTTAGTTAATTATTCCTAGTATACTATTCTATACCGGTATGAGGAAAGATCTATATCTCAATGTGCCGAATTCCTTATAATCTACTTGCTATATACTATATAGATAAGATTAATTCCGCAACAGGAGAGAGACAGAGTCTTCAAGTTTCTACAGAAACGATCATATCTCCCTGGCAATAATCTCATATATTTCTTACGGTGTATGGATCGTAAATGACACCCCAGGTAAAGATGGCTCTAGAGAAATTTGAGTAGAGATTACCAATGAGCATTTGAGGACTCTTCTTAAGAGGAACTTTGTTTATTTCGCAGATCATCTCTTCTGAGATCTGCTGGCAATCATTGACTCAATATATAAATGCTAGAAAGATCTTCGACGAACCGCGGGAAAAGAGTCCGACGAGGATGATATACTGTATACAATATATATAGAAGACCTAAAACAGCTCCAGTCCAGTCTAGTCTAGTCCAATCTAATCAAATCCGAGATTTCTATTTAAAAATTGAAACTAAGAATCTTTTACAATAATGATTATATCTAGTATATATTAGGATTCTTGGAAGGATCTTGATATGTTTATACATAAATATATTAAATCTAAATCTTATAAATATAAATATAAATATAAATCCAAATTCTATTCGAGTATAAATACAAATATAAATACAAATACAATATCTAATCGATTCAGAGCTAGAAAAGGAAAAAATCCTTATATTCGATTATAATATATTTTTGACTTTCTTTTCATTTAGAGACTTGAAGAATACTTGTATATTTATTATATGATTATTATTATAATGATAATATAGATAATAATAGAGACTAGATAAAATATATAATATTCAATAAAGAGAAAAGAAGATATACAAAACAACGCCGACTATATAATAGATAAATATCTGAAGTATTTATTCGAACTAATTAGGAATAGATAATAAAGATAATTAGAATAATTAAAATAATCAAAATAATAAAGATAATGAATCTATAATAATATTTCTTGTTTTCAAATCTTGTTTATTCTTAAACAAATATATAATATAATAAAAAATCCTTATTTCTTATAACAAATCTCTATAAATTCTATCAAATTGTTTTAATTATATATTTTATTTATTAAATCTTCTATTTCATTTATTGTTTATTATTAAAACTATAATTATTAAATTAAACGCTTTTTTTCAGATTTATATTATTAATTTATAATTTTCTTTCTCTAATAAGTAATATTATCTAGATTCAATAAATAACAAAACTTATATGATTAATATTTTTATTAAAACAAAAAACTTTTTTATAATAAAATCTTGAAATATCTAAATAAAGAATCCAAGCTTTTCAAAATGTAATATATAATACTTAACTAGAATTTTCTTATTTTCTTTTAGATTTAGATATTAATTATTAGATTGTGTGACGGTAACAGACGGCTCTCTTCCGCCCACTGGCTTATACTATATATATAGTATAATACAATAGCTTTCTTGGATCTCCTTTCTATAGCTTAAAGCCCTAGTTCTATAGCTCTAGACCTAGGC